CGTGGTTATGTCGTCTCACTGATACCAGGTTGTGGCTCAGTGTCGTGGTTTTGTCGTCTCACTAATACCAGGTTGTGGCTCGGTGTCGTGGTTTTGATGTCTTACTGATAACAGTTTGTGGCTCGGTGTCGTGGTTTTGTCGTCTCACTGATACCAGTTTTTAGCTCTGTGTCGTGGTTTTGTCGTCTCACTCATACCAGGTTGTGGCTCGGTGTCGTGGTTATGTCGTCTCACTGATACCAGGTTGTGGCTCAGTGTCGTGGTTTTGTCGTCTCACTAATACCAGGTTGTGGCTCGGTGTCGTGGTTTTGTCGTCTTACTGATAACAGTTTGTGGCTCGGTGTCGTGGTTTTGTCGTCTCACTGATACCAGTTTTTAGCTCTGTGTCGTGGTTTTGTCGTCTCACTCATACCAGGTTGTGGCTCGGTGTCGTGGTTATGTCGTCTCACTGATACCAGGTTGTGGCTCAGTGTCGTGGTTTTGTCGTCTCACTAATACCAGGTTGTGGCTCGGTGTCGTGGTTTTGTCGTCTTACTGATAACAGTTTGTGGCTCAGTGTCGTGGTTTTGTCGTCTCACTAATACCAGGTTGTGGCTCGGTGTCGTGGTTTTGTCGTCTTACTGATAACAGTTTGTGGCTCGGTGTCGTGGTTTTGTCGTCTCACTGATACCAGTTTTTAGCTCTGTGTCGTGGTTTTGTCGTCTCACTCATACCAGGTTGTGGCTCGGTGTCGTGGTTTTGTCGTCTCACTGATACCAGTTTTTAGCTCGGTGTCGTGGTTTTGTCGTCTCACAGATACCAGTTTGTGGCTCGGTGTCGTGGTTTTGTCGTATCACTGATACCAGGTTGTAGCCCATTGTCATGGTTTTGTCGTCTAACTGATACCAGGTTGTAGCTCAGTGTCGTGGTTTTGTCGTCTTACTGATACCAGTTTGTGGCTCGGTGTCGTGGTTTTGTCGTCTCACCGATACCAGTTTTTAGCTCGGTGTCGTGGTTTTGTCGTCTCACAGATACCAGGTTGTGGCCCCGTGTCGTGGTTTTGTCGTCTCACAAATACCAGGTTGTGGACCCGTGTCGTGGTTTTGTGCTCACAGTGATACCAGGCTGTAGCTCACTGTCACAGTTTTCTGTTTTTGTTTTGCGCTTCTCGGGTGGCGAATTTGTTCATCTTTTTGTGTGTGTGTGTGTGTGTGTGTGTGCAAGTTTCGGCTACATCATTTATCTATCTCTTTCTTAGTCTTCTCCCCATCTTCCTACATATGTTCTGCTATAAAACGTATGATATGCAGTTTAGTCTGGCTGCATTCTCACTATATGGCCGATCGATTACATTCTTTGTCTGTCAATATGATCAAAACATGGTCTCATTCCTACTTTCCCTCTAAAAGAGAATCGTACAGTTGTACGATTAGTTTAAAAAAAAAAAAGTGTGTCTTTCTACCTCTTTAACTTCCTGTGAGTGCCAATTATTGCATGTTTTGTTTATCCCTCGGTTTAAACGCAACGCCAGCAAGCTCATTCACACACCACCAAACCTACCCAGCCATCGCACTATTGCACTGGGGTCAATACAAAGATCCCTCCCTACAGTGAGCATTCTAACGACTGCGCCATCCATCAAGTGACAACAAAAGCTGCTAGATAAATGAACGGTGTTTTAGCCATATCATCTAAACACTAGGTGCTCTAACGTTAAAGCTGTTGGTGTTATAATATGTCAGCAGATGTTAATTATACCTATTGTTTAGATTAATCCACCCTCTGTAATGAAATCTAATTAAAAACACACAGGGGCGCCAACACAAGAAAACAAGGGCCGCAAGGTGCCGGATAAGTACCTAGACAATGTTCTAATAGTTGGGAGGTGTGGCTTAAGGGTATAATAATAATAATAGTAATAATAATAATAATAATAACAATAACAATAATATTAATAATAAAATAATAATAATAATGTGCTTAATAGGAGGAAAATCTACATAAAAATCAGAAATAACCTGAAATGTATTTACAATTACTTTAAAAGAGAACTTAAATACGATGCTATGGGAGTCGATTACCATTTTCAAACTATAAAAAAAGGTAGTGGCGTTCTTGTGGGTCCCATAGGCTGTGGCACCCTTGTAGGTCCCATAGATTGTGACGCCCTTGTGTACCTCTTAGGTAGTGGCGCCCATGTGGGCCTCATAAATTGTGGCGCTCGTGTGGGCCCCATAAATTGTGGCGCCCGTGTGGGCCCCATAAATCGTGGCGCCCATTGCACACCTACCTACAACAATGCGGACAAATGGAGAGAATCCAAACGTCGATTCAAGTTCAGCGACACAGGCCGCGTGTTAAACTAACCGGGCGTTGAATCTCGGAGACGTGGCACAAGAGGCATACTTGCATACTGGGCCATCAATGATACGCTTCTTGTGACTTGTGAGTAGATGTACTTGATAGTTTTTTTTAGGGAGACACACAGACAGAGGGGCAGACAGACAGACATATGGATAGGTAGACAGACAGACATACAGATATACTAACAGACAGACAGACAGACAGACAGACAGACAGACAGACAGACAGACAGACAGACAGACAGACAGACAGACAGACAGACAGACAGACAGACAGACAGAGGGGCAGACAGACAGACATATGGATAGGTAGACAGACAGACAGATAATATGATAGGCACACAGATATAATAACAGACAGACAGACAGACACACAGACAGACACACAGACAGATAGACATATGGATATGTAGACAGACATACAGACAGGGACAGACAGATAATTTCATAGGTATACAGACAGACAGACAGACAGACAGACAGACAGACAGACAGACAGACAGACAGACAGACAGACAGACAGACAGACAGACAGACAGACAGATACGGGAAGCATGAATACTTGCCTACATTGGTACAACTGTAAATAATTGTGTGTTTTAGGACAGACATTACATGGTTTTCTTACTTTCACATGTCTGTCTGTCTGTCTGTCTGTCTGTCTGTCTGTCTGTCTGTCTGTCTGTCTGTCTGTCTGTCTGTCTGTCTGTCTGTCTGTCTGTCTGTCTGTCTGTCTGTCTGTCTGTCTGTCTGTCTGTCTACGGTGTGCAGGCCGATCTGTACTTCTGTTCTTTGTTCATCCGTTTTCAGAAACTTTCATCGTGATAAAACGGATAAAATTATCGGCATTATTATTATTATTATTATTATTATTATTATTATTATTATTATTATTATTATTATTATTATTATTATGTATTGTTGTTGTTGTTGTTGATGCTACTAGTCATTTTTAAAGCTATCACAATTTTGCTTCCCCCCCCCCCCCCCCCCGCTAAAACTGAGCCACCCGGTGCAGCTGCACATGTTTCACGTAGCCTAAATACGGCCCTGCTTTACTGTTTGTGGAAGCCGCTGCCGTAGCTAGACAGACACTTTCACCTTGACTCCCAGGTAGACCCAGCCTTGGATGGGCACCAGGTATAGCCCTGGGAAGTAAAGGCGGCCGGCATGATGCTGACCACATCACCCACCATATCCCCAATACACCCAAAGGCGTGGAAAGGGTCCTTTACTTTTTACTTTCACCTACATTTTTTGTTTTTGTGGGTACCAAAGTCTCCAGAAAAATTGAAAATGTCACAAACTTTGAATATGTAGGCTCTATAATAAACAACAATGGAGACTGTTCGACAAAAATTAAAAGGAGGAAGCCATAGCAATGCAAAGATTGAGCAGCCCTAAAAGTCTATGATTAAGCACCAGCAAGGAGATCAAAATTAGAATTTTGAGAGCACGCATCTTTCCTGTGGCTACATACGGATGTGAGTCGTGGACTATCTCTCAGTCCTTAAGAAAGAGAATAGGGGCTTTTGAGCTGAAATGCTATAGAAAGATCAGAATATCTTGGACAACGAAGAGCAGAAATATTGACATCTTAAAAGATTTGAACATCAAGGAAGATTGGCTAATAAACAGCATCCTGTCTCGGAAGCTGAAATATTTTGGTCATATCAAGCGCCACGTCTGGTTGGAAAAACATTATAGCAGAAGGCATGGTAGCAGGAAGGAGGGGCAGGGGCCGACCGACACGAAGATGGGCACAGAATATAAGTGACTCCTTGAGTATTAACGTACATGAGGCGGGAGAACTGGCGAGAGACCGAGTTTCAGGCAGACTGATGAGAGCGACGTTCTGCAAGAACCTGCTACATGATAGATAGACCAAAGCCTTCCCTTTCCACTCCTCCCCCTAGAATTTCGATTTGATTAAACTTGTGATGAATTATTTCACAGGGCAAACATGGATCGTGTAACGATTACCGTGACATTACTTCTGTGGGCGACTGTTGGAGTATTCAACGAGAAGGTTTCCTACAAAGGGCAAGCACTTCATTTCTGATGTGTTTTTTCCTCCTCGAGAGTGCTCTTCCCCTTTCTCCTCTTGTCCAGACTATCCTGAAATTCTCTTTCCTTATCCAGACTGGTCTTCTAATTTCTCTTTATCTTCACGGAATTTTTTCTCTTTTCTCTTGCTCTGTGTAGTGCTCTTTAACTTCCTTCCTTCTTATCTACAGTGCTCTTTTCATTTCTCGTTTTATCTACAGTGCTCTTTTCATTTTCTTATCTTCAGTGCTCTTTCCATTTATCTTCTTATCCACTGTGCTCTGTTCATTTATCCTCTGATCCACAGTGCTCTTTCCATTTCTTTTCTTACCTACAGTGCTCTTTCCATTTCTTTTCTTACCTACAGTGCTCTTTCCATTTCTTTTCTTACCCACAGTGCTCTTTCCATTTCTTTTCTTATCAATAGTGCTTTTTTCCCTTTCTTTTCTTATCCACTGTACTTTTTTCATTTCTCTTCTTATCCATAGTGCTTTTTCATTTCTCTTCGTTCTTGTCCAAATGTCTCTTTTCATTTTTGTTCTTATTCACAGTGCTTTGTGCATTCTCTCTGTGTCCAGAGTGCTGTCTACCTTTCGCTTCCTTTACCCAGAGTACTTTCCTTCCTCATCTTCTTCTCCCGTGTGCTGCTATCATTTCTCTTGTTTTCTGGAATGTTCTGTTCTTCCTCTTTTCTCCATCCTATATTATTTATTATCGCATTGATAAGGCGTAGATGGTGTCTCCTCTATTCAGTTTAAAGGATTCCTCTATATAGTGAGGCAAACTCAAGAGACGCAGATAGATAGCTGAGACAGGCTGTCATACAAAACCATAGCTATTCAATAGGCGGCCCGTGGGCCACTTCCGGCCCGCGGAGGCCTGGGAAGTGGCCCACAGATGACTGCCACTTGTATTGTATTACTGATCTGTCCATGGTGCAGCTGGGGGTACTGACACATGATGATCCCTATGTTGAATATACTGACCCCTGGGTCTACTGAGTTTATGGGCCCGACTACTCTCTGGTCCTGCCCGTTAGCGTGGACTGTGTGCTCACGTACCAACTGGGGAGTCAGAGCCACAACCTGTAGCATATCTTTTCCCCCAAATTGCCCCAATTTGTTGTGTTCCTTATTAAGGGAAGTCAAGTCGCCGTGGTGTAGTGGCTGGACGCTAGCCTGCGGATCGGAAGGTCCAGGGTTCGAGTCCTCACGGAGCCATACTTTTTATTTTAAATGGCCTTGGCCCCCAGGTCGACCCAGAATCACACGGTACCAGGCGCAGTCCTGGGAAGTAAAGGTGTCCGGCGTGATGCTGAACCATATCACCCATACAGGGAGTAGGGCGCGTCCAGCCCAACTGTTATTTTTGGACCTGTTCACGTTTCCCGACCCAACTACACAATTTCTCAGTCTGATCTAGGTCAGAGGGGTGTCAGGTTTTACTGCTTTCTTCGAAAAGAGTCTCTCGTGTGAGCTAGGCTCAGGCTGTGGGTAGGGGGGTTGGGGTTAGGGCCAGTTCTAGAAGTTCTGTGGTCGTTGAAAGCTGTGTCGTCGTGTAGTATAGAACACGCGACATCGGCGCTGATGTAATTGGAGGGAAGACAACGTGACACCCCTCCGACGTAGAAGAGTCTGAGAAAGTATAAACGAAAGGTCAGCCAGTGTGTAGATGGGCCGGGAAATGTGAACTGGACACCCCCCTCCCCCCAGAAAGCTTGTAAGGGTAAGTTTCACGATAATCTCCCCAACCCAACTAAGTCACGTTCCATTCAAAAATTTATATTTTTTAATATGTTGTTTCCTTGCTAGTTTGTCTTGCATTTATATTTTTCTTTTGAGAAAGAGAATGCCCGTGACATAGGCTGCATCACCCTTTGGGGGTGGGGGTGGGAGGGTTGTGTGTTAGACCCAGTTTTTCAATGTTTTTGTAGTGATGCGCGATATCAACGGCATTTAATATTCATAATGCAGGTCAGTGTGATTCTTACCTATCAGGTTGAATGGTACTTGTCTGACGCAAGTTAAAGAATGTAAATATCTAGGAAGTATAATCTCGGAGGACGACAGAATAGATCAGGAAATAGAAACAAGATGCAAACGAGCCAGTTTACTTGTATACCAACTGACACGGTTTTTTAGATTCCAAACATATGTATGAGCGCCAAGAAACAGATTCATCATCATCATCATCATCATCATCATCATCATCATCATCATCATCATCATCATCATCATCATCATCATCATCATCATCATCATCATCATCATCATCATCATCCCGTAACTCTACGTGTCGTTGGGTCACCAGTTTTGTTGACTGTCTGATCAGCTCTCTTCACATTGGGCGGTCAGTTGCGATGGACTTGACGGTTGCATGGCTGGAGATCTGTCCAGTCAGCCAGATTCTGTAACCAGATCTATCTTGGTCAGCCTCTTCTCCTCTTTCCCTCTACTCAGCCCTGCAGTATTGTTTTTTAGAGGCCATTCGATCTTATTACGTGTCCATACCATTTGACTGTTCACCTTTTCACTGTAGTTAAAAGAAGTTCATAGTTGCCAGTGTGATGAACAATTATATTGTAAACCTCTTCATTTGTAACGAAACATTATACATAGCCTATTTATACCAACATTGAGCTACCAGTGCCAGACTTCAACATTATCAAAGACTAATAAACACAAAATAAACACATGTGAAATAAGAGACCTGAGAAAAGCCGCCAGGTTAACCATCGGAGAGAAAGTTAGAATTAATATTATCAGACAGACTGTGAAAACAACACTATGCACACAATTAAATGAGAAACAGAAGATAAAATGGTTTGGCCATCTAGTAAGAATGCAGACAGAACAACTACCCACGCAGCGCTAGACGTGAAAAGATCTGATGGAAAAAAAAAAACTTCTGCATGGACGCGGAAAGACAGTAGTCATTGCTGCCCATCCAGAAATGGATCGCAAACTGCTCCTCCCCTAGCCGCTTTACGATACAATGGATGTTAATCTCCCCAGACCCTGCCAGATTACACACTTGCTCACTTCTGATTGGTAGTTCCTGAGCTCCATGGACTTCGCACGCGGTTACGGGGGTGTTCCGCAATGCCGTTGATATCGCGTATTGTATATTTCAGCACGCCAGCTGAAAAACATGGAGAAACTGGGTCTAACACCCCCCCCCCTTTCAGGAAAGTCGACCAGCCAACAAACTTGTGAATGAAAAGTGACCGACTCTATTTGAGATGCCTAACGTCGAACTAACCAAATTTTCTATGGGTAATGGGTATTGTAAAAGGGTGGGAGCTCAAGTGACTGAGGGTTCCAGGCTGAGACACCTCTGGGTGACATACAGATAGAATGTTTTGACTTTCCAGACAATCTTTCTGTTAGTTGTTTTGTTTTCGTGTGCAGATACGAGCTTCTGACAGTGTACGTCAGAGACGCTGAAGATGCCAAGTTTCTCATTGATCTTGGAAAGACCTATCTCCGGGTAAGTTAACGGATGCATGTCGGGATACAGAGCTGCAAATGGTGTGCATGCGAACTGGATACTGGTGTACACCTGCCCACACCTCAGCCGCGCTCATCCTAGAGACAGGTTCCTTACTGGGCGCTTGGCTAATGTTACCTCGACACCTGGATGAGAGGCAGGGAGATAACAGTGCGCACACAAATAAACAGGATCTGTAAAATTCGTGTGCATGTAACACTCTTTTATGTCGCCTGGCCGCTCACTGGCTGTACACTCCCGTGGAAAGTTTTGGTTGTTCATTTATATCTGAACTTTGGTACCTTTCTATAATCTGAGTTTGGCGTGCAAATCCGTTGTACAGATTTGGCCCATTTGTATGCAGACTGTATGTTCCTCGCCTTTCAACCGTGACTTCCAAGGAAATTTCCCTAATTATGTGCCTCTTTCGACATGCTTGTTGTGAAAGGCGGGGTGGAGGGGGTGGCTAATCCTATTACCCCCCCCCCCCTCCCCCATCCCTATATCCCCTTGCCAAAGAAAGTAGAAATGGGCCAAAAATCCATACCGGATTGGTTTACTTTTAGAGGATTCATCATCATCATCTTCATCCCGTAACTCTACGTGTCGTTGGGTCACCAGTTTCTGTTGACTGTCTGATCAGCTCTCTCCACCTTTGGCGGCCAGCTGCGATGGATTTCAGGCTGTTGTCACTTCTTCTCTTTCCATCCACTGAGCCCTGCAGCATTGTTTTTGAGAGGCCGTTAGATCTTAATACATATTTTAGAGGATTGCTTACTGTTATTTTAAATGTCTTTTAACCTACAAATGTAATATATCATATCATCTTTTTAAATTATTTAATTTATAAGATTTGTTAATAATTTTACAAAAAGACATTAATTACTTTATCATTCTATACATCTGCCGTGTGTTTTAACTAACGGGTAAAATCCGCCAGTCTGGTTTGTGACTGTAGGGCTTAGATTTGGAGTAGGACGAGCACCCTGAACACAAAATATCCTAGGGCGTGTTTCGGGTAGAGAGCCGTAGTGGTGTAGCGGCTAGATACTCGCCAGAGGATCGGAAGGTCATGGTTCCCAGGTCGACCTAGCCTTGGATGAGCTGGAATCTTGGGAAGTAAAGGCGGCCGGCGTCATGCTCACAACATCACCCTTTAGATGCCAGTTGGTTTAAAAGATATAGGTCTAGCCCTATATGCCTAATACGCCGTAAAGTATTTTTTTTTTGAAATGTTTGAATGATCGTTGTTTGTGACCTCATTGTCAGCTTGACTTCTGGATACCACCTGGTTCCGAGAGGAACAGCACAGTTCTGGTGCCTCCTCACCTCGTACGGGTGTTCAAGTATGCCGTTAGGGAACAGGGAATGAGGCCGGTTGTCGTGTCTGATGATGTGCAAAGGTTGGTGCCCTTCTGTTCCCAGGTGTGGATACATGCTATATGTGATATCAGATATCGATGGTATTGGTGGAGTGGATGTTGGTTTGAAGTGTTATAAATAGTAGTTGTACAAGCAGCAACAGCTGTAGTGACAGTATTAGTAGTAGTAGTAGTAGTAATAGTAATAATAGTAGTAATAGTAGTAATAGTAGTAGTAGTAGTAGTAGTAGTAGTAGTAGTAGTAGTAGTAGTAGTAGTAGTAGTAGTAGTAGTAGTAGTAGTAGTAGTAGTAGTTGTTGTAGTAGTAGTAGTAGCAGCAGCAGCAGCAGTACAGTACAGTACAGTACAGTACAGTAGTAGAAGAAGTAGCAGTAGCAGTAGTAGAGTAGTAGAAGAAGAAGAAGTAGTAGTAGCAGTACAGCAGTAGAAGTAGTAGTAGTATCAGTAGTAGTAATAGTAGTGTAGTAGTAGTAGTAGAAGTAGTATTAGTAGTAGTAGTAGTAGTAGTAGTAGTAGTAGTAGTAGTAGTAGTAGCAGCAGCAGCAGCAGCAGCAGCAGCAGCAGCAGCAGCAGCAGTACATTAGTAGTAGGAGTGGTGGTAGTGGTGGTGGCAGTAGTAGTTGTTGTTGTTATGGTAGTAGTATTGGTAGTAGTAGTAGTAGTAGCAGTTCTAGTAGAATGGTGGCGATGGTAGTGGTTCCTGTCGTTACTGAAGTAACTCGTTAAACAGATAAACAACAGCAGCCAGTCTATCAGTTTACTCATTTCCCTGCACACCCGATTACCCTGGCAGAAAAACCATGATATTCTTCTGCTCTGAGTTTTATCTGCAGATCAGTCAGCGCTCCGGACACAATCTTCTGTTGTCACAAATATGACCGTATGTCATTGACTGTTGCAGTCAAGTGATGGGGTATTCACTGTACAGGTTTCTGAAGCATACAGCAGGGCTAAGTACACATAGCATTTGACGCTTACTGTTACAATACGTGAGACTGTATACATCTCCAGGCTCAGGGAAGTTGCCTTACCGCCTCTACCTCTATTCTTTTACTGCATGTTGTGACAGTATAGAGCGATGTCCGTTGGTCTGTGTAGTGAAACCTTACTCTTTGCACCTCTAAGGCAGACAGCTTAAATACTTATCTGTCGACAGCAATACAGCATCCAAACACCAGAAAGGTAATCCTAAAACTTCTCTGTTCTCTGACTTACTGAAAACATCAAAGATGACCGCGTTTTTTTTTTCTTTTTCTGTTTCAGCCTTGTGGACGCCGGAAGTAAACGGACACCGGAAGTGGTGACACTGGCGAGAAATTTGGCTCCCGGTCAAGTGATCGATCATTACAATTATCACCAGTACGACAAGGTCTGTTGATGTTGTCTGTTGACTGTTGATGTTGTCTGTTGTCTGTTGATGTGGTCTGTTGTCTGTTGATGTGGTCTGTTGTCTGTTGACGTGGTCTGTTGTCTGTTTATATGGTCTGTTGTCTGTTGATGTGGTCTGTTGTCTGTTGATGTGGTCTGTTGTCTGTTGATGTGGTCTGTTGTCTGTTGATGTTGTCTGTTGATGTGGTCTGTTGTCAGTTGATGTTGTCTGTTTTATGTTCATATGGTTTGTTGTATGTTCATATGGTCTGTTGTATGTTGATGTGGTCTGCTTTATGTTCATCTGGTCTGTTGTATCTTCATATGGTCTGTTGTATGTTCATGTGGTCTGTTGTACGTTGATGTGGTCTGTTGTATGTTCATGTGGTCTGTTGTCTGTTGATGTGGTCAGTTGTATGTTCATGTGGTCTGTTGTATTTTCATGTATATGTGTTCTGTCTTAGCCTACCTTCTCGTCTACCTGTCTTAGCCTACACGTCTCACTCTACCTGTCTTAGCCTACACGTCTCACTCTACCTGTCTTAGCCTACACGTCTCACTCTACCTGTCTTAGCCTACACGTCTCACTCTACCTGTCTTAGCCTACACGTCTCACTCTACCTGTCTTAGCCTACACGTCTCACTCTACCTGTCTTAGCCTACACGTCTCACTCTACCTGTCTTAGCCTACACGTCTCACTCTACCTGTCTTAGCCTACACGTCTCACTCTACCTGTCTTAGCCTACACGTCTCACTCTACCTGTCTTAGCCTACACGTCTCACTCTACCTGTCTTAGCCTACACGTTTCACTCTACCTGTCTTAGCCTACACGTCTCACTCTACCTGTCTTAGCCTACACGTCTCACTCTACCTGTCTTAGCCTACACGTCTCACTCTACCTGTCTTAGCCTACACGTCTCACTCTACCTGTCTTAGCCTACACGTCTCACTCTACCTGTCTTAGCCTACACGTCTCACTCTACCTGTCTTAGTCTACACGTCTCACTCTACCTGTCTCACGTTACGTCTCTAGTCTACATGCCTCTCTGTCTATATTCTCTGATTCTGTACTTGACTTTCTCAGTCTACATCTCACTGTCTATTTCTTTCACTCTACCTCTTCCAGTCTACCTCTCTCAGTACACTTCTCTCCGCGGCCCTCTCTCACTCTACCTTTCCCGGTCTGCTTCTCACTCTACCCATCTCAGTCTACCTCTTCCAGTATATCTCTCTCACCCTACCTCCCTTAATCTACATATCGGATCTATCTCTCTCGCTCAACATCTCTCTCTCTCTCTCACACTCTCTCTCTCTCTCTCTCTCTCTCTCTTAGTATACATTTCTAAGTCTACTTCTCTCACTCTACCTCTCACAGTCTACATATTTTTAATCTACCTCTCTCAGTTCTACCTTCTTACTCCACCTCACTCTACCTGTCTCTCTTCGTCACATGCTACCTCTCTAAGTCTACCTATCTCACTTCGTCACATGCTACCTCTCTAAGTCTACCTGTCTCACCTCGTCACATGCTACCTCTCTAAGTCTACCTGTCTGACTTCGTCACATGCTACCTCTCTAAGTCTACCTATCTCATTTTGTCACACGCTACCTCTCTAAGTCTACCTGTCTCACTTCGTCACATGCTACCTCCCTAAGTCTACCTGTCTCACTTCGTCACACGCTACCTCTCTAAGTCTACCTGTCTCACTTCGTCACATGCTACCTCTCTAAGTCTAACTGTCTCACTTCGTCACACGCTACCTCTCTAAGTCTACCTGTCTCACTTTACATTGTAACGCTACCTGTGTGTCACTCTCAAATTACCACTCTGTCTACCCCGCTCACTTAACTTTCTCAGTCTATGTCTCTCTGTTTACCCCTCTCACCTAACTTTCTCAGTCTATGTTTCTCTATCTACCCCTCTCACCTAACTTTCTCAGTCTATGTCTCTCTGTCTACCCCTCTCACCTAACTTTCTCAGTCTATGTCTCTCTGTCTACCCCTCTCACCTAACTTTCTCAGTCTATGTTTCTCTATCTACCCCTCTCACCTAACTTTCTCAGTCTATGTCTCTCTGTCTACCCCTCTCACCTAACTTTATCAGTCTATGTCTTTCTGTCTACCCCTCTCACCTAACTTTCTCAGTCTATGTCTCTCTCAGTCTATGTCTCTACGGCTCTCTCAGTCTACGTCTCTCTCTCTCTCTCAGTCTACGTCTCTCTCAGTCTACGTCTCTCACAGTCTATGTCTCTCTCAGTCTACGTCTCTCTGTCTACGTCTCTCTCAGTCTACGTCTCTCTCAGTCTACGTCTCTCTCAGTCTATGTCTCTCTCAGTCTATGTCTCTCTCAGTCTATGTCTCTCTCAGTTTATGTCTCTCTCAGTCTACCCCTCTCACCTACCTTTCTCAGTCTATGACTCTCTGTCTACCCCTCTCACCTAACTTTCTCAGTCTATGTCTCTCTCAGTCTATGTCTCTACGTCTCTCTCAGTCTACGTCTCTCTCTCTCTCTTAGTCTACGTCTCTCTCAGTCTACGTCTCTCACAGTCTATGTCTCTCTCAGTCTACGTCTCTCTGTCTACGTCTCTCTCAGTCTACCCCTCTCACCTAACTTTCTCAGTCTATGACTCTCTGTCTACCCCTCTCACCTAACTTTCTCAGTCTATGTCTCTCTCAGTCTTTGTCTCTCTCTCTCTCTGTCTACGTCTCTCTCAGTCTACATCTCTCTCTCTCAGTCTACGTCTCTCACAGTCTATGTCTCTTTCAGTCTACGTCTGTCTCTGTCTATGTCTCTCTCAGTCTGCGTCTCTCTCAGTCTACGTCTCTCTCAGTCTATGTCTCTCTCAGTCTATGTCTCTCAACTAACTTTCTCAGCCTACGTCTGCCTCAGTCTACGTCTCTCTCAGTCTACGTCTCCCTCAGTCTACGTCTCCTACCAAACCTCTCCCCCTCTGCCTGCCCCATTCTACTGATTTTTTTAAATACAAATTCCTTGTGTTTCGCGACGTGATTTGCTGTTGAAACCCTGTTACCACAACGTCCCTGACATGTTTATTTTAAGCTGTTCTGTAAAGCCGACATATTTTGTATGTTTTCCTTACTCACTTCAAACTTACCTGTCTGCAGATTGTCAACTACCTGAAGAAACTGGAAATCAAATATCCTAAGACTATTGGGATCTCTAGTTTGACCTTCCAGACATTCCAGGGCAGATCTGTGGCCTTCGTCAGGGTAGGCAGCATGGATACTGTGTTACTGTTACATCCTCACATCAAAGTACAGGCTCTCCTCGACTTACCAACAGTTCTGTAGCAACTTACAGGTCGTAAGTCTGTCAGCACTATTTACAATTTAACAGATCTAAGTCGAACTTATATGTCAGCACTATTTACAATTAAACAGGTCGTAAGTCGAACTGATATCTGTCAGCATATTTACAATTAAACAGGTTGTAAGTCGAACTGATATCTGTCAGCATATTTAAAATTAAACAGGTCGTAAGTCGAACTGATATCTGTCAGCATATTTACAATTAAACAGGTCCTAAGTCGAATTGATATCTGTCAGCACTATTTACAACAAAACAGGGTTGTAAGTCGAACTGATATCTGTCAGCATATTTACAATTAAACAGGTTGTAAGTCGAACTGATATCTGTCAGCATATTTACAATTAAACAGGTCGTAAGTCGAACTGATATCTGTCAGCACTATTTACAACTAAACAAGGTCGTAAGAACTGTACAGCAAACATCCACATTTAGTCAGTAGACCCCAGTGGCCTCCAAAAATCAGGTTCGCGATCTATTTGACCCCGTCAATATAGCTAGTAAAGCAAAGGACCCTTTTCTAAACTTGCAGGCGTATTAGGCATATAGGGTTTGACCTATATTTTATAGACCTACCGGTACCTGATGAGTGATAGGGACAGCACCACGCCGGCCTCCTTGACTTCTCATGACTTCACCTGGTACCCACTCAAGGCTGGTTCGACCTGGGAGCCCAGGTCATTTTGAGAAAAACAAAAGTCCGGCTTCGTCAGGATCTGAACCCACGACCTTCCGATACACAGGCGAGCATCTAGCCACTCCTTTAGTCCATTTTTGCTACGTTAGGGGTGGGGGATCTTGCCACAAACTCTAAAAGGCCGTGGGGGTCTTGTAATATACTCAAGGAGCGTGGGGATCTTGCCACGAACTCTAAAAGGCCGTGGGGGTCTTGTAATATACTCAAGGGGCGTGGGGATCTTGCCACAAACTCTAAAAGGTAGTGGGGGTCTTGTAATATACTCAAGGAGCGTGCGACCTGGAAACAATGTTGGATTTAGATTAATTACAAATGCAGGACTAAAAAAAAATACAATACTATCGTTATATTTCTTGATTTTCTGTTTGAATTTACGTGTTTGTGTGTGAGAGACTATGTCTGTGTATGTGTGTGAGAGAGAGAGAGTGTGTGAGAGAATATCTGTGTGTATGTGTGTGTGGGAAAGAGAGTGTGTAAGAGAGAGTGTGTAAGAGAGAGAGAGAGTGTCTGTGAGTAAGAGAGAGAGAGTGTGTGTGAGACTATGTGTGTGTATGTGTGTGTGAGGGAGAGAGTGTGTGAGATAATATGTGTGTGTATGTGTGTGTGGGAGAGAGAGTGTGTGTAAGAGAAAGAGTGTTTGTGAGTGAGAGAGAGAGAGAGAGTGTGTGTTTGTGTGTGAAAGACTATGTGTGTGTATGTATGTGTGAGAGAGTATGTGTGTGTAAGAGAGAGAGTATGTGTGTGTATGTGTGAGAGAGGAGTATGTGTGTGTGTAAGAGAGACAATATGTGCGTGTATGTGTGTGTGAGAGAGAGTATGTGTGTGTGTAAGAGAGACAATATGTGCGTGTATGTGTGTGAGAGAGAGTATGTGTGTGTGTGAGAGAGACAATTTGTGCGTGTATGTGTGTGTAAGAGAGAGAGTATGTGTGTGTGTGTGTGAGAGAGAGTATGTGTGTGTGTAAGAGGGACTATATGTGCGTGTATGTGTGAGAAAGAGAGTATGTGTGTGTGAGAGAGAGAATGTGTGTGTATGTGTGAGTTCGAGAGAGTATTGTGTGTGTGTAAGAGAGAGAGTATGTGTGTGTAAGAGACAGAGAGTATGTGTGTGAAAGAGAGTATATGTGTGTCAGAGAGAGAATGTGTGTGTATGTGTGAGTTCGAGAGAGTATTGTGTGTGTGTAAGAGAGAGAGAGTATGTGTGTGTAAGAGAGAGAGAGTATGTGTGTGTGTAAGAGAGAGAGTATGTGTGTGTTAGAGAGAGAGAGTATGTGTGTGTAAGAGAGAGAAATAGAGAGTATGTGTGTGTAAGAGAGAGTATGTGTGTGTAAGAGAGAGTATGTGTGTGTGTAAGAGAGAGAGAGAGTATGTGTGTGTGTAAGAGAGAGAGTATATGTGTTTGTGAGTTAGAGAGAGTGTGTCTGTGTAGGAGAGAGAGATTATGTGTGTGAGAGAGAGAGAGTATGTGTGTTTGTGTGTAAAAGAGACAATATGTGCGTGTATGTGTGTGAGAGAGAGTATGTGTGTGTGTAAGAGAGACAATATGTCCGTGTATGTGTGTGTAAGAGAGAGAGAGAAAGTATGTGTGTGTGTGTGTGTGTGAGAGAGAGTGTATGTGTGTGAGTAAGAGGGACAATATGTGCGTGTATGTATGTATGTATGTGTGAGAGAGTATGTGTGTGTAAGAGAGAGAGTATGTGTGTGTATGTGTGAGAGAGAGAGTATGTGTGCCTGTAAGAGAGACAATATGTGCGTGTATGTGTGTGTGAGAGAGAGAGTATGTGTGTGTATAAGAGAGAGTGTATGTGTGTGTGTGAGAGATAGTATGTGTGTGTCAGAGAGAGAATGTGTGTGTATGTGTGAGTTCGAGAGAGTATGTGTGTGTAAGAGAGAGAGTATGTGTGTGTGTAAGAGAGAGAGAGTATGTGTGTGTAAGAGAGAGAAAGAGAGTATATGTGTGTGTAAGAGAGAGAAAGAGAGTATATGTGTGTGTAAGAGAGAGAAAGAGAGTATATGTGTGTGTAAGAGAGAGAAAGAGAGTATATGTGTGTGTGTAAGAGCGAGAGAGTATGTGTGTGTGTAAGAGAGAGAGAGAGAGAGTACGTGTGTTTGTGAGTTAGAGAGAGTATGTCTGTGTAGGAGAGAGAGAGATTATGTGTGTGAGAGGAGAGAGAGAGAGAGAGAGAGAGAGTGTGTGTGTGTGTGTGTGTGTGTGTGTGTGTGTAGTCGAAAGAACGGATTGTCTAAGTCGCATAGGTCGGGTAGCAGGTTTAGCTAGGAAAGCCGCTAGAGCAGGTGGACACACCTCTGCCGGTCAGAGGTCTTTCGTTCACTATCCCGGGCGAAACCGGCTAACTAAATCTAGTTGCTTATTATAAAAATAAAGGCATACCCCATGTGCCCACATACTCTCGCAGTTGGTAAAGCCTGCCTCGCTGTCCTTTTAAAATAATTAGTGCCACTATTTCTGTGAATACAATCTCTGCAACCGTAACTAAAGTTGCTACTACTACAATCACCACAACTTCAAACATTACTTAAGCAATCACCACTACTACAATCACCAATACTACAATATCACTAAAGCAATCACCACTACTGCAGTTACCAATACTACAATATCACTAAATAAATCACCACTACTACAATCGCTACAACTACAGTTACCACTAATGCAATCATTCCAGCTACAATCACCTCTTGTACAATCACTACCACAATAACATCGACTGTCGTCACTAGTGCGATCACTACTACTACAATCACAACAATTACAATCATCACTACTACAATCACTACTACTACAGTCAGTATTACTACACTCACCACTACTGTCATCGCTACTACAATCGCTACTGCTACAATCACCACTACTAGAACAACTACTACAATTACAATCACTAGAGTCAATACAACTACAATACATCAGTCACAATTACTACAGTCACTACTACTACTACAATACATCAGTCACAACTACTGCAATCACTACAACTACATCAATCGCAACTACAACAATCACCACAACTACAACACATCAATCACTACTACTACAATACATCAGTCACAACTACTACAATCGCCACAACTACATCAATCACAACTACAACAATCACCACAACTACAATACATCAATCACTACTACTACAATCATTACAACTACAATAATATTCATCATTAACCACATAATACCGTCCTGTTGCCCCCCCCCCCCCTAATAAATGAGCAGCTGTCCAATCCGTACAGCAGCAACAAGAAACCGGTCATCATTGTGGAAGCTGGGATCCACGGCAGAGAGTGGATCGCCCCGGCCGCAACTCTGTGGGTCATGGAGAAGGTAGGTCTACACTGTGTATATATGTGTGTGTGTGTGTGTGGGTGTTATCTTTTTGAATGTGTGTGGCAGAGGCTGAATCGCATTGTGAAAAATTGTGGCTGCGAGAGAGAAAGAGAGAAACAGACAGACAGACAGACAGACAGACAGACAGACAGACAGACAGACAGACAGACAGACAGACAGACAGACAGACAGACAGACAGACAGACAGACAGACAGACAGACAGACAGACAGACAGACAGACAGACAGACAGACAGACAGACAGAACGAACGAACTTAACCTTTCAAAAAGTCACAAACTGGGAACACTAACCGCCTTAAATTCGGCACAAGAAACACTGATCTTTCATACAACAATTGTATTTCATCTGCAAAATGTGTTTTGTTCACATAACAATATACACATTATGAATCTCAGTTAAAATACAAAAAAGCATGTTTGGTACATACTGAAATGGTTGGGGCATGTTGAAAGAATGTCAGATGACAGAGAAGTAAAAACTGTGTACAACAGGGAGGTGAATGGTCGTAGACCACGAGGCAGACCAAGAAGACGATAGAGAGACAATATCCAGACATGCAAACACTAGAGGTCACCAACTAGAAAGAAAAGGCCAACCAGAGAGATGAATGGAGGCGGGTGATATCTGCAGCAATGAAGGGCTCGGAATGATGAAGAAGAAGAAGAAGATGTATGGTATAAACATTTTTTTGTGGGAATTTTGTTTCACTATATATTGCACTGTCATCCAAAAAGCATGTGTGTGCAAAATTCTAGCTCGCTGGCGCATCAGCAATTATAAAAAACAACGCAAAAACTGTACCAAACAAGCAAAGAAACAAAAGCGAACTTAATAAAAGTTTTAAAAAACAATCTGGATATTTTAGTTGAAAAAGAAATTGTGAACACAAGCCGTCTCCGCAAGATGGAGCAGAATAATATTTTAGATCTATGGGGTATAAAACTATGCATTCATACAAAATATATAAAAGATATGAGTTGAATTAGGGCCCGACATAGCAACACTGGGGACATTCTCATAAACGTTCCGTCCTCACATTTAGCAGCAAGCTAAAGTTCCAGTTTCAGTGGCACCTTTAGCAGTTTGACTGTTTGTCCGTCACCAGGCGTTGAGTGTTGGCCAAATTTCCTGGTCGCTCAGCACCATTGACTTCAAACCTTGGTGATCCATGAGTGACCCAACACTGGTCACTCACTCCTACAGGACTTGAACTTGTCAGGCATCAGTTTGCTGTGGTGCGGAGCCAGCCAGTCTGCCCGACAGCTCCTTTCCCTCAGGCATCAGTTTGCAGTGGTGCGGAGCCAGCCAGTCTGCCCGACAGCTCCTTTCCCTCAGGCATCAGTTTGCTGTGGTGCGGAGCCAGCCAGTCTGCCAGACAGCTCCTTTCCCTCAGGCATCAGTTTGCAGTGGTGCGGAGCCAGCCAGTCTGCCAGACAGCTCCTTTCCCAGCACAAAATGTTGTGGAGAAAACACCCACAGCTCTGCAATTTTCATGCAATAAAAAATATAATAGTCTTTCGTCGGCGTCTGTGACTCAGGTGTTGTTAACGCGCTTCGTAATGCCGGGGTACCGGGTTCGATCCCAGCCGCGGACGATTTGTCTTGCGTTGGTTTCTATAGTGGTACCGAGAACACCGTGCAGCAGCAAGGACAAACTACTGAATGTAAAATTTGCCTAGGAAAACCACAGCAGCAAATTTATCGGGTCGGTTCTGTGACGTCCTGTAAGGGATACGGAACTAACTAATAGTCCTTCAGAGGCCACTTGATGCCGCTGTGACAAGATGTCGAAAACACTCAATGAACTCAAGGTTCTGGCAATAGTTAATTCGGAGCAGACGTTTCAGCCCTTGATTTTCTTCGTAATTCTTCTTCTTCTTCTTTCGCTCACTCGAAAAAGATAATCTATATCTGCAAATCTGTCTCTAGTTTGAAATATACTGTCTTTTGTCATTCACTCAGCTACCCGCAAAGTTGGGCTTGCACCGGTGGTTCTCTTCTCCAAGTTTTGCTTTGATATGTTGTATTTGGGACAGTCTTGGAGGACGTGATCTGTTGTCTCAGGGGCTAATCCACATCTGCACATGAATGATTCGCCAATCTAAAAATGTTGCGTACATGTGGCTGAGAAGTCTAATGTGTCCTGTTTTAAAACTTGCTCTGGTCTGTCCATATTTTAATCGTCTTTTGTCAGTTTTGGTGGTTTTCTTCTATTGATAAGAGATTGTTACGTCAGGTTTTTTTCTTCATTTGTACCTTCCTTAGCTAGTTTATCAGCTCTTTCGTTTCCGGGAACTCCACAGCGGGGTGGTATCCATTGCATAGTTACCTTACATCGGTTACTTACTTAAGAAATGACTCAGACCAGAGAGTGAAGTCGACGACACTGCGCAACTCTTCCTCGCTTTAATCTATGTCACCGCGCCTGTCACTCTTTCATCACCCGGGCTGGTCATGTGATCACAGTCTACCCTACCTCCCCCCCCCCCCCCCCCCAAAAAAAAAAAAAAAAAAAACTCTTCTATGGTGAGCTGCAAAATGGGAAACGTTTCCAAGCCGGGCAAAAGAAACGCTTTATGGACACCTTGAAGTCTTCACTCAAAGCATTTGGGATGAATGACACCAATTGGGAGGCTGCCTCTCAAGACCGAAATGCATGGCTTGCAGAACTACACAAGGGCGCGGCTACATGTGAAGCAAACAGAACAGCTAGACTTAATAAGAAAAGGATGGACATAAATGCGACTGCAGGAGATCCCCTCCCTGGCACAACGCTCATTCCCCGTCCTCACTGTCCAAGAACTTTTCGGGCCCGCATCGGCCTCATCAGTCGTCTTCATACTCATACTTGATGAAACAGAGTGGTCATCACCCTCTTGATGGAAAACACACACACACACACACACCAACGCACGCACGCACGCACACACACACACACACACACACACACACACACTTTGGATAATAAATTGTCCGTAATAAATTAGGCAATTTAATTGCGTACCATAACAAAGAATATCAACTGATGAGACTTGAGCGTATACAGAATGAAGGACATCATTCATTGGATGGCTGGTCTGGATTTCGACGTTGCTTGGTAACTGGCAGGGAGCCTAACATAACCTTAGGGTTGTACGTGAATTACTTAATAATAGCCGTGTGAGTTCCGTGTCATATGTCGTTTAAGCTGACTATTCAGTGATGCTTCCTTCGAAGTTGGAGTACATCTGCCTGAGAGATGTAAAACAGATTTGTACAGATGTGTTATGTACACAAAACTTAGGTTCTGGAACAAACCTAAAGTAAAAAAACAGTCGGAACATTCCGCCGAGTTTACAGCCAGTGAACGCGAAGAAACCAAGAAGAATAACTGGGCTTATTAGGTTGTGTACAGGTAGGCTTCTCATGCTTCAGGTGTTTAATCCCGTGGAGAAGAATCCTGTAAGGGACAAACAGCAGTGCAGTGAATTAAAAATATAAAATGAAGTAAAACAATAACTAACTGCGACTTCGTCTGCAGATACTCGAAAACTATGAATCCAGGGAACCTACTGCTAGACTGATGCTGAACAAGTACGACTGGTTTGTGGTGCCGGTAACTAACCCAGATGGATACGAGTACACGCACACCAAGGCAAGTCAGATTCTTTGTTGTTGTCTTCTAGTCCTTACATGTGTGTTTGGTCAGGGCGGTAGTTGAGATATATGACGTACCCTAACGAGAAAAGTGATAACTGACCTGAGAGAACAAGGATGCAAGGCGACGTTTCCGGAGAAAGAGACAGAGGGAGACTAACCACGATGAGGGTGGATACAAGACTTTGAGGATTGCTTCAGCTATAAAATCATATAGGGCTGGATAATTGACTTTCGGGCGTGCAGTAAAGAGAGTGAACTTCTGTATAAGAGCTAATGATTGATGATGATGATGATGAGGCCCATGTGCAGTGATTTATTTTACGCCTGAAGAACGAAGAAAATGCAGAAAAAATTTCTCTCAAGGAGTGTAATGAAGTGAATTGATAGGGAAATCCCAGAGAGTTCCCTATTGAGGGGACAAGGTCAAATTGCCAGGGAAACAAGAGAAAAGTGAAGGAAGCACGTCTTGGATTATCCCGTGTTGTGTGAATAGACGTATGGGGAAAGCACGAGACGAGAACGGAAGGTTTGGAGAGAGAGACAGGATAGGAAATTAGTTGATGTTTGGACGCGGATGTGTGCGGTCGAGTATCAAGGAACGACTGTGAAGATGCGGACTGCTTGACCACATCTGATTGTTTGGGATGCTGAGACATGGTGGTGTCGATTTGAATGAATGCAAACCGACTGCAAGATACTACTTTGTGGAAGTGCAAGTGTGAGATGATGGCCTAAATAAGATGTACAGTCAGAAAGGTAATTACGTCTAGATTCCAGTTGTGAGGTTGTTGAAGCTGCTTCGGTACATGAGCGAGTGGATCACCAACGAGAAAACAGACAGCGACCGGACAGTACAGCTGTTGGATCGGCGAATAAAATCGATAACTGCCGATGGGCGTGTTTATCGTCTGATGTGTTCATACTAACTTTGCATAACAAAGAACAAAAGGACAGCAATGTGATGAGTCCAGACAAACCCTGGAAGGAGCCACGTAGCAGGGAGCAACTGGGAAGCTGGAAGGAGCCACGTTGCAGGGAGCAACTGGGAAGCTGGAAGGAGCCACGTTGCAGGGAGCAACTGGGAAGCTGAAAGGAGCCACGTTGCAGGGAGCAACTGGGAAGCTGGAAGGAGCCACGTAGCAGGGAGCAACTGGGAAGCTGGAAGGAGCCACGTAGCAGGGAGCAACTGGGAAGCTGGAAGGAGCAGCACTGCTGAAATCCAAGACCTTCTGACCGTGTGGCAGAAAACACCAGAAGTTGAGAAGTGGCACCGTGACAGAGCCCTAGAAAAATTGTAAATAGCTGTGAGCACTACAACACTTTGGAACGCTGGCTGACAGAAAAATGGGTGAACCCCAAACTCTCTACAAATGGTGAACGACTTTCACACGGAACATCAGAAAGGATTCCCAATGTCATCATAGAAGGCAAGTCCGCTTCCAAACAATAACCGCCCGAAATCCCTCTTCCTTATCCTACTTCTTTGTGCTATGCCACCATTTTGATCAAAATACATGCTCAGGCGCTGCGAAAGCACTTCGTAATGCCAGGGTGCCGGGTTCGATTCCAGCTGAGGACGAGTTGTCTTGTGTTTGTTTCGACAGAGGTACCGAGAGCTGACCGTTTAGTAAGAAGTGACAAGCTATTGAACGCAAAATGTGCCTGGACAACCCTACAACAGCCACACACACACACACACACACACACACAAATGCTGGGGTTGGTTCTGCCCGTCCTGTAAAAAATAGGCAACTAACTGTAACATTAAATACAATTTTTCTGATATTTAGTTATTTATTTATGTTTACAATCATGAATGACCATCACGTGATACCATTTTACAGTGTTCTGTGTTTAGGAAAATACATTCTAAAGTGAGAGTATTTATCTATTTTGGAACCTATGAATCTAGTTTCCATCATTTTAAATGGGAACATTTGCCTTGAAACTCGAACGACTGGAGTTCGAACGCCGTCTCGGAATAGATTATGCTCGAAAGAATTCAGAGGTACAACTCTGTAGAAGTTCTTGTATCCCAGTGGGAGTGTGGTGGGGTGGGGGTAGGGAAGGTTGTATTGGGAGTGGATTATGTGTATGGGGAGGGGGGGTGGAAGGGTATGGGGCCATAGATCTTTTGCACAGCCTAGATGCAAATCACAACACAACGCGATGACTGTGACGATGATGGTCCGTGTGTGTAGTGATGGTAGTGGTGGTGATGATGGTGGTGGTAGTGGTGGTAGTGGTGGTAGCGGTGGTGGCGGTGATGATGATGCTGATACGGTGTTAATGGTTATGATAGTAGTATATAAATAATAGTCTAACATGGTTGTAAGACAAAGATGTGATTATTACCCAGGACCGATTGTGGACAAAGAACAGACGCTACATCAGTAAGGGTTGCACGGGCGTCGACTTGAACCGCAACTTTGACATTATGTTTGGTAGTAAGTGTGTGGCACACACTCTCTCTGTCTCTCCTCTCTCTCTCTCTCTCTCTCTCTCTGTGTGTGTGTGTGTGAGAGAGAGAGAAAGAGTGTGTGTTTGTGTGTGTATATTTATCTTCCTTTCCCTAAAAATAATTGTTATTATCATTGCACACTTAAACAAGGCTTAAGTATATTGAATCTCTATCTCTTGAAACTTAACGGATCGAGCACCCACACCACGGCCCTAATGATGTGTATGTAGCGACCCCTCAGGTAGCAAGCTACACAGAGATAATGCTACTGTTGATGACGAAGAAGATGATGGTTACTATGGCTGCTTTAACGCATTTAGACTTCCGGTCTAGTATGGCGGGGATGCTGACCGCTTACGAAATGGAAAGTTACTTGCGTCTGGCCACTTTACTCGGATCCGTTTTTCAATTTATGGATTAGGAATCCAAAGGTTCCCTCGGCCAGCTATTGATCGTGGATTCGTTTGGAATGTTTCCCTTTTTCTTCCCTTGTGCCCTCGGCGGTTTTGTATTTTGAACACTAACAATGGCAGGTGGCCGATTTCGCTCAAAACGACATGTACTTATACAGTATTGCTGGTGCAAATGCCGGCTTTCATGGCGACTGTTTGCATCGACAGTGAGGTATAATTCTAGCAGAGACTTTGGGTGTTGGCACTTCTGGCAAACATTAAGTTTGAGCCTGCGAGCTTCAAGATTGTGACGGACTGATATGTGTTTCACTAGTTTAATGGGAGGGTGAAGTAAATTGTGATTTTCCACTGGGACAAGAACGGTGGGGTTATAATTATGACATATCTAGCCATGATGTTGGAGACTGGCTTAACGACTTCATCCATCTATCCCAACAGCCACCGATGTTGAATACAGAAACAAATGCAACACAGACACTTACCCCGGAGAATCGGCTTTTTCCGAGCCGGAATCATCCAACATCCAAGACCTGTTTGACAGTTTGTTCCAGCGAGTGGTCGCCTTCGTTTCGGTCCATTCATTCGGGCAGGTCGGTTATGTTATGTTATGATACGTTATGTTATGCAGTGTTGTGTCAAGTTAAATTATGTTACGTTATGTTATGTTACGTTATGTCATGCAGTGCTGTGTCAAGCTATGTTGTGTTCCGTTATGTTATGTTATGCATTGTTGTTTCAAGCTATGTTGTGTCACGTTATGTTATGTTATGTTACGTTAAGTTATGCAGTGTTGTGTCAAGTTATGTTGTGTTACGCTATGTTATGCAGTGTTGTGTCAAGTTATGTTGTGTTACGCTATGTTATGCAGTGTTGTGTCAAGTTATGTTGTGTTACGCTATGTTATGTTACGTTATGTTATGCAGTGTTGTGTCAAGTTATGTTGTGTCACGTTATGTTATGTCAAGTTATGTTGTGTTACGCTATGTTATGCAGTGTTGTGTCAAGTTATGTTGTGTTACGTTATGTTATGTCAAGTTATGTTGTGTTACGCTATGTTATGCAGTGTTGTGTCAAGTTATGTTGTGTCACGTTATGTTGTGTCAAGTTATGTTGTGTTACGCTATGTTATGCTATGTTATGCAGTGTTGTGTCAAGTTATGTTGTGTCACGTTATGTTATGTCAAGTTATGTTGTGTTACGCTATGTTATGCAGTGTTGTGTCAAGTTATGTTGTGTTACGCTATGTTATGCAGTGTTGTGTCAAGTTATGTTGTGTTACGCTATGTTATGCAGTGTTGTGTCAAGTTATGTTGTGTTACGCTATGTTATGCAGTGTTGTGTCAAGTCATGTTGTGTTACGTTATTACCTGTGTGGCTCACGGCGTTCCATTGTGGAAAGACAAGAACAGAACCACGGCCTCCCCAATAAGCATGTCGTAAGAGTCGACTAACTGGAGGGAAGGGGGGCCGCAGCTTCCTTCGAAGTCGGAGTTTATCTGCCCAAGCAGCAAGGAACAATCAACTGCACACAAGTAAGCAAGTAAAACGGATGTACACGCAAAACTGGCACGAAGCCAAAGTCCAAAAGTACGAACAACCAAGACTTTCCGCCGGAGCTTACAGCCGGTAAACAAAGAAGAAAAAGAGTAATGTTATTTATGTTATTCTATGTTATGTTGTGTAATGTTGCGATAAGTTATAGTGTGTTGTGTAATGTAACGTTTATGTTGTTTTATGTCATGTTGTGTTATGGCGTGTTGTGTTATGCCATATTATGTTGTGTTATGGTATGCTATGTTATGGTATGTTGTACTATGGAACAACTATAATGTCCAGACAACTACTGGTAAGAACAGTTTTAACAACATAGAAAACTGCCGAAGCTGACGGAGACTCTCTAGACAGACACTGCAATGAGAAACAAGTGGACTGTTGAAATGAAGATATCCAAGAGAAACTCAAAGTTGATCAGAAAGGCCAAAGGTGCTCACGTGGCTCGATACATCATAATGGAAAGACTGCACAGGACATATCTCGATGAAGGAATAGTATGTGGGCCCCCAACTCTTTCTTCTGCTTTTCTATCCCCCAATGGAGCATAGGCCCTCAACCAACTCACGCCAAGTCGTTCTATCCTTCGCCATTGCATGGAGCTCTCCCCATGTCCTCCCCATCTTTCTAGCTTCATTCTCCAGCTCTCTTCTCCATGTGTTTTTTGGACTTTGCTTTATTCCTACGCCCCTGTGCGTTCCAATGCAAAGACATTATAGTTATGCCCAACTCTTTTAGTCCCAAAGAACGCCTCATATGGTCATATGTTCCTATACAGAAGCCCAATCAACGCATGATGCGTCGATTTTAGTCTTCTATTTCAATAATTAAGGGACATCTGAACCGCAGAAGACGACTTCAATGTTGATGGTGATGGTGGTGAAGATGAGGATAACGACAGCGACATGATGAGGCTGATTATGATGATGGGGGTGGTGGTGGTTGCTGGTGGTGATGGTAGCGTCGACGATGATGATTCTAACTGTTGATGATAAAAAGGATGATGATGATGATAATGATAGCGTTGACAACGACGGTAATGTGTTGACGACGACGATAATTATGAGGATAATAACGATGATGATGATGATGATGATGATGATATTCTAATGGAAGCAGTTGTAGCGTCAACAAGACAGTTTGTCTCTAGGATAGCACAGCCTAGTGCCAGAATGTCTTCTGGAAGTTATCTTGTCTCGTCGTCTCCACAGTTTGTCCTGGTTCCCTGGAGCTACACTAATTACGAGTATACGTCGACCAGCAATGAGGATTTAGTAAGTTGATTCATCATTACATAACATACGTCCTGACTACACAAACAGGAACATCAAGAAAGGGCTCTAAAATATACATGTACATAGTCTACTAGTAAAACAATTTACACCTCCCACACCATGATGTCAACAGTGGCACAGACAACTACTACACCCACGATATATCTACCATAGATCTACCATGCATCTATTTTAATCTACCGAATGTCTACCATATATCTACCATATATCTACCATATATCTATTCTTTGTTTACCAGATGTTTATTACTTACCATCTACAATATATTGTATGGGGCGGAAATATGGAGAACAACTAAGACAATTACTAATACACTACAAACGTTCATTAACTGGTGCCTTCGCAGAACTGATAGAGATATTAAAATAAGAATACAAAAGGCAAGAGGGGCTTTCATAGCACTAGGGAATTTGTGGAGGTCAAAAGAAATTAAAAGAAATACTAAACTAAAAATTTTTAATTCTAATGTCAAATCAGTACTATTGTATGGGGCGGAAACATGGAGAACAACGAAGGCAATTACTAATAAATTACAGACATTCATTAACTGGTGCCTGCGCAGAATAGAGGGAATAAAATGGTATGATAGAATAACTAATGTAGAACTTTGGGAGAGAAAACTAAACAGGCTCCAGTAGATCAGGAGGTGAGGAAAAGACGCTGGGCGTTGGATAGGGCACACACTGAGAAAACAGGAGAGAACAGCATAACTAGAATGTCTTTGCATTGGAACCCACAGGGGCATAGGAATAAAGGAAGGCCAAAAAAACACAATAGAATCACTAATGTAGAGCTTTGGGAAAGATAAAAGCAATTTCCAGTGCACCAAGAGGTGAGGAAAAGACGAAGGCGTTGGATAGGACACACGTTGAGAAAACAGGAGAACAATATATCTAGAATGTATTTGCACTGGAAAACACAGGGGCATAGGTATAAAGGAAGACCAAAAACACGCGGAGAAGGGAGCAAGAGAGTGAAGTTAGAAAGATGGGGAGGAGATGGGGAGAGCTGCACACGATAGCAAAGGATAGAACGACTTGAGCGTGAGTTGGCTGAGAGCCTTTGCTGCATTGGAAGCTAGAAAGGTGAAAAAGAAGATCTATAAAGCACCCACTGATTTATTGGATTACTAATTTAAGAATCCACTTCAAAGCACACCGAGCATACCCACAGATGCTCCGTCTCCAGCAGCAAATATCTTAAGGTGTAGATGTTAAATGTTTCTGTAGGACACTGATTATAAACTTATTGTTTTCTTCCATTCATAGATTCCTCTTTGTCCGATAACCACTTAATTCTTAGTTCAAACATTGTACACGTGTTATTTTATCTAAGCTGGTGCCTTCTATCTGTCTTCGTTCATAAATGGTTATAGTGTCTTCATGTTCCTTGTAGCTATCGCTTTTGTAGACAGAAACTCCGTTCTTCCACTTCTTCATGCCCCGGACAGTACATCCACGAGCTTCACTGTAATAATGACGATCTGATGCTTCATTTCCACTTCTGCCACATGTATCCATTTGAACCTCCCGCAATCATAGTCACCCTCGTCACCCCATAACACCGAGTGTCGCTGGGTCACCAGTTGCTGTTGACTATCTGATCAGCTCCCACCACATCTTACCAGTGTTGCCACTTTAAATGTTTCCATATTTAGATGTTTTCCCTTGCATTTAGATGGCGCTATTGACGTTTGGATAGTAGATGTTTTTTCTAGATGTTTTTCATTTGAAGTGAATTTATCAAATCTAGCCTAAGAAACAGAATGAAATCTGACCTCTTAAATGCTATCTTGACAATAAAATTCGGCCTGATAAGAGTAGGAAAAGGCTGTTCCACTTATCAGCTCCCTGATTGGTTATTAAAAGAAATTAGAACAGCTAAAGCATACCAGAGTCATTTTGGATCTGAAGCTTCAACTTTATCATCCAAGCTAAGTTTATCCTGTGGATCTTGTGAGGCATACATCGGTAAAGATGAGGACATGATTCTATAGGGTAAGTCATAACAGTTGCTATGTAATTTGTGACTCTTTCCATTTGGAGGTTTTTTCTAGACGTTTTCCACACGAATTTAGATGTTTTTAGATATTTTGTGATTACGTTTTGGATGTTTTTTGTCAAAGAAGGGTGGCAATACTGCCTCTGACTGTCATGTTAGATGCACTACACAGATGCATGCAGTCAAAGTTGTATCCATGTCTCTCTTGGTCTACCCCTTCTCCTGTTTCCCTCTGCCCGGCCCAGTAGTATTAATTTTGAGAGACCGTTAGATCTGTTTACATGCCCATACATTGCATTATCTTTCTTTTCACTGTAGTTAACAGAGATCCATAGTTGTCAATAATTTGGCAATACCGACGGGGAATTAATCACTAAAGTTTCTCTGGCTACTCTGACATCCCATCTAACGCAGCCGTTCTGAATCTATTGGTCTTTCACAGGGGTCGCCAAAAACCATTAGAACATATATTCACTGAAGTTATGAAGTAGCAAGGGAAATAACTATGGTTGGGGGTCGCCACAACATGGGGAACTGTATTAAATAAAGGGCTCCCGTATTAGGAAGGTTGAGTACCCCTGATCTAACACATGTCTACAGTATATTTATTATATATTTACCAGAAGTCGACTGTCTGACCACCCCCTGTGTATCATCTATCGACAAGATATCTACCATTTATTTATCGTCTATTAACAATACAGTTACAGTCTACCAATAACTTAACAGTTATAATCAGAATATCAAGTTAGGTTTATCTGTCAAGTTACTACTATATGAACCTCCATTTATCCCCTATTTTGTTATTATCTACCACGTCTATTAACCATGATACGGTCTACCTACCACGCACCTACCATCTACCTGCTAGCAGCCTACCATCTAACTACCATCTACCTGCTACCAGCCTTCCATCTAACTACCATCTACTTGCTATCAGCCTACCATCTAACTACCATCTACCTGTTATCAGGCTACCATCTACCTGCTTTTAGCCTACCATCTACCTGCTATCAGCCTACCATCTAACTACCATCTACCTGCTATCAGCCTACCATCTAACTACCATATACCTGTTATCAGGCTACCATCTACCTGCTTTTAGCCTACCATCTACCTGATTTTAGCCTACCATCTACCTGCTTTTAGCCTACCATCTACCTGCTTTTAGCCTACCATCTACCTGCTTTTAGCCTACCATCTACCTGCTATCAGCCTACCATATAACTACCATCTACCTGCTATCAGCCAACCATCTAACTACCATATACCTGTTATCAGCCTACCATCTACTTGCTATCAGCCAACCATCTAACTACCATCTACCTGCTATCAGCCAACCATCTAACTACCATCTACCTGCTATCAGCCAACCATCTAACTACCATCTACCTTCTATCAGCCTACCATCTACCTTCTATCAGCCTACCATCTACCTTCTATCAGCCTACCATCTACCTGCTATCAGCCAACCATCTAACTACCATCTACCTGCTATCAGCCAACCATCTAACTACCATCTACCTGCTATCAGCCAACCATCTACCTGCTATCAGCCAACCATCTACCTTCTATCAGCCTACCATCTATCTTCTATCAGCCTACCATCTACCTTCTATCAGCCTACCATCTACCTTCTATTAGCCTACCATCTACCTTCTATCAGCCTACCATCTACCTTCTATCAGCCTACCATCTATCTTCTATCAGCCTACCATCTACCTTCTATCAGCCTACCATCTACCTTCTATCAGCCTACCATCTACCTTCTATCAGCCTACCATCTACCTTCTATCAGCCTACCATCTACCTTCTATCAGCCTACCATCTACCTGCTATCAGCCAACCATCTAACTACCATCTACCTGCTATCAGCCTACCATATAACTACCATCTACGTGCTTTCAGCCTACCATCTACCTTCTATCAGCCTACCATCTACCTTCTATCAGCCTACCATCTACCTGCTATCAGCCTACCATATAACTACCATCTACGTGCTATCAGCCTACCATCTAACTACCATCTACTTGCTATTAGCCTACCATCTAACTACCATCTACTTGCTATTAGCCTACCATCTAACTACCATCTACTTGCTATCAGCCTACCATCTACCTGCTATCAGCCTACCATCTAATTACCATCTATCTGCTATCAGCCTACCATCTACCTGCTATCAGCCTACCATCTACCTGCTATCAGCCTACCATCTAACTACCATCTATCTGCTATCAGCCTACCATCTAACTACCATCTACCTGCTATCAGCCTACCATCTACCTGCTATCAGTCTACCATCTAACTACCATCTATCTGCTATCAGCCTACCATCTACCTGCTATCAGCCTACCATCTAACTACCATCTATCTGCTATCAGCCTACCATCTACCTGCTATCAGCCTACCATCTACCTGCTGTAAGCCTACCATCTACCTGCTATCAGCCTACCATCTACCTGCTATCAGCCAACCATCTACGTGCTATCAGCCTACCATCTACCTGCTATCAGCCTACCATCTACCTGCTATCAGCCTACCATCTACCTGCTATCAGCCTACCATCTACCTGCTATCAGCCTACCATCTAACTACCATCTATCTGCTATCAGCCTACCATCTATCTGCTATCAGCCTACCATCTACGTGCTATCAGCCTACCATCTACCTGCTATCAGCCTACCATCTAACTACCATCTATCTGCTATCAGCCTACCATCTACCTGCTATCAGCCTACCATCTACCTGCTATCAGCCTACCATCTAACTACCATCTATCTGCTATCAGCCTACCATCTAACTACCATCTACCTGCTATCAGCCTACCATCTACCTGCTATCAGCCTACCATCTAACTACCATCTATCTGCTATCAGCCTACCATCTACCTGCTATCAGCCTACCATCTAACTACCATCTATCTGCTATCAGCCTACCATCTACCTGCTATCAGCCTACCATCTACCTGCTGTAAGCCTACCATCTACCTGCTATCAGCCTACCATCTACCTGCTATCAGCCAATCATCTACGTGCTATCAGCCAACCATCTACGTGCTATCAGCCAACCATCTACCTGCTATCAGCTTACCATCTACCTGCTATCAGCCTACCATCTACCTGCTATCAGCCTACCATCTACCTGCTATCAGCCTACCATCTACCTTTCACGCCTCTGCCATCAAGAACCAAATCCTCTGCCTGACATGCATGGATCCAAACCCCCATCAACTTTTCCCCTAGGATCGGGTGGCTTATTTGATGACATACGCCATCTCCAAAAGACATGGACGACTGTACAGCTACGGGAATTCTTTTCAGAAGCTGAAATGTAAGTGAAGCTTCTTTCTTTGGATGCCTAAAGTCCGAGCCTGGCGCTGAAGTTGTCAGGGACTGCCACTCCGCTATAGTCGCCAGAAGCTGCGGGTTCAGATGACTTCATTGCATATAATTTTAATATATTATTATATTTATTGCAGTAGACAGCAAACTAAAAAACACGTTAGTTGCGCATCGTTTGTAGCACGTTGCAGAACCAACCCCAACATTTTTTGGCTGTTGTGGTTTTTCTATTCAAATTTTACGTTCAGTAGTTTGTCATTGCCCTTCGAATGGTCAGCTCTCGGTACCACTTTTGAAACCAACGTTAAGACAAACAGCCCGCAGCTGGGATCGAACCTGGCACCCCGGCATTACGAAGCGAGTCTGCATAGCCTAAGCCACAGAGGCCGACAAATAGGACACTAAAACAGAAACTAACTACCTGTGAAATGCGCTGTCGTCGCAACGGCAGCAACAACACAATCAAGGACAAGGTTACAATTTCACCATTAGAGAGAAAGTTGTAACAAGACCGTGGTTAAATTTATAGTTACAAAGATTTAAATGTTTCGGTGATCTAGTAAGAATGCAGTCAGACTAACCTGCATATGAGATTATTTTTTCTACAGCAGAATATCTGGGAGGGAGGTGAAGAGAAGACTAAGAAAGATGTGGACAAATAGTGAAGGCGAAACCTGAAGAAAAGGTGAACAAATGCATCACCAAAGCAACTTGAGAAGCGCAAGGTAATACAGAAAACCACGACACCGAGCTGAAATCTGGTATCAGTGAGACGACAAAACAACGACACCGAGCTTAAACTTGGTATCAGTAAGACGACAAAACCACGACACTGGACTACAAACTGGTATCAGTGAGACGACAAAACCACGACACTGGGCTACAACCTGCTATCAGTGAGACGACAAAACCACGACACTAGGCTACAAACTGGTATCAGTGAGACGACAAAACCACGACACTGGGCTACAACCTGCTATCAGTCAGACGACAAAACAACGACACAGAGCTACAACCTGCTATCAGTGAGACGACAAAAGAAGAAGTAGAAAAATTTCCATTTACCACATTATTATTATTATTTCATTAAAGTGAAAGTAGAGGTCCCTTTTCCACGACTTTAGGCACATTGGGAATATAGGGCTAAACCTTCGTGAGTTGGTAACTGGTAAGTCATTGATACATATATGCAGCTATAAGGTAGATATGCTGTAGATAAAAAAGTTAAAGTCGGGAAATGTGAACCAGCTTCATTACACACGGTTATAAACCATAAGTGCTCTGCCACCAGTAAGGACAGCTGATAAATAACTGTCCGCCTGTGTCGCCGTCCGCACGCAACTCCGTAGCTACAGCGATGTTCCTCCATTTACCCCAGGGTGTTAACTCTGGTACCCATTACCTAGAGACTGGGTGAACCCCGGGAAGTCATTGATACATATATGCAGCTATAAGGTAGATATGCTGTAGATAAAAAAGTTAAAGTCGGGAAATGTGAACCAGCTTCATTACACACGGTTATAAACCATAAGTGCTCTGCCACCAGTAAGGACAGCTGATAAATAACTGTCCGCCTGTGTCGCCGTCCGCACGCAACTCCGTAGCTACAGCGATGTTCCTCCATTTACCCCAGGGTGTTAACTCTGGTACCCATTACCTAGAGACTGGGTGAACCCCGGGAACCAGCTGGCTTGCAACATTGGCCGTGGGCTGTTGCGAGTCGCAGCTGGATTTTAAAGCGAGTCTCCTATCGACTGCGCTAACGCGGCTCCTGTAGATAGATGATAGATATCGGATGGAAGGATAAATGGTAGATAGATTGTAGATAGATTGTTGATATATTGTAGAAAGATAAAACAAAAAGTGGATCTGGTAAATGTATATAGTAAATATCTAAGGCCCACAGTTATTGTTGGAGAAGCGTGTTTGATGACATTGTCAGTTCCTTGTACACATACTTAGCTAGATGGCAATTGAGATCATGGCTGTGACAAAGGCTCTAGAATAGCTGAACACTCAGGAGTTTGCCAATGCATGATTGCTCAGTGACTCAATGAGCATGCTACAGAAGACCAAGCCGGGGTAAATACAGAAACAGTGGCTTCAACAAATACAGCACCCAGCGTTTCGCAAAAGCCCCGTCACTGTTGTCTTAGAGTATGCTGGTGTTAAAGGCAATGAGAGAGCAGACACCCTGGCTGACAGTACGACTATCAGGAATGGATAGAAGGGACATCATAATGCCATACGAGAGACTAAACGCTGTGAGGCTTTTAGTTTCTTGGGAAATTATTTTTCACAGAGTAGACTGCACATCCTGGGTTTTCCAATCGGAGTAGCGAGACAGGAAAACCATACGGGAGCTACCGGTCGTTACACCAACCAGAACATAATGGGAGTTATTAGCCTTAAACTACTTGGCGACATGCTCAGGGGCAGATCGGAGCAATTATGGTCATGTCTAATGTGCGATGAAGATGATCTAGAACTGAACAATGTTTAAAACATCTTCTGCTACAGATGCGGTAGCGGGAAATTCCATTGACTGGGTCTTGAAGCGCAAACCAAATGTCTACTCCGTGTCACTGAAACTCCGACCCTCAATCTCTGCAAAGGATGGATTCCTTCTGCCGGGTTCTCAGATCATCCCTACGGGCGAGGAGTTCTATGACAGTCTCGCAGTGCTTGCCAAACAAATTCTGGTTAAACAAATTAATAAATGAATTTGAAGACATTGTAATTGCTCTGATCGTTTTCTTTTGTTTTGTAAATTTAATCATTTAAAACATTTTTCTTCTTTTTGCAAAATTGAATAAAGAAAAATAATAGGCGCTTTCTTAATATCCTGCCCCAAACAGGGAAAGTCGGCAGGTCACGGAACAGTCTAATATTTCAGGGGGTGGTAGATCGGATGTATGCAGTCGTGCGACCTAGGCTGCATGCAGTCGTGGGACCTAGGCTGCATTCTCTGGCACGTAGGTGGGTTGGGGTTACGGTCAGTCCTAGATGTTTTGGGTCGTTAACAGCATCAGGAAACCTGGAAAACCACTCTTACCACCCTCTTAAATGTTGGACTGTTCTGTGACGTCATCTGGGGTAAGAAATTATGAAAGAACCAAAAAATACACTGCACATTTTTTATTTTTCATTTTATTTTATGGACCCACTGCGTACCCAAAAGGAAATCGTAAAAGTCGAGTAACTGGAAGCTTCCTTCAAAATTGGACTGCATCTGCCTCAAAGGCAAGAAAACAACTGTCTGCATACATATGGCCCTAGAAACCATGAGTTCTTAACCCTTTGGCTCGGTACTTTGGATATCGCAACGCTTCAGTCTTGATTCATTGATAGGTACCGTAAATCTGGGAGAAATGTGGCTTTTCTGCCTACCACGGCCGTGAACCACAGTATGTACTTCTTTTATAAGAAGCTTCATCATGAATTATTCGAGTAACAGAAAGTGAATTGATCGGCACTCATAGAAAGAAGTAGAAAGATAGAAGAACACACTAGACAACATAAAAATCGAAAGCTATAGTTACCGTGCCGGGAATTGAACCTGTCACCTCCAGACGGCGTCTGCGCCTCGCCATGAATACAAGTGCACTAAGATACATGGTCAACTAGGCACCCCCCAAAAAGGTGTCTTATGGCCATGTCTATCGTACAGCTTGAAATCCAAGACTATGGAATACGGACAAAATTCATTTCAAACCATTGAAATGGCACCATAGATTACAGAAATTTATATTAACGAAGCATATGTCGAATAACAACCACAGCAACAATTTACGCACACAGTAGACCTCATTGCTTTGTCTAGAATACACAAACATTTGAGAGAGGTATTTGATTGGTAGGTTCCGGTGTGTATACGTCATTCATATAAATAAACAGAGGGGGTATTCTTTAGTCCATAGATGTTCAGGATGCTGAATACCAGCCAATTCCTTTGATCTTTTCGAATCACTGTAAATAAGTAGAGCGAACTTTTAGATTTTACAGTAAACATCTGAATTTCCGGTTCTATTTTTGTGTGTATTCAGAAGTGTGTTTTCATAATACATTGATAGGTGAAGTAAATTTTGTCACTTATGTTCAATTGATCTGAGTTGAGCTGAGTAAAGAAAGACATCACAGCACTCGGGGCATTCACATATGCGCTCTGTCCCCGTCTTCAGCAATCAGCGCAGAGTTTCAATGCTAATGTTACAAGGCGCAGTATGCTTATATGTCCATGTTGCCTTTCCCCTGAGTGTAGTGTGCCGGCCAGGCTCTCTGGTCACACCCAGGTGTATCATTCTCTCCAGACCATAATAATCTATTTTCTCTTCTGACTTCGTTACTTGTTCCCAAAGGGCCTTGACCACATCTGCCTTGTCATGTATCAAATCACCACCCAGTGGTGCAGATGCAGCCAATCTGTCTGCCTTGTTCAGTTGTAAACAAGTCCCCAATATGCAACAGTTAGTATTTCCCTTCAGTCTCCATTAGACCCCCGGGTGTATCTTAACTGTACAGCAAATTGTATTATATTTGACACATTTGGATGTGGAGACGTGCAATTGTAGATGTACCTGACGGGTTGCTGATATTCAACCACTCACTAAAAAAAAGGGTTTTAATTATTCCGAAAGGTTGAAAATTGTTACTGGCTGAACATATTGTAATCCATCGCGGTGCCGGTACTCGTCTTCCTCACGGAGCACATGTTCAACAAACTATTTCCAGAAATGAGTGTCTATTTTTGAGAGGGACTCACATGTCAGAACTTCAACATCACACATTTTAAATGTACTGTTCTTTTCAGCAACTTGTTTTTTTACTTTAGCCCAAACAAGCTCTGCCTTTAAATATGTGTCGTCAAAGTTGACTTTCTTCTTAGCAAGCCATGTCCTAATTCGTTCTTTTGTTTTTGATGTCTTTGGTGCTTTATCTTCCTCTGATAAGGCACTACAATTGGCGGCTATATCCATTTCTAGGCATGATGGTTTGTCCAGAATCAGAAGAACGCCATTCTCAAAGTCAAACCATAAATCTCGTGGAAATCAACCGCACCCCCACACACCCACATTCGTACAGGAGGGCAGCTGCTATGATTATTCCTTTCCTCCACTTCCAAGTAGGGAAATGTCCATCAACAGCCCTGGGTGACTGGGCACTGCGGCTAGAAACAACAGCACACCTGAACGACAGCAATATCCTTTTAATTGGACCCAGATTTGCACCATCTCATGCGCTTCAGTCTAGAGATGTAGCGACAAGCGTATATGATGTCAGCACAATGCAGACCAGCCAGATACAACGTTTGTCTAAAGAAACCCGCTTACCCTACATCAGTCGACAAGCTTTCTTACGTGTTTATTTCATTGTCACTGTGCTGCCCACTCGCTAAGCAGTGAGTTTCATAGCCATACTTGCAAATAGTGACTTGTCTATCAAACTAGACTTATTTTGTATCTTATTGAAGCGAGTTATAATACTGATTACATCTGCTAAACTGTAAGCGAGGTTGTGGAGTATATGAGTTAAGACATTTTAACTCAGTTTTCCTGCACTATCTCCATTCTAATTTGCATCTGCCAATGTTCTTTTTCTCTTTCATTACTAGTTTATTGTTCTAAATTCGTGTCACAGTTGTATTGCCACAATAATTTTTATTGTGTAACTTAGTATACACTCACTTGTGTATTTGATAAAAATATCAGTAAACAAAGTCCGTGTGAAAATTAGAAACAATGAAATTTAAACCTAGGCTATTTAAATTATTACTATTTGTTTTTTTTAATAGAAAACAGTCTCTTACAATAAATCCCTATCGCGGACCACTACCTTAAATACTGGGGTGCCTCAAGGCTCGATTCTCATCCCTCGGTTTTTTAATATTTACATAAATGATCTTCCCTTACGTCTGTCGTCGCCCTGCGATTTATTCGCAAACGACTGTGCCATCTATACAAATGCTCAAACATGTAATCTACTAAAGTCGTCATTACAACAAGAATGAAACAATGTAGTCAAATTGAACAGTGCAAACTGTATGCAAATGAACATTAATAAAATCAAATTTATGCTTATAACGACCAGACAAAAAAAAAATATACAGTTTAAACTCACAGAGAGCGCTTCAACTCTACATTGGAGGGACTTAAGTGAAAAGTGTAACTGAGCACAAAGCACTGGTTGGTTGGTCATTGATGCAAATCTAACTCTCATGTACAGGCACTTGTCTCTTCTTCTTCACGTTCACCAGCTTTAAACTCTGGCGGAAAGTTCCGGTTGTTCATCCACTTCTGGACTGCAGTCGGTTCCCGAACCTGAGAGCTGCATGTGCATCGTTTTACAGATCTGGCTCTGTTGTATGCAGACTGCTGGTTCCCTGCCTGTCAGGCAGATGCAATCTGACTTCGAAGTGACATAACAGCTAAAATAGATTACCAAATGCAAAATTTAAAAAACTTCCGTGACGAAAACAAAAGAAATATATTCTATATTTCTCACATCCAGACGTATAAAGACTATTGATCTACAATATGGAATGGCTGTTCCAGTTCTGTTATCAAACGGCTCACATCACTGCAAAAGCGGCCCATTCGCTTGTTATCGATCCAGCGGCGCATGAGCTTTCGCCCTTTGGCCCAATGCCATGTAGTGGAATTTGCATGTTTTCACAAGCTGTTCTTTTCCTCCGTACAAGGTGCCCATTCGCTTAAGAGGTAACAATCATGAGATAGTGTTCCCAAACATTTAAAGGTATTGATAATGTTTACTGTTACTTGACGTATGAATGAAAAGTTGTAAGAATGGAGGGAGACCTCGAAGGGCAGAATGTTAGATGGGCCTGCGACCAAATTCTTAACCCTTTCAAAATAAGGTTTGTTCGTTCGTTCAGCATAGTTCCTAGGATCATTGGAACAAACAAGCCTTTCTACCCCTACAGGGTGGAGACACATCAGAGGGGTGATACAGGACCTCTTCTCATTTGTGTGTGGAGGCCTTTATGGATATGTTCTGCTAGTCTGTTTTTGAGCTGTTTCTTGAACTAAAACTTGCATGTAAACTGATAAATGCCAGTGAGTTTGGTGTACGGAGGTTAAACTTCCAATACCTGAACACTTTGAGGTTCCTTGCTACAGATAGCACCCGCCTACATTCATATCTCTTGTTGGCCTTCTCTTTTCAGTTGGTGACACCAAGTGTTTGTATATTATCTCTCCATCGTCTTTTTGGTCTGCCTCGTGGTTTACGGCCATTCGTCTCCTTTGTTAACACAGCTTTTACATCTTTATCCTCTGACATTCTCTCAATTTGCCCCATCTATTTCGGTCTGTTCTCTCCATATGCCCCATCTATTTCAGTCTCTATTAGCCCCCATGATGCCACTGATCGATGGTAAACTGTGCTTTTAGTTTAGAATAAATCACCGTGTGTCGCTAAATCAAGTATTCTAATTTAAAACACAACCTTCAAGGGCGACAACACATAGGGTACAAAAAGGGAAGGACCTTCAGCAACCTTCGAAATTAAATATTTTTTCATGTGGGGAGAGGGTAAGGGTGCACGCTTCGCTTAAGTGCAGAATAATACTAAACGCAATAGTGAGAGTAGTATTAATAACATGCCTGATAGCAAATAAATATTAATAATATACCTAAGATACTCAGAAATGGGCGGGAGGGAGGGCGGGCGGGAGGGAGGGCGGGCTGGCTTAGATAACTAAAGCCCCAGGCTGCGACGCCCCTGCATGAAGCAGTACGGATAATAGGCGAGAATGGGTTTACAACTCTTTTTTACGACGCTGGCGTGGTGTTAAATACACTGTTCGCTGCTTTGAAACGTGGCTGAAAATCTCACAAGCAAATTAGGTATTTTGTGTACATCCTGCAGTTGGTGAGTAGAAAAAATAAGTTTTCTTTGGTAGAGATAAGGGGAAGAGGTGGGAGAGACCGGAATGGAGGGAGGGAAATAGACAGACAGACCCCCAGAGACGGACGGAGGGACGGACTAGAAGGCATTCAGGCAGGGTGGGAGGCAAGTCGAGCGACCGACTGACAGATCGACCGACCGACCGACGGATGCCTCCATAGCTATAACTATCAAAGGACCGACGCAAAGAAAACATTGTGTAGCGGTGTGTGTGTGCGTGTGTGTGAGTATGTCACCGGAGAAGGAAGCTAGCCTTAACACGCTCCTTCCCCTCCCCACCTTAAACGTTGTCTAATAAAAGTTGCCAAAGAGTGTCATCAAATTTCATATTCACAGTTTAAGAGCAGAATAATAATAAAATTTTGCTGAAGGGCCATAAAAAAAAGTGATAACTCCTATTTGTTTATGAGTTCGCTTTTCAGTCGTTTTGCTCAAAATCAAAGTGTGGCTATCCTGCACTGGTTGGGCCAGAGGGACTGGGATCGAGTCCCACCCGTCACCGGTGAAACACAATCGGCCAGAGCAGCGGTTCTCAACCTGTGGGTCGCGACCCTTTTGTAGGTAGAAGGAGCCTTTCACATAAGCCGCCATAGATCATCGGAAAACGCATATTCATTGACGTTATCAAGTAGCAACGAAAACAACTGTATGGTATGGGGTCACCGCAACATGAAAAAATGTATTGAAACGTAGCTGCATTTGGAAGGTTGAGAGCCATTGGTCTAGAGCCATCTAAAATAACGCATGCCGGGCGGTTTTTCCCCTCGTTCAGCATTATCAACCTGTTTCAACAAAAGATGGCATCACTGTAACGGTTTTAAAAGACTGCAAACACGTTAGTTTAAAATAAGGAAATGTCATCGAAATTCATCAGTGCTAAAGACGAGACCTCATTTTGCAGCCATGAACGTTTGAAGAATGTTTATAGAGATTCGACAGTAGACGCTGGGTACATCCTTATAACAATACTGCTAGATCTACAGTTTACAGATCATTCGGTACTTGACGGGTGACGTGGTCAACATCACACCGGCCGCCTTTGCTTCCCCAGACTTTACCTGATATCCATTGTCAATGTGAGTTTTAAAGTTAGAGGTTAACTTTAATTTATGTTGAGTTACTTTCCAGCGCAAACATGGCTGCTTTAACCTTGACCGTGAGCCTACTTCTGCTGGCAGTGTGTGACGTATCTAGTGTGATGGTTTCCTTCAGAGGGTAAGAACTGATATTTTCCATTTCTATATTTCTCTTCTTCTCCCGAATGCTCGCTTCCTTTCTCTTCTTGAAACATATCTTCCCTTTCTTTTTTCTTCTTTCAATTTATCGTCTTCTCTTTTCTATACTGACCAAGGGTGCTACAACCTGGCAGACTTGGCCCCATGAGATCCCCTTCCGAGAAAAAAAAATGTATGTGTGTGTGGCGGCGGTGGGGGAGGGGGGCATACTTCCATAGAATATTTCAAAGGGTGGTTTAACCCCCCCCCTCCCCCCACAATTCCCCCTCCCTTTTATTTTCTTAAACCTAGTAAATAAATAGTCGGTTTTAGTAACAAAGTCGGGCCCAGCTACAGAGTAGCTGACCTTTTATTCATGCTTGCTTAGGCTGGTCTATGTGACAGGAGTGTCGCGTCCGGTCATATCGCCAGTGACCATCGCGATATCTAGAACTGGCCCTAAACCCAAACCCCTACCAAACATGCTTAGCCTATGTTCCACGAGAGAGTGCAATGTACAACCCGTACAAGCTTTTCTACTTACGAGTGAAAACGCAATGTCCGCGACCGCTGCTCACACAACAACATTAATACGCAAAGCACAAAGCTTTCCTAAAGACAAAAGTACACAGTGACACCCCTTTAACGTAGACCAGCCTGAGCAAGCGTGAATGAAATATCAGCTACTGTTTATCTGGCCCGACTTCGTTACTACCACTAAATCGTCATGTAAGTTTGTGTTTATTAATTTCATATTATTTCAAAAATATTATTGTATTAATTTGCTTTTCAGCAAATCATCATCATCATCATTATTATCGTGAACTCAATGCTTAGGCCACTTGAATTACCCCCCCCCCCCTCTCCCGCCCCCATCTAAAAAAATTAACAGAGGCTGACCCATTCCTCCTTCTTCTCCTCCACCACACCACGTTTTCTTTGTGTCGGAGCCCTTGTGCTGGGGTAACTACAAACCACGTGATGAGTTGCTTGGTAGCGAGCCAGCTGATCTATGACCCTAAAGAATATTCAGCCACAAAAACAATAGAAGAAGTTCAGGAATTAGTATATCATCATCAGTTCTCGTTATGCCTAGTGGCACATGAGGCTTCAGAGAGGACTTTCCATGCTTTCCTGTCCTGTGCAATCTTCAGTGCAGTTTTCCATGTCAAAGATCCCGCACTCAGGTCACTTTCCATCGTTCGTCTACGTGAGAGATACCCCTGACGCCCAGTTTCTCACTGGACTTGTAGAAAAATATCCCCGGGTAAGTATACTTCTATATTTGTTCATTATTTGCACCGTTCGGTGTATTCAGCAGCAGTCTTGTATTTACATCAGCTCTTGTTGGACACCATTAAGAACAGACTCTACTCCAACAACTTTGAGCCAACGATCCTTTCATCTACAACAGTGACTCTCAGCCATTCTAATGCCGCGACCCTTTAATACAGTTGCCCCATGGTGTGGTGACCCCCAAACAATTATTTTCTTTATACCTTCAATGAATATGTGTTTTCCAATATTCTTAGGCGACCCTTGTGAAAGGGTCATTCGACCAAAGAAAAAAAGGGTCGCGACCGGCAGGTTAAGAACCGCTGCTCTACAAACTACACACTGTTTCCCTGTTCACGGTGTTAGACCAATCATCTTCTTCCTCTTCGCGTTCCCCGACTGTAAACCCCGATGGAAAGTTGTGGTGGTTTTTCCACTTGCAGACTTCAGCATTGTTCCAGGCTGTTGATTCCTTGCCTCTCAGGCAGATGTATTATGACTTAAGAAGAAACCTCTAATTTTATCTCGTGCTTGTAAATGAGGCAGTGGGTGTATTCGTGGCACCCCCCCCCCCCCACCCCCACTCCTTTTTTTTTCGCAGAACCCACACGGGGATATTATAGCACTGACATTCCATGTTTTACGCGATGTTGTGTGAAAGATGAGAATACAGAAGGCTCAAGGTAAGACGAGCCTTCGTGCCCAAATCTGTCACTATTTGAAAATAAAGTTCGTTCGTGTGGTCAAGTCAGGTGGGTTGCTATATAGAGCGTCACCCCGAGGATCGAAATCAGCTATGAATAACCCTTCAAGATAAGAATGCTACAGGTACAAATCCCGGAACCCCGTAGCTGTTTTGTTCACTCTCCCATGGAAGTCCACACCTACCAGCTTTTAATTCGCTGGGGAGCCGCCGTGGTCTAGTTGCTAGCTGCTCCGCCTACCAGTCTGGAGATTGTGGGTTCCAATCTATTTTTGTTTTCAAGAATGAGCTGGACTCTCAAGTCAACAAAGCCTAAATTGGGTACCAGGTAAGGTCTTGTGAAGCAAAGGCGGTCGGCGAGCTGCTGACTGCATCGCCCATCAAGGATTGGTCTATTAACAAATGAGTTAGGTATCATTTACCCAATATGCCACGGTTTGAAAGGGATTCTCTCTCTCTCTCTCTCTCTCTCTCTCTCTCTCTCTCTCTCTCATGGAGAGCTGTGTGGTCTCGAGGCATGGTTTTCGCCTCGAGTGCTAGAGGTTCCGGGTTTAATTTCCGGTAAGGGCTGGGATGTTTTTTCACGAGGACTTGGACTTCAGAATTCCCCCTGGTCTCTGGTTAGTGAGATCAGAAGCCCGTGTGCATTGTTGCGCACGTAAAAAATCCCTTGGCGGTTGGAAATCGAAAAAAGAAGCCTAACGGGCAAAAAATATGGAGTTAAAAAAAAATCTACCCAAAGTCTTTCAAGATCCTCCCCGTTGCTACAGATCCTGTGCACCTTTTCGGGCTCAAATTTGAGTTAGAAGAAGAACAGAGCACTTATGAGTTACTACCCGTGTGCCATGCTGTTCATCCGTTCTTCAAACCTCAAACCTCAAACCTCGAACCTCAAACCAAAGTAGTGCTTTGGGAGAGAAATAAACTACTTCTTCTTCTGTGCATTTGGTTTCGTTGCTCAGATCAGACCATCAGGTGCGTTGCCTCTATGAACTCGCATGTCAGTAGCAGGTCCTTCGTGGTTCCTCATAACTTGCTCTGCACACTTTGCTCTTGAAAGCAACATACCATAATTTCCCGTCTACGAACAGGACACTGCAGGCTCAACTACAACATGCATGAAATAAAGATGGTACAGTCCCCATAGTGTGCCTGTCAAACAGGACTACAAACACCTCAGCACATTCTGCAGACTCTACACACAAATTCGAAAAGAACTAAGCAAGTTTCAGTGGACCAGAAGGTGAAGACAAGAGGCTGGCGTAAAATAGGACACACGTTGAGAAAACCTGCAAACAAAATAACTAGAATGTATTTGCACTTAAACCCACCGCGGCATGAACATAAAGGAATACAGCAAGCAAGCAAGCAAGCAAGTAAGCAATCAAGCAAGCACGCACGCACGCACGCACACGCACACACACACACACACACACACACACACACACACACACACACACTTCCAAAAGAGGTGTTTGGATAATCATTGTTTGTGACCTCACTGACAGCTTGACTTCTGGATACCACCGGTTTCTAAAAGGAACAGCACAGTTCTAGTGCCTCCTCACATTGTACAAGAGTTTAAGGTTGCCGTAAACAAACATGGAATGAGAACGTTTGTGTTGTCTGACGATGTGCAAAGGTTAGTGCCCTGTTGAGCTGATGTGTGGGATATTGTGGTTGTGCGATATCTGGTGTGGGTGACGGTTGTTGGGGTGGACGTTTGCTGCTTAATGTGGTTGGGGATGGTATGTATAGTGGTTGTAGCACCAGTCGCACGGTGATGAAAGTAAAGATGGTTTTAGTAGTAGAAGTGGTTGTAGCAGTAGTAGTGTTAGGTGCAGTAGTAGTAGAGTGGTGATGGTTATGGTAGTAGTAGTTGTTGTTGTTGTTGTTGCAGTAGTTCACTGACTAGATGAACACTGGCAGCCACTCTATCAGTCAACTTATTGCTCCGTACTCCTGATTGTCCTGGACAGAAATTCCAAGCTATGTTCCCTATCAAAGTCTGATCCAGCAACACACCGCGCACATCAGTTTATGTTTTCATAAACATGTCCTAAAAGCCAGTTACTATTACAATTCGTCGGAATGTATCGCAGGATATCGCATATTCAGTAAACATTCATATATTTGTTTGTGTGTTTTAGTATCCAGAAGCCATGGCTCTGTAATATGGATATCGCAACCTTTCGGCCTTGATTCCATTGTAAATACCGTATATCTGGGAGAAATGTGGCTATTCTGCCTACCCCCGGGATTGAACCCGGACCACAAGGAGTTCGTCAACCGATCTCCGAGCAATCCGGTTTAGCCAACTACGCTAGAGAGCCGGACCAAAAACAAACAGCTCTGCCAGTGTCTTCGTGCTTAAGACAGCCCAGGACATGTCCTTCAAATCGTTTCGCTCCTAAAGGAGCTGTGAAGCAACATGTAGCCACATTCAGTAGACCTGTCAGCTACCATTTGCGAAAACCTAGGAGACCTTGAACTGGCATCCAAGTTTACGGCCCAGAGTGGATTAAGCCCGTGATCAAAGATCGCTATAGAAGAATAAGGACTTTTTTACTCTCCAGCTGTCGAAAAGCTGCCGATACTGCCTCCACCTCCATGCCCACGCCAGATTTTGTGACTTTTCACACAAGAGTCTCATTTTAAAGCGAGGTCCATTCACCTCTGCATTCAAGCCACGCCCACTCATTTTACCTGTAAGATAGAAGAAACGTTAACTATTTACCTGTTAATAGTAATGCAACCTCCAAACACAATACAGGTGATTTGGAATCTGTGCTTTGCCCTACTGCTGATTTCAAAGATGGGCGCATTTTTTTTTATCCACAGCATTGTGGATGCCGGAAGTAAACGGACGCCGGAAAAAGTAGTACTGGAGAAAATGCGGGCTTCTGGTCAAGTGGTCGATCATTACAATTATCATAATTACAGCACGGTCTGTTCATTTTGTATGTGTTTTTTTTAAATGTTCGTATGTCTATACTATGATGTCTTAGTCTGCCTGATTCTGTCTAAGGTTATGTGTCTCAGGTTATGTGTCTCAGGTAATGTGTCTCAGGTTATGTGTCTCAGGTAATGTGTCTCAGGTAATGTGTCTCAGATTATGTGTCTCAGGTTATGTGTCTCAGGTAATGTGTCTCAGGTTATGTGTCTCAGGTTATGTGTCTCAGGTAATGTGTCTCAGGTTATGTGTCTCAGGTTATGTGTCTCAAGTTATGTGTCTCAGGTTATGTGTCTCAGGTAATGTGTCTCCGGTTATATGTCTCAGGTTATGTGTCTCAGGTAATGTGTCTCAGGTTATGTGTCTCAGGTTATGTGTCTCAGGTTATGTGTCTCAGGTTATGTGTCTCAGGTAATGTGTCTCCGGTTATATGTCTCAGGTTATGTGTCTCAGGTAATGTGTCTCAGGTTATGTGTCTCGGGTTATATGTCTCAGGTTATGTGTCTCCGGTTATATGTCTCAGGTTATGTGTCTCAGGTTATATGTCTCAGGTTATGTGTCTCCGGTAATGTGTCTCAGGTTATGTGTCTCAGGTAATGTGTCTCAGGTTATGTGTCTCAGGTTATATGTCTCAGGTTATGTGTCTCCGGTTATATGTCTCAGGTTATGTGTCTCAGGTTATATGTCTCAGGTTATGTGTCTCAGGTAATGTGTCTCAGGTTATGTGTCTCAGGTTGTGTGTCTCAGGTTATATGTCTCAGGTAATGTGTCTCAGGTTATGTGTCTCAGGTTATGTGTCTCAGGTTATGTGTCCCAGGTTATGTGTCTCCGGTAATGTGTCTCAGGTTATATGTCTCAGGTTATGTGTCTCAGGTTATATGTCTCAGGTTATGTGTCTCAGGTTATGTGTCTCAGGTTATGTGTCTCAGGTTATATGTCTCAGGTAATGTGTCTCAGGTTATATGTCTCAGGTTATGTGTCTCAGGTTATGTGTCTCAGGTTATATGTCTCAGGTAATGTGTCTCAGGTTATATGTCTCAGGTTATGTGTCTCAGGTTATATGTCTCCGGTAATGTGTCTCAGGTTATATGTCTCCGGTAATGTGTCTCAGGTTATGTGTCTCAGGTTATGTGTCTCAGGTTATGTGTCTCAGGTTATGTGTCTCCGGTAATGTGTCTCAGGTTATATGTCTCCGGTAATGTGTCTCAGGTTATGTGTCTCAGGTTATGTGTCTCAGGTTATGTGTCTCAGGTTATGTGTCTCCGGTAATGTGTCTCAGGTTATATGTCTCCGGTAATGTGTCTTAGGTTATGTGTCTCAGGTTATGTGTCTCAGGTTATGTGTCTCAGGTTATGTGTCTCCGGTAATGTGTCTCAGGTTATATGTCTCAGGTTATGTGTCTCAGGTTATGTGTCTCAGGTTATATGTCTCAGGTTATGTGTCTCAGGTTATATGTCTCAGGTTATGTGTCTCAGGTTATATGTCTCAGGTAATGTGTCTCAGGTTATATGTCTCAGGTTATGTGTCTCAGGTTATGTGTCTCAGGTTATATGTCTCAGGTAATGTGTCTCAGGTTATATGTCTCAGGTTATGTGTCTCAGGTTATATGTCTCAGGTTATATGTCTCAGGTTATGTGTCTCAGGTTATGTGTCTCAGGTTATGTGTCTCCGGTAATGTGTCTCAGCATATGAGTCTCAGCATATGTGTCTCAGGTTATTTGTCTCAGGTAATGTGTCCCAGGCTATGTGTCTCTGTCTGCCTGTCCTTGTCTATTTGTATGTCTACCTGTTTGTTTACCTGTTTGTTTACCTGTTTGTCTACTTGTCTGTCTACGTGTCTCTCTCAGTCTAACAATCTCTACCTAACTCTCCATCTCTCTACCTCTCTCAGCCTTTCTTTCTCATTCTACGCCACAGTCTACCCGTCTCACTCGACTCGTCACAGTCTACCCTCTTACTCGACTCGTCACAGTCTACCCGTCTCACTCGACTCGTCACAGTCTACCCCGTCTCACTCGACTCGTCACAGTCTACCCGTCTCACTCGACTCGTCACAGTCTACCCCTCTCACTCGACTCGTCACAGTCTACCCGTCTCACTCGACTCGTCACAGTCTACCCCTCTCACTCGACTCGTCACAGTCTACCCGTCTCACTCGACTCGTCACAGTCTACCCCTCTCACTCGACTCGTCACAGTCTACCCCTTTCAGTCTATGTCCCTCAGCATGCCTCCCACAGTCTAAAAACCCACCTAATAACTCTCTCACTCTACCTGTCTCGTACTATCTCTCTCAGCATATGTGTCTCTCCCAGTCTTCGTCTCCCATTCTAACTCTCTCAGTTTACTTATCTCATTCTACATCTCTCAGTCTACCTATCTCAGTCTACCTATCTCAGTCTACTTCTCTCAGTCTACCTCTCTCAATCTACGTCTCTTAATCTACCTCTCTCAGTCTACATGTCTGTCTATCTCTTTCAGTCTACATTTTTCTGTCTCTCTGTCTACCTCTCTCACTCTACCTATCTAACTGTACATCTCGCAGTCTAACTCTCTGTCTACCTCTCTCAGTCTACCTCTCTCAATCTACATCTCTCAGTCTACATCTCCCACTCTACCTCTCTGTCTACATCTCTCACTCTATCTCTCTCAGTCTACCTCTCTCACTTTACCTCTCTCACTTTACCTCTCTCACTCTACCTCTCTCACTCTACCTCTCTCAGTCTACATCTCTCACTCTACATCTCCCACTCTACCTCTCTCACTCTACATCTCTCACTCTACATCTCTCACTCTACCTCTCTCTGTCTACTTCTCTCAGTATACCTCTCTCAGTCTACCTCTCTGTCTACCTCTCTGTCTACCTCTCTCAGTCTACCTCTCTCAGTCTACATCTCTCAGTCTACATCTCTCAGTCTACCTCTGTCAATTTTCTTTTTTTTAAAGTGTTTTTCTTCTTAGTCGCCTTGGTGGCTTAGGCGTTACGAACGCGCTTAATGATGCCAGGTCGCCGTGTTTGATTCTAGCTGCTGGCGATTTAGTAGCAGACCGTCTAGCGTTGGTTTCGACAGTGGCACTGAGAGCCGACCGTTAAGCAGCAGTGGCAAACTACTGAATCCAAAATTTGCCTTAAAATTCCACAACAGACAAAATATGCTAGGGGTGGCTCTGCAAAGTCCTCTAAAGGATACGCAAGGAATTGTTTTTCTCATAGTGGTGTGCTGTTGAAGGCCTATTACCGCAACATCCTTTGTTTATTGAAGTGTTTTCATATAAAATTAACATCTTCTGTGCGTTTTTCTATTATACCCTTTTCCCAGTCCCCAATAATGAGTGCATTCTTGCCTGCCTACAGATCCGTGACTACATCAACAAACTGGAATCTAAATATCCGAGAAGTGTTGGGGTGTCTACTTTGACTTTCTTCACACAAGAGGGCAGATATGTCACCTTTGCTAAAGTACGCAATAACATCGTTTTTTTTTTTTTTATCTGTACATTATAGTATCGAGGAAAGAAATGAAAAACATGCTATGAAATATTGTTGGACACTGCTTGACCGCAGCATAGCCCGGACGTATTCGAATTGCAGTAGATTCACAATGCGTGTTTTGGAAACTGAAACTGGTGTCCTGCGAACCGAGTAGCTTTCTTTACTTTGTAAGATCCAGATAAAGAGTATATCATTGATCTTTTTTAGATGACATAAGGGTGCGCTAGTTAATAAGCAGGCTGATAAATTAGCTGGTGTCGATCCTCTAGGCGATAAGCTACTGTAGATAAAGCAGATGTGGTGTATGCTCTGTGGGTGATGTGACACTTGGAAAATAAATGGGGCATTCATACACTGCAAGACTAATTCAACGAGGCAAGACCAATTCAACGAGGCAAGACTAATTCAACGAGGCAAGACTAATTCAACGAGGCAAGACTAATTCAACGAGGCAAGACTAATTCAACGAGGCAAGACTAATTCAACGAGGCAAGACTAATTCAACGAGGCAAGACCAATTCAACGAGGCAAGACCAATTCAACGAGGCAAAATCTAATTCAACGAGGCAAGACTAATTTCAAACGAGGCAAGACTAATTCAACGAGGCAAGACTAATTCAACGAGGCAAGACTAATTCAACGAGGCAAGACTAATTCAACGAGGCAAGACTAATTCAACGAGGCAAGACTAATTCAACGAGGCAAGACTAACTCAACGAGGCAAGACTAATTCAACGAGGCAAGACTAATTAAACGAGGCAAGACTAATTCAACGAGGCAAGACTAATTCAACGAAGCAAGACTAATTCAACGAGGCAAGACTAATTCAACGAGGCAAGACTAATTCAACGAGGCAAGACTAATTCAACGAGGCAAGACTAATTCAACGAGGCAAGACTAATTCAACGAGGCAAGACTAATTCAACGAGGCAAGACTAATTCAACGAGGCAAGACTAATTCAACGAGGCAAGACTAATTAAACGAGGCAAGACTAATTAAACGAGACAGGACTAATTCAACGAGGCAAGACTAATTCAACGAAGCAAGACTAATTCAACGAGGCAAGACTAATTCAACGAGGCAAGACTAATTCAACGAGGCAAGACTAATTCAACGAGGCAAGACTAATTCAACGAGGCAAGACTAATTCAACGAGGCAAGACTAATTCAACGAGGCAAGACTAATTCAACGAGGCAAGACTAATTCAACGAGGCAAGACTAATTCAACGAGGCAAGACCAATTCAACGAGGCGTGTGTAGAGGTTCTGAAAGATATTTAACTTAAAGAGGAAACAGAGGCGGACTTTGATTCCGGTTCCAACTGGTACTGTTAGCATGTTAGCTCTTCGTTGGCTACTGAAGAAGGGATCGGAGCACGTGTGGGAATGACCCGATGGGACGAATATCGATTCTTGATGCATTCATGCACTGTCATCTGGGGCGAGAAAAAGGAATTTTCAAAAGTTACATAAACCCTTTCCTGATATACGGTAACGAATCATGGACAGTTGGAAGATGAGTCAGACATTATTTAGAAGCGAAGAACATGCGACTTTATTCATCAATGAGGAGAAGACGTTTTGAATAAAAGTGATAACGATGTTGTGAAAGAAACTGCCTCGTGAGGAGAACTGATTCCCCACATGAGACGGTGTCTACATTCTTTGGTCAGGTCGTGAGGAGAACACTGGAGTACATCGTGACTGCGGGAAAGCTGGAGTGGGAAAGAGGCAGAGGGAGACCGAGAGATCCTGGACAGACTGACATCATGGCATTCAAGGGAATCTGTGTCAGAGTTTATTGAAACTACATGAGACAGAAGGCTGTGGATTGACATGACAACCAACGTCACGTTTTATGGAAGATCATATGTGTAAGTACACAAGATAGAATGTTGAGGCAAGACATGACTACTAACGTCCCACGGTCTGGAATATCATAGTATTAATAAATATAATCATAATAATAATAATATTAGGATACATGTAAGCCACTAGAATCTTCAATACTGATTGTTCGGAACAAAATATGGCACAAGCAAATTTAGTCTCATAGCCTGCAAAGTCTGCTGTTCTTTCTTGTGGAATATATTTATTGTTACTGATTGCGCGACTACAATCTCTACTGTCGTGACTACAATCTCTATTGCGATGACTATATTCTCTTATGCCATGACTACAATCTCTACTGCCGTGATTATATTCTCAACTGCCGTGATTATATTCTCTACTGCCGTGACTACAATCTCTACTGCCGTGACTACAATCTCTACTGCCGTGACTATAGTCTCTACTGTCGTGACTACAATCTCTATTGCGGTGACTATATTCTCTAATGCCGTGACTACAATATCTACTGCCGTGGCTATATTCTCTACTGCCGTGATTATATTCTCTACTGTCGTGACTACAATCTCTTATTGCGGTGACTATATTCTCTAATGCCGTGACTACAATCTCTACTGCCGTGGCTATATTCTCTACTGCCGTGACTACAATCTTTACTGCCGTGACTATATTCTCTATTGATGTGACTACAATCTCTACTGAGGTGACTACAATCACTACTGCCGTTACTACAATATTTACTGCTGCGACTACAGTCTTTACTGCCGTAACTCTACTGCCATCACTACAATTTCTACTGCCATTACTACAATCGCTACTACCATCACTACAATCGCTACTGCCGTCACTTCAATTTCTACTGCCGTCACTACAATCGCTACTGCTGTCACTACAATCGCTACTGCCATCACTACAATCGCTACTGCCGTCACTACAATCTCTACTGCCATCACTACAATCGCTACTGCCGTCACTACAATTTCTACTGCCGTCACTACAATCTCTACTGCCATCACTACAATCTCTACTGCCATCACTACAATCGCTACTGCCGTCACTACAATTTCTACTGCCGTCACTACAATCTCTACTGCCGTCACTACAATTTCTACTGCCGTCACTACAATGTCAACAGTTCAGACCACAATCTCTGCTGCCATAACTACAATCTCTACTGCCGTGACTACAACCTTAACTGTGCTGACCACAATCCCTACTGCCGTAACTATAATCTCTACTGTTAAAATCATTACTACAAACATTACTACTACAATCACTGCTACCACAGTCACTAATAGCTACTACAATCGCCACCACTACAACTATGGTCACCACTAATACAATCACTAAGACTATAATAATTGCTACAAACGCTACAATCACCTCTCTTTCTCATGCTAAAGTCACCACTCTTACAAACGATACAACCACCACTCTTGTAAACCTTACGATCACCACTTTTACAAACGCTACAATCACTGCTGCAGCTAGAATCACTTTTAACAGCAATCATAACTTCTACAGTCATTACAACTACAGCTATGACAACCTCTAACAAGATATATCGTCGTGCCCCCCTCTCGCCCCGCACCGCCCCCCCTCCCCATAAATGAGCAGCTGTCCAATCCGTACAGCAGCAACAAGAAACCTGTCATCATTGTGGAAGCCGGGATCCACGGCAGAGAGTGGATCGCCCCCGCCGCAACTTTATGGTTCATGGAGAAGGTGGTTCTATATTGCGTGCCTGTCTGTATGCGTGGTGCGTGTGTGTGTATCTGTGTGTGTGTGTATCTGTGTGTGTATCTGTGTGTGTGTATCTGTGTGTGTGTATCTGTGTGTGTGTGTGTGTATCTGTGTGTGTGTATCTATGTGTGTATCTGTGTGTGTGTGTATCTGTGTGAGTGTGTGTATCTGTGTGAGTGTGTGTATCTGTGTGTGTATCTGTGTGTGTGTATCTGTGTGTGTGTGTGTCTGTGTGTGTGTATCTGTGTGTGTGTATCTGTGTGTGTGTATCTGTGTGTGTATCTGTGTGTGTGTATCTGTGTGTGTGTATCTGTGTGTGTATGTATCTGTGTGTGTGTGTATCTGTGTGTGTATATCTGTGTGTGTGTGTGTGTATCTGTGTGTGAGTGTGTGTATCTGTGTGTGTGGATCTGTATGTGTATCAGTGTGTGTGTGTGTGTCTGTGTGTGTGTATCTGTGTGTGTGTGTATCTGTGTGTGTGTGTATCTGTGTGTGTGTATCTGTGTGTGTGTATCTGTGTGTGTGTATCTGTGTGTGTATCTGTGTGTATGTGTGTGTATCTGTGTGTGTATCTGTGTGTGTGTGTGTATCTGTGTGTATCTGTGTGTGTATCTGTGTGTGTATCTGTGTGTGTATCTGTGTGTGTGTATCTGTGTGTGTGTCTGTGTGTGTGTCTGTGTGTGTGCGTGTATCTGTGTGGTGTGTGTGTGTATCTGTGTGTGCACGTGTTTGTGTGTGATCGTGTGTGTGTGTATCTGTGTGTGTGTGTATCTGTGTGTGTGTGTATCTGTATGTGTGTATCTGTGTGTGTGTATCTGTGTGTGTGTATCTGTGTGTGTATCTGTGTGTGTGTGTGTATCTGTATGTGCACGTGTTTGTGTGTGTGTGTGTGATCGTGTGTGAGAGAGAGAGAGAGAGAGAGAGAGAGAGAGATGCCGAAATGGCGGTGTTTAAAGAACGTGACTAATACAGGGGAGGGGGTGGGGAGACGAGAGGGGGGTGGTTTTGGTGGGAGGCATAGAGAGAGAAAGAGAGAAAAGGAGCAGATAGAGCGTGACCTCTCTTTCTTTCTTTGACCCTGTGGGTGCCAGTGCACAGACATTCAGGTTATATTGCTATCAGGTATTCTGGTCGTATCTAACGCCAGCGTCTTTTCCCCACCTTCTGTTTCACTGGAATTTCTTCAGTTCTCTTCCAGAGCTCAACAGCAATGATTCTATGATAGCATTTATTCTGCGTCAGCACGAGTTAGTGAACCTCTGGTAAGTTTTTAGTAATTAGTGATAGAAGTTGTCCATGTTTCGGCTTTACAGCGCTTTAGTACTCAATACTTTAAAATTAGGATAAACTCTAGAAGTTGACCATCTCTAGAAGTTGACCATCTCTAGAAGTTGACCATGTAAGGTATTAGCAAAACCAGTCAGTTTACATAGATGGTCAACATACGGAATGATATTACACACACACAAATACACACGCACAAACGCACGCACACACACACACACACACACACACACACACACACACACACACACACACACACAATCTGAGAACAAGCATGAACATAAAATGGAATGAATTCAAAAAGAGCGAGATCTGAGAAATGTGTGGGTGAATACCTGTATCCAATGCAGAAGGTAAAACTATACTGGGCAAACTCTTGAGACGAAATGAGCAAAGAATTACAAAACAAGCACTGAAATAGGAAACAAACGGTCTTAGAAAAAAGCTGACGTTCAAAGAAAAAAAATCAAAAGAACATAAATATGACATGCTAGAAATGTTTGGTTAAACTCCATGTCAGAAATCTACAATGGAATGAATAGAAAATGGAAAAGTGAGAAAAGTTCTAACTAACTGTTACATCTTGTTCAGATGTTACAAGACTATCAGTCCCGGGAACCAACAGCCAAACTGATGCTGGACAAGTACGACTGGTTCGTGGTGCCGGTTACTAACCCAGATGGATACCAGTACAGTCACACCACGGCAAGTGTTTGTTCTTTGTTGTTGTCACCTCTTCCTTACTTATGTGTGTGGTCAGGGTTGTTACTTATGTGTGTGGTCAGGGTTGTTACTTATGTGTGTGTGGTCAGGGTCGTTATTTATGTGTGTGGTCAGCGTTGTTATTTATGTGTGTGTGGTCAGCGTTGTTATTTATGTGTGTGTGGTCAGCGTTGTTACTTATGTGTGTGTGGTCAGGGTTGTTACTTATGTGTGTGTGGTCAGGGTTGTTACTTATGTGTGTGGTCAGGGTTGTTACTTATGTGTGTGTGGTCAGGGTTGTTACTTATGTGTGTGTGGTCAGGGTTGTTACTTATGTGTGTGGTCAGGGTTGTTACTTATGTGTGTGGTCAGGGTTGTTACTTATGTGTGTGGTCAGGGTTGTTACTTATGTGTGTGGTCAGGGTTGTTACTTATGTGTGTGGTCAGGGTTGTTACTTATGTGTGTGGTCAGGGTTGTTACTTATGTGTATGTGGTCAGGGTCGTTAATTATGTGTGTGTGGTCAGGGTTGTTACTTATGCGTGTGTGGTCAGGGTTGTTACTTATGCGTGTGTGGTCAGGGTCGTTACTTATGTGTATGTGGTCAGGGTTGTTACTTATGTGTATGTGGTCAGGGTTGTTACTTATGCGTGTGTGGTCAGGGTTGTTACTTATGTGTATGTGGTCAGGGTTGTTACTTATGCGTGTGTGGTCAGGGTTGTTGCTTATGTGTGTGGTCAGGGTTGTTATTTATGTGTGTGTGGTCACGGTTGTTACTTATGTGTATGTGGTCAGGGTTGTTACTTATGTGTGTGTGGTCAGGGTCGTTAATTATGTGTGTGTGGTCACGGTTGTTACTTATATGTGAGGTCAGTGTAGTTACTTATATGTGTGGTCAGGGTCGTTACTTATATGTGTGGTCAGGGTAGTTACTTATATGTGTGGTCAGGGTCGTTACTTATATGTGTGGTCAGAGTCGTTACTTATGTGTGTGGTCAGGGTCGTTACTTATGTGTGTGGTCAGGGTCGTTTCTTATGTGTGTGGTCAGGGTAGTTACTTATGTGTGTGTGGTCAGGGTTGTTACTTATGTGTGTGGTCAGGGTCGTTACTTATATGTGTTGTCAGGGTCGTTACTTATGTGTGTGGTCAGGGACGTTACTTATATGTGTGGTCAGGGTCGTTATTTATATGTGTGGTCAGGGACGTTACTTATGTGTGTGGTCAGGGTTGTTATTTATTTCTGTGGTCAGGGTCGTTACTTATGTGTGTGGTCAGGGTCATTATTTATGTGTGTGGTCAGCGTTGTTATTTATGTGTGTGGTCAGGGTCGTTATTTATGTGTGTGTTCAGGGTTGTTACTTATGTGTGTGGTCAGGGTCGTTTTTTATGTCTGTGGTCAGGGTCGTTTTTTATGTCTGTGGTCATTGTCGTTACTTATGTTTGTTGTCAGGGTCGTTTTTTATGTCTATGGTCAGGGACGTTACTTATGTGTGTGGTCAGGGTTGTTATTTATGTGTGTGGTCAGGTTCGTTACTTATGTGTGGTCATTGTCATTATTGATGTGTGTGGTCAGCGTTGATTTTTGTGTGTGGTCAGGGTCGTTATTTATGTGTGTGGTCAGGGTTGTTACTTTTATGTGTGGTCAGGGTCGTTATTTATGTGTGTGGTCAGGGTTGTTACTTTTATGTGTGGTCAGGGTCGTTATTTATATGTGTGGTCAGGGTTGTTACTTTTATGTGTGGTCAGGGTCGTTATTTATGTGCGTGGTCAGGGTTGTTACTTATGTGTGTGGTCAGGGTCGTTATTTATATGTGTGGTCAGGGTCGTTACTTTTATGTGTGGTCAGGGTCGTTACTTATATGTGTGGTCAGGGTTGTTACTTATATGTGTGGTCAGGGTTGTTACTTATATGTGTGGTCAGGGTCGTTATTTATATGTGTGGTCAGGGACGTTACTTATGTGTGTGGTCAGGGTTGTTATTTATGTGTGTGGTCAGGGTTGTTACTTATGTGTGTGTGGTCAGGGTTGTTACTTATGTGTGTGTGGTCAGGGTTGTTACTTATGTGTGTGGTCAGGGTCGTTATTTATATGTGTGGTCAGGGTCGTTACTTATGTGTGGTCAGGGTCGTTACTTATATGTGTTGTCAGGGTCGTTACTTATATGTGTGGTCAGGGTCGTTATTTATGTGTGTGGTCAGGGTTGTTATTTATGTGTGTGGTCAGGGTTGTTACTTATGTGTGTGTGGTCAGGGTTGTTACTTATGTGTGTGGTCAGGGTTGTTATTTATGTGTGTGGTCAGGGTCGTTACTTATGTGTGTGGTCAGGGTTGTTATTTATGTGTGTGGTCAGGGTCGTTACTTATGTGTGTAGTCAGGGTTGTTATTTATATGTGTGGTCAGGGACGTTACTTATGTGTGTGGTCAGGGTTGTTATTTATGTGTGTGGTCAGGGTCGTTACTTATGTGTGTGTGGTCAGGGTCGTTACTTATGTGTGTGGTCAGGGTCGTTACTTATGTTTGTGGTTATCGTCGTTACTTATGTGTTTGGTCAGAATCGTCACTTATGTCGTGGTGATTATGATGAAAAATGAATAATGATGATGACAACGATGATGGTGGTAGTGGTGGTAATGATGACGACGATGATGTTGCTAGTCGTGGTGAAGATAACGATGATATGGTGGTTGTTATGGCAGTATCTTCTTCCTCTTCTTCGCGTTCACCGGCTGCAGACTCCAGCAGAAAGTTCTGGTTGTTCATCCACCTCCGGACTTTAGACTTGTTCGAGAACCTAAGTGTTGCGTGCACATCCGTTTTACAGATGTGACTTATTTGTATCACACTTTTGGGTTTTGCATTTCATTTCAAGCAGATGCACTCCGACTTAGAAGGACCCCCCCCCCCCCCCCTCTTCCTCCTCCCCCACCCCAAAAATATGTGTCGACCCTTACGACATACTTGTCGGGGAGACAGTGGGTATTTTCTTGTTGTTCCCAAAATGGGGCCCTGGAGCCCACAGGGGGATGGCAGTGTCTAAATTGTTCAAACATGTTTCTGAGCTGTTCTTCTCAAGGACCCAATGTGGACAAAGAACCGACGCTACATCCGTCGGGCTTGTCGGGGAGTCGACTTGAATCGGAACTTTAATACAAAGATTGGCAGTAAGTTTGTGAGTAGCTCTCTCTCTCTCTCTCTCTCTCTCTCTCTCTCTCTCTCTCTCTCTCTCTCTCTCTCTCTCTCTCTCTCTCTCTCTCTCTCGCTCTCTCTCTCTCTCTCTCTACATATATATATATATATATATATATATATATATCGTTTTTCTCTCTCTCTCTCTCTCTCTCTCTCTCTCTCTCTCTCTCTCTCTCTCTCTCTCTCTCATAATTGGTGTTTGTGTGTATGTGTGTCGGTACGATACATAGGAATGCTTTTGATAGTGTATGGTGTGCTCGATTGTGGCAAATAATGGGGAATTTCAACTTCGATAAGAACATCATAGACACCATGGAAGCACTTTATAACGATGCAAGCAGTGCAGTACCCATACAAAATGACAAATGCAAACTTTTTAAACTAGTGTAGGGGTGAGACAAAGCTGCATAATGTCACTGCTGTTGTTTAATTTGTACCTGGAATACATCGGGAGAGAGAGAGAGAGAGAGAGAGAGAGAGAGAGAGAGAGAGAGAGAGAGACTAGACAATCATGAAACGGTACTAATCACGAAGTCGTGCCCAGAAAGAGAGTGACTTCTCTTATCATTCATCCTTGGTCGTGTTGTAAGGCCTTTCCTATGAGAAAGATGGCGGGTTTTATGTGCTAGTTCTTCCATCGATACAAATTCACGAATCTAACGTGTCAAGGGTTATGTTATGTTGTAGCAGTGTTTCGGTTTGGTAAGTAAGGCCATGGGATATGCATGAGTGTGTCTGTGAATGTATGCGTGTGTGTATGCATGAGTATTCGTGTATGTACATGTATGAGTGTTTGTGTATGTTTGTGTGTGTGTGTGTGTGTGTGTGTGTGTGTGTAGAAGTGTGAGTGCTCGTGCTGTCGGAGCCGAATGCTATGTTATGTTACTACAATATACGTCTCTGCAATTAGGGCATCCTTATCAACTCTGCCCAAGGTCCTTCCCATTTGCGTTTGTGCATTACTTGCCAGCTGGTCAGCTCTTTCGTTACCCTTTCTTCCTGCGTAGATCCAGATGATGAAGGTTAACTGCGACTTCTGAATGCTTTCCACCCATTCGGAGCGTAGACTACCTGTAGCGATTTTCTAAAGCATGTTCATATAGTCTGAAACGATTACCCCATTAGTGACTGCATGTTCTGCTACCCATGAGAGTGCTCTGGAAGCGTTAGCTATCTCCATGGTCATGCTTGACGTAGTAGTTGTCTGGTAAGCGGTGCTATCATCTTTTATTGTTTTCCCCATCCTTTGTGCTGTGTATGCCCATGCTGATCTTGACCCCTGCTTCGGGGACCCATCAGTGTCAATGACAACGTCTTATGGGCGTGAATGCTGATCCATCAATGTCCTAATCTCAGCGACTACGGTGGCAGGTATCTGACTCCTGTAGTACCTGCTCAGTGTTACGGCAACCTTAGACAAGTCAAGCATGTTTACTGGTGTGTCCATCTATTCTTTTCCGTGACTAATTTCGTCTAGGTCGTAATACTTGCTGGACTAGATTTTCTGCTTAGTCCATCCAAGAGAAGTCTGTTTTGAGACGCATCCTTTTTATATCATTGATAGTGTTGTGCAGTAAATGGTTGATGTCTGAGCGTTGTGCAGTGGATGGTTGATGTCTAAGCGTTGTGCAGTGGATGGTTGATGTCTGAGCGTTGTGCAGTGGATGGTTGATGTCTGAGCGTTGTGCAGTGGATGGTTGATGTCTGAGCGTTGTGCAGTGGATGGTTGATGTCTAAGCGTTGTGCAGTAAATGGTTGATGTCTGAGCGTTGTGCAGTAAATGGTTGATGTCTGAGCGTTGTGCAGTAAATGGTTGATGTCTGAGCGTTGTGCAGTAAATGGTTGATGTCTGAGCGTTGTGCAGTGGATGGTTTGATGTCCTGAGCGTTGTGCAGTGGATGGTTGATGTCTTGAGCGTTGTGCAGTGGATGGTTGATATCTGAGCGTTGTGCAGTAAATGGTTGATGTCTGAGCGTTGTGCAGTGGGTGGTTGATGTCTAAGCGTTGTGCAGTGGGTGGTTGATGTCTCAGCGTTGTGCAGTGGGTGGTTGATGTCTCAGCGTTGTGCAGTAAATGGTTGATGTCTGAGCGTTGTGCAGTGGATGGTTGATGTCTCAACGTTGTGCAGTGGGATGGTTGATGTCCCCTGAGCGTTGTGCAGTGGGTGGTTGATGTCTGAGCGTTGTGCAGTGGGATGGTTGAATGTCTGAGCGTTGTGCAGTGGATGGTTGATGTCTGAGCGTTGTGCAGTGGATGGTTGATGTCTCAACGTTGTGCAGTGGATGGTTGATGTCTGAGCGTTGTGCAGTGGATGGTTGATGTCTCAACGTTGTGCAGTGGATGGTTGATGTCTCAGCGTTGTGCAGTGGGTGGTTGATGTCTCAGCGTTGTGCAGTGGATGGTTGATGTCTAAGCGTTGTGCAGTGGGTGGTTGATGTCTAAGCGTTGTGCAGTAAATGGTTGATGTCTGAGCGTTGTGCAGTAAATGGTTGATGTCTGAGCGTTGTGCAGTAAATGGTTGATGTCTAAGCGTTGTGCAGTGGATGGTTGATGTCTCAGCGTTGTGCAGTGGGTGGTTGATGTCTCAGCGTTGTGCAGTGGGTGGTTGATGTCTAAGCGTTGTGCAGTGGGTGGTTGATGTCTAAGCGTTGTGCAGTAAATAGTTGATGTCTAAGCGTTGTGCAGTAAATGGTTGATGTCTGAGCGTTGTGCAGTAAATGGTTGATGTCTAAGCGTTGTGCAGTGGATGGTTGATGTCTCAGCGTTGTGCAGTGGGTGGTTGATGTCTCAGCGTTGTGCAGTGGGTGGTTGATGTCTCAGCGTTGTGCAGTGGGTGGTTGATGTCTCAGCGTTGTGCAGTGGGTGGTTGATGTCTCAGCGTTGTGCAGTAAATGGTTGATGTCTGAGCGTTGTGCAGTGGATGGTTGATGTCTCAACGTTGTGCAGTGGATGGTTGATGTCTGAGCGTTGTGCAGTGGGTGGTTGATGTCTGAGCGTTGTGCAGTGGATAGTTGATGTCTGAGCGTTGTGCAGTGGATGGTTGATGTCTCAACGTTGTGCAGTGGATGGTTGATGTCTGAGCGTTGTGCAGTGGATGGTTGATGTCTCAACGTTGTGCAGTGGATGGTGGATGGTTTGCGTTGTGCAGTGGGTGTCTCAGCGTTTGTGCAGTGGATGGTTGATGTCTCAGCGTTGTGCAGTGGATGGTTGATGTCTCAGCGTTGTGCAGTGGATGGTTGATGTCTGAGCGTTGTGCAGTGGATGGTTGATGTCTAAGCGTTGTGCAGTGGATGGTTGATGTCTCAGCGTTGTGCAGTGGATGGTTGATGTCTGAGCGTTGTGCAGTGGGTGGTTGATGTCTAAGCGTTGTGCAGTGGATGGTTGATGTCTAAGCGTTGTGCAGTGGGTGGTTGATGTCTAAGCGTTGTGCAGTGGGTGGTTGATGTCTGAGCGTTGTGCAGTGGGTGGTTGATGTCTGAGCGTTGTGCAGTGGATGGTTGATGTCTGAGCGTTGTGCAGTGGGTGGTTGATGTCTGAGCGTTGTGCAGTGGGTGGTTGATGTCTGAGCGTTGTGCAGTGGATGGTTGATGTCTGAGCGTTGTGCAGTGGATGGTTGATGTCTGAGCGTTGTGCAGTGGATGGTTGATGTCTGAGCGTTGTGCAGTGGATGGTTGATGTCTGAGCGTTGTGCAGTGGGATGGTTGATGTCTGAGCGTTGTGCAGTGGGATGGTTGATGTCTGAGCGTTGTGCAGTGGATGGTTGATGTCTGAGCGTTGTGCAGTGGATGGTTGATGTCTGAGCGTTGTGCAGTGGATGGTTGATGTCTGAGCGTTGTGCAGTGGGTGGTTGATGTCTGAGCGTTGTGCAGTGGGTGGTTGATGTCTGAGCGTTGTGCAGTGGTGGTTGATTGTCTGTTTGTTGTGCAGTGGATGGTTGATGTCTGAGCGTTGTTCAGTGGATGGTTGATGTCTGAGCGTTGTTCAGTGGATGGTTGATGTCTGAGCGTTGTGCAGTGGGAGGTTGATGTCTGAGCGTTGTGCAGTGGGAGGTTGATGTCTGAGCGTTGTGCAGTGGGTGGTTGATGTCTGAGCGTTGTTCAGTGGATGGTTGATGTCTGAGCTTTGTTCAGTGGATGGTTGATGTCTGAGCGTTGTTCAGTGGATGGTTGATGTCTGAGCGTTGTGCAGTGGGTGGTTGATGTCTGAGCGTTGTGCAGTGGGTGGTTGATGTCTGAGCGTTGTTCAGTAAGTGGTTGATGTCTGAGCGTTGTGCAGTGGATGGTTGATGTCTGAGCGTTGTGCAGTGGGTGGTTGATGTCTGAGCGTTGTGCAGTGGGTGGTTGATGTCTGAGCGTTGTTCAGTGGATGGTTGATGTCTGAGCGTTGTTCAGTGGATGGTTGATGTCTGAGCGTTGTGCAGTGGGAGGTTGATGTCTGAGCGTTGTGCAGTGGGAGGTTGATGTCTAAGCGTTGTGCAGTGGATGGTTGATGTCTAAGCGTTGTGCAGTGGGAGGTTGATGTCTGAGCGTTGTGCAGTGGGAGGTTGATGTCTGAGAGTTGTGCAGTGGATGGTTGATGTCTGAGCGTTGTGCAGTGGATGGTTGATGTCTGAGCGTTGTGCAGTGGATGGTTGATGTCTGAGCGTTGTGCAGTGGATGGTTGATGTCTGAGCGTTGTGCAGTGGGTGGTTGATGTCTGAGCGTTGTTCAGTGGGTGGTTGATGTCTGAGCGTTGTGCAATGGGTGGTTGATGTCTGAGCGTTGTACAGTGACTGGTTGATGTCTGAGCGTTGTGCAGTGGGTGGTTGATGTCTGAGCGTTGTGCAGTGGGTGGTTGATGTCTGAGCGTTGTGCTGTGGGTGGTTGATGTCTGAGCGTTGTGCAGTGGGTGGTTGATGTCTAAGCGTTGTGCAGTGGGTGGTTGATGTCTGAGCGTTGTGCAGTGGGAGGTTGATGTCTGAGCGTTGTGCAGTGGATGGTTGATGTCTAAGCGTTGTGCAGTGGGAGGTTGATGTCTGAGTGTTGTGCAGTGGGTGGTTGATGTCTGAGCGTTGTGCTGTGGGTGGTTGATGTCTGAGCGTTGTGCAGTGGGTGGTTGATGTCTGAGCGTTGTGCTGTGGGTGGTTGATGTCTGAGCGTTGTGCAGTGGGTGGTTTATGTCTAAGCGTTGTGCAGTGGGTGGTTGATGTCTGAGCTTTGTGCAGTGAGAGGTTGATGTCTGAGTGTTGTGCAGTGGGAGGTTGATGTCTGAGTGTTGTGCAGTGGGAGGTTGATGTCTGAGCGTTGTGCAGTGGATGGTTGATGTCTAAGCGTTGTGCTGTGGATGGTTGATGTCTGAGCGTTGTGCAGTGGGTGGTTGATTCTGAGCTTTGTGCAGTGGATAGTTGATGTCTGAGCGTTGTGCAGTGGGTGGTTGATGTCTGAGCGTTGTGCAGTGGGTGGTTGATGTCTCAGCGTTGTGCAGTGGGTGGTTGATGTCTAAGCGTTGTGCAGTGGGTGGTTGATGTCTAAGCGTTGTGCAGTGGGTGGTTGATGTCTAAGCGTTGTGCAGTGGGTGGTTGATGTCTAAGCGTTGTGCAGTGGGTGGTTGATGTCTAAGCGTTGTGCAGTGGGTGGTTGATGTCTAAGCGTTGTGCAGTGGATGGTTGATGTCTGAGCGTTGTGCAGTGGGTGGTTGATGTCTCAGCGTTGTGCAGTGGGTGGGTGATGTCTGAGCGTTGTGCAGTGGATGGTTGATGTCTGAGCGTTGTGCAGTGGGTGGTTGATGTCTGAGCGTTGTTCAGTGGATGGTTGATGTCTGAGCGTTGTTCAGTGGATGGTTGATGTCTGAGCGTTGTTCAGTGGATGGTTGATGTCTGAGCGTTGTGCAGTGGGTGGTTGATGTCTAAGCATTGTGCAGTCAGTAGTTGATGTGTGAGCGTTGTGCAGTGGGTGGTTGATGTCTGAGCGTTGTGCAGTGGGTGGCTGATGTATGAGCGTTGTGCAGTGGGTGGTCTATGTCTGAGCGTTGTGCAGTAAGTAGGTGGTTGATGTCTAAGCATTGTGCAGTCAGTAGTTGATGTGTGAGCGTTGTGCAGTGGGTGGTTGATGTCTGAGCGTTGTGCAGTGGGTGGCTGATGTATGAGCGTTGTGCAGTGGATGGTTGATGTCTGAGCGTTGTGCAGTAAGTGGTTGATGTCTAAGCGTTGTTCAGTGGGTGGCTGATGTCTAAGCGTTGTGCAGTGGGTGGTTGATGTCTAAGTGTTGTGCAGTGGATGGTTGATGTCTGAGCGTTGTGCAGTGGGTGGTTGATGTCTGAGCGTTGTGCAGTAGGTGGTTGATGTCTGAGCGTTGTGCAGTGGGTGGTTGATGTCTGAGCGTTGTTCAGTGGATGGTTGATGTCTAAGCGTTGTGCAGTGGATGGTTGATGTCTGAGCGTTGTTCAGTGGATGGTTGATGTCTAAGCGTTGTTCAGTGGATGGTTGATGTCTGAGCGTTGTGCAGTGGATGGTTGATGTCTGAGCGTTGTGCAGTGGATGGTTGATGTCTGAGCGTTGTGCAGTGGATGGTTGATGTCTGAGCGTTGTTCAGTGGATGGTTGATGTCTAAGCGTTGTGCAGTGGATGGTTGATGTCTGAGCGTTGTGCAGTGGATGGTTGATATCTGAGCGTTGTTCAGTGGATGGTTGATGTCTAAGCGTTGTTCAGTGGATGGTTGATGTCTAAGCGTTGTGCAGTGGATGGTTGATGTCTGAGCGTTGTTCAGTGGATGGTTGATGTCTAAGCGTTGTGCAGTGGATGGTTGATGTCTGAGCGTTGTGCAGTGGATGGTTGATGTCTGAGCGTTGTGCAGTGGGTGGTTGATGTCTGAGCGTTGTGCAGTAGGTGGTTGATGTCTGAGCGTTGTGCAGTGGGTGGTTGATGTCTGAGCGTTGTGCAGTGGATGGTTGATGTCTGAGCGTTGTGCAGTAGGTGGTTGATGTCTGAGCGTTGTGCAGTAGGTGGTTGATGTCTGAGCGTTGTGCAGTGGGAGGTTGATGTCTGAGCGTTGTGCAGTGGATGGTTGATTCTGAGCTTTGTGCAGTGGATGGTTGATGTCTGAGCGTTGTGCAGTGGATGGTTGATGTCTGAGCTTTGTGCAGTGGATGGTTGATGTCTGAGCGTTGTGCAGTGGGTGGCTGACGTATGAGCGTTGTGCAGTGGATGGTTGATGTCTGAGCGTTGTGCAGTGGGTGGCTGATTAATGAGCGTTGCGCAGTGGGTGGTTGATGTCTAAGCGTTGTGCAGTGGGTGGCTGACGTATGAGCGTTGTGCAGTAGGTGGTTGATGTCTGAGCGTTGTGCAGTGGGTGGGTGATGTCTGAGCGTTGTGCAGTGGGTGGTTGATGTCTAAGCGTTGTGCAGTGGGTGGTTGATGTCTGCTGATATCCTCATGTATGTTTTCACCTGTGCCACTTTGTTTGTTTTCCATCGTTGGCAAACCCAGGACATACGGCATGACATGGCACGAGGTGTCTTTTATGCAGCCGAGTATGAGTCTTATGGCCTCATTTTGTTGCTGTTCCAGTCTTTCTATTAAACTACAATCATTCTATCTAGTTAGCGGCGTTCCTGGCTTAGGCGTTGCCAGTCCGACTCGTAATTCCGACAGCTGGCTGCGTGGATTTTTATCATGGTATGGGGTGTCGCAGGTCGACCCAGCCTTAAATGGGTACCAAGATGGCTGTCCTGGGGTAGTAAAGACGGCCGGCGTAATGCTGACCACATTACTCACTCATTGATGATTGGTCTGTAAAAATATGGCTGCTCTTCCCATATGCCCGATGCGCCTACAGGCGTGAAAAGAGATCTTCTATATAGTTTGCTGAATGAGCAGTGCGAGCTTCAACATTACACCGTGACTCTTATCTTTTCTAATAGTTTCTAAAATGGTATTAAGGAGATAATCGTTTGTAATTTCTACTGGCACAAGAACGGTACAGTTATTATGGTAACCCATCGAAGGTGATGTTGGAAACTCGATAAACGACCGACCCCTCTGATGTTGGAAACTCGATAAACCACCGACGCCTCTGATGTTGGAAACTCGATAAACCACCGACGCCTCTGATGTTGGATACTCGATAAACCACCGACCTCTCTGAAGTGATGTTGGAAACTCGATAAACGACCGACCCCTCTGAAGTGATGTTGTAAACTCGATAAACGACGACCCCTCTGAAATGATGTTGTAAACTAGATAAACGACCGACCCCTCTGAAGTGATGTTGTAAACTAGATAAAAGACCGACCCCTCTGAAGTGATGTTGTAAACTAGATAAAAGACCGACCCCTCTGAAGTGATGTTGTAAACTAGATAAAAGACCGGCCCCTCTGAAGTGATGTTGGAAACTAGATAAACGACCGACCCCTCTGAAGTGATGTGGGAAACTCGATAAACGACCGACCCCTCTGAAGTGATGTTGGAAACTCAATAAACGACCGACCCCATTTAAGTGATGTTGGAAACTAGACAAACGACCGACCCCTCTCAAATGATGTTGGAAACTCGACTAACGACCGACCCCTCTTGAACGATGCTGGAAACTCGACTAACGACCGACCCCTCTTAAATGATGTTGGAAACTCGACTAACGACCGACCCCTCTTAAATGATGTTGGAAACTCGACTAACGACCGACCCCTCTTAAATGATGTTGGAAACTCGACTAACGACGGACCCCTTTGAAGTGATGCTGGAAACTCGACTAACGACCTAATCTCTCCCTACAGCCAGCGATGCCAACCTCAGAGACCAGTGTGAAACAGAGTTTTACCACGGATATGAGCCTTTCTCCGAGCCGGAGTCGTTAAACATCCGCGACCTGTTCGACAGTTTACAGCCGAGAGTGGTCGCTTATGTCTCGGTCCGCGCATATGGGCAGGTCAGATGTGTTATGTTATGTTGTGTTATGTTATATTTTGTTGTGATGGGATGTGTTCTATTATGTTTTCTTGTGTTTGTTGTGTTGTGGTATGTTATGTTGTGTTATGATATGTTGTGTCATGCTATACTATGTAATGTTGTGTTATGATAGGTTCTTTTTTTTTATACCTGATGTTATGGTATGTTATGTTGTAGTGTGTTATATTAAATTATCGTCGTAGTCTATTGTGTTATTTTGTCTCGTGTTGTAAAGGGTTTTGGTCTGTTCTGTATGTTTTATGTTGTGTTATTTTATGTGTGATATTTTTATTAAATGTTATGTTATAATATATTTCGAAACGTTGAGTTGTGTTATGTTGAAGTATACTACAAACATAATGTCTAGACAACCTCTGTTACCCACAATTTTAGAAGAAGGAAGGCCGTAGTTTCCCGTGCACATCTTGACACAAAACGGACATAGAACCTGCAATCAGGCACTGAAATGGGAAACAAGTGGTCCGAGGAAACCAGGACATCCAAGAAAACACAAAGTTGAGGAGAAGAGAGGTCAAAGGTGCTGAACTTGGTTCCATACATTGTCAAGAAAACACCGCACAGAACAGAACCGACTGGACCAATAGACGGCGACAGAGGATGGTGATGAATTATCTTGATGGTGATAAGGACGATGATGATGATAATGATGATGCGACTGCTGCTGCTGATGATGTTAATAATATTGATGATGCTGATTATTTTAATAATGATGATGATGATGTTAATAATATTGATGATGCTGATAATGTTAACAATGATGATGATGATGTTAATAATAATGATGATGGTGATGATGATAGTGGTGTTGGTGATGTTGATATTCAACGGCAGCAGTGGCAGCAAAGACAAGAGAGTTATTTCTGTGATAGCGCAGTCCTGTGCATTAATATTTTCTACAACAATGTTTCTCAAAGCATGGGCGACGACCCACTGATAGACCGGGAAAATGTACACGTATCCCCCCAAAAATAGGAGTGCCCAGTCATGTAACAGGGTATGGCACAGTAATATTTCTTCCTCTTCTAGAATATCAGTCTATTAGATTGACACCTCAAGTATGAGAAGCAAACAGGTACAAATGATAATAAATATAACATGTTAGTTTTTAAAGTTAGCTCAACACTTTAATAATTACTCATTTGAAAATGAGGATCCTTGTAGAGGCAATCTTTTGATTCATAACCCAGTCATTAGTAAAGTAATGGATCCTTGTAGAGGTAATCTTTTGATTCATAACCCAGTCATTAGTAAAGTAATGGATCCTTGTAGAGGCAATCTTTTGATTCATAACCCAGTCATTAGTAAAGTAATGGATCCTTGTAGAGGTAATCTTTTGATTCATAACCCAGTCATTAGTAAAGTAATGGATCCTTGTAGAGGTAATCTTTTGATTCATAACCCAGTCATTAGTAAAGTAAAGAACCCTTGTCCACGCCTTTAGGCATATAGGGCATATAGTCTAGACCTATATTTGTTACAGACCAATCGGCACAAGATGGGTGATGTGGTCAGCATCACGCCGGCCGCCTTTCTTTCCCGGGACTGCACCCGGTACCCACTCAAGGCTGGATCGACCTGGGGTCAAGGTCATTTTTAAAAAAAAAGTCTTGGCTCCGCCAGGGAGCAAACCCACAACCTTCCGATTCGCATGCGAGCGACTAATCGCTCCGCCACTGTGAAAATAACCCCGTCATGGAAGATTAAAAACAAACACAATCTTGCGAACTTAATCATCATTTTTTTTTAAAGTTGATAGAGTAGTCTTCTGATGTCAGTCCTGAGTCCAGACATAAAATACAATCATAATCAGATTTTTGGATATCGCTAGAAAAATTAAACACACACACATATCCATGTTTTAGTTATAGAGCTGTCAGACTGTTGGTCATGTTTTCGACTAAAATGTGTTTAAAAAAAAAAAAAAGTTTCAGTCACGTCAGTAATAAAGAACAAAATATAGAAATTAAATAAATATATTATTGCAGGGCTTCATCTATCAGAAGTAACGCTCCAGCAACGTTTATCAAATTTTCTAACATGTGAGCAGCAGGAGATGTCACATTAGGTGACAACTGTACTTTTATGACATCGCATTTATGAAACAAGCTGCCATCTTTACTAGCTTTTGTGTCCTGTGTTCGACTAGCTGTCAGGTAGGCAGCAAAACAGTTTTCCCAATTGTCAGGGGTCACGGATGTAGAAAGGTTGAAAAACACTGTTCTGGCAGTTATCTTGTCTCCTGCTGTCCCCAGTCTCTCCTGGTTCCCTGGAGCTACACCAGTGACGTGTCGCGGCCGGCTAACCATGATAAGCTGGTGAGTTGATTCATCTTTAAATGACACACACCCTGACCACACAAACAGGAACATCAAGAACGGGCCCTAAAATGTAAGTGTCCTAGACCGTCTACCAGTCAAATGAGTTATCTACCTCCCACACCCCAATTTCAACATTGGGAAAGACAGTTTCCGCATCCTATCTTATATTTACAGCCTTTTTTGTCTTATATCTACCGTTTATCTGTCTTATATACCCAGCTCGCTAGCGCAGTTGGTTTAAAACCTTTACGCGGCGACTGGGTGACGAACTACTTGTGGTCCGGGTTCACGCCAGAGGTAGGCAGAAAAGCCACATTTCTCCAAGATTTACGGTATCTATCATGGAATCAAGGCCGAAGGGAAGCGATATCCATAGTACCGAGCCAAAGGGTTTACAACTCATGGCTTCTGGATACCCAAAAAAATATATCTTATATCTATCGTTCATCTATCTTATATCTACAGCTTATCCGTCTTATATCTATCATTTATCTGTCTTATATCTACTACATGTGTACCATATATCTGCCATATAACATACATATACCATACATCTACCATCAATCTAACATCTGTCAAACACTTATCTACCATATATCAATTTATTGGATGTCACTCATTATTTTACACAGATAATGAATGTCAAAATCATACCTTTGTATGTTCCCTTTAATTTTTAATTGTTTTATTCGGACAGTATATTTACCATCCATTTATCCAATATAGATCTACTAACTACATAACATGTTCACACTAACTATTATCAGTCTATTATCTACCTATCGTCTACTTTTTTTTACCTAGCTTCAGACTACAGTCTACTGACCAGCTAGTAACCAGCCATAAATCTGCCTAGCTGTCATCGGTCTAAAATCAAACTAACATCTAATTACCCTTAACATATCATCTATTTACCAACAACCTACTATTAGTCTAACATAAACTTGTCAACCACCTACCCCCAGTCTATTATCCGTCTACCATCAAACTAACACCAGTCTACCATCTACATACCTCTACTTTCCACCTGTCTACCTTCTATCAACAGTCTACCTATCCTGAATCTACTGAATACCAATCATCTATAAACCGTTCTGAAAATTGCACCCTTAGACTTTAACAAATATCTCGAAAAGTCCTGTCCGGATAACACGAACGTTTGCATAAAGTCTTAGATTTCCAGTGTCCTTGTGATTGCATAATTTATAGTTGCGCAGGTGTTGCTGTCTTCTCATAGCGGCGAATTCTTTGATCATAGTCGGACTAATAATAATGTATGTACCCCTTTAGAAATTCAGTCACTGACAAAAATCGTGTACTTTTTTTGAGCCGGTCAGCAAGCTTTACGGCAGCATACCAGGTCTCCACGTCACTACACGACAGAAGCACGCCTTTGTTTGTCGCACAGATTACTTCCAACACGCATGCAATTTGATGTTATGCCAACTTCGCCTCAAACTATTTACTGTAAATATGCTAATTGTATTATCTGAATTTGAGGGGAAAATAGATTTTTGACTGCATTATAATTTGTTTCATACAATGACCGGATAGAGGAAGATAAGTTTAGTTTAGATTCTAATATAATGGATTTTGTAATGTTAATTTTTTGTTAGAATAATTGCGCCATTTCCATGGCGGATCGGCTGCTGACTTTGGTAATAGTATTTGTGATACCACTGACTAAAAACAATAAGAAACACATTTTTTTTTAAAAATCACCTACTACAGAAATCACACCAGGTTACATGCCAAATTTTACCAATTTACACACAGCGGTAACCGAGATACAGTTTTTTAATGTTGGGCACGACTTTTAGAACGGATTATACCTACAATTTACTTACTTTTAGTCTACCATCTACCTACGATCTACCTGCCATCTACCTACGATCTACCTGCTATCACTCATTTCTTCTACCTACCCTGAATCCACCCAACATCAACATTGTATCTACCGTTTACCTACAGTCTACATTCTACTTATCTTCTAGATATTTCCTATTTAGAAAGCAACCTTCTATACAAATCATGGACTCGAACCCTACCAATTCCTCCAACAGGACCGTGTGGCCAGTCTGATGGCCCGAGCCCTTTCCCAAAGACACGGCAATGAGTATAGCTACGGGATTGCCGATCAAAGACTAGACCGTAAGTGAAGCTTTAACTTGTGTCCAACACCAGGCGTTATATGCTGTCTCCTAAGAATTCGAAAATCGAGCTTAACCTCCCTCACCTGGATCTACACACCTGGTCATGAGAGCGTAAAGGGAAATGAGCGAGCGGACCAACTGGCAATCATTTCACTAAGTCATGTGGGAAGAAGCATTGACAGAGCAGATATCGTCAACGCTGTACAGACTAGGCTAGTGGATAATGAGGAATCCCTGACACTAACACGATTGCATGACATGGGAGTAAAGCATGGTGGTGCACGTCTATGCCGTCTTCGAGGCCGATATAGGAGACAATATAACCAGCTTCTGATGGGAACAATTAGTAGAAGTACTTTGGAGTGGCTGCTGCATCAGAGGACTGAGCACGCATGGGAATGCCCAATGTGCAGTGACATTGATTGTGTTAACATAACATAACAGGTTGTCTCCTCTCGTTAAGAGATCCTTCAGTTCATTGTCAGTGTGTGTCCAAACATCCTTGTTCCATGGTCTTCCGAGGTACCTGTTCAGCTTCCCCAAGAACCCCCCCCCCCCCTCCTCTCTCTCTCTCTCTCTCTCTCTCTCTCTCTCTCTCTCTCTCTCTCTCTCTCTCTCTCTCTCTAATCTCCTCCTTCTTCTTCGCGTTCACTGACTGTGCCCTCGGACAGCTAGTTTTTGTTCTTTGTCCGATTCTGTTCTTTGGTCTTGTTGCAGAACTTGAGTTCTGCGTCCACATCCGTTTGACATAACTGACTCCTTTCTAAGCAGACTGTTGGTTCCTTGCCTCTCAGGCAGATGCACTTCGACTTCGAAGGAAACACCCATTTTTAGTAGCCTTTTGCGACATGCTTGTAAGGGGAAGTGCGTCTATTCTTGTCTCCCGTAAAACAGAGCGTCAGAATCGAAACGGCAACTCTCCCTTGGCAATTTAAACTTTGCAAGGGAACAATGAAGTTTACTTAAGTTTTTGTTTGAACATTTCATATTATTATTTGTGCCAGTCACTCTGTAATAATGGTGGTGGTAGCATTAGCAGTAACAGTAACAGTAGCAGCAGCAGCAGCAACAGCAGCAGTAGTAGTAGCAGCAGCAGTAGTAAAAGTTTTTGCAGTAATGGTAGAAGCAGCAGCAGCAGCAGTAGTAGTAGCAGTAGTAGTAGGGAAGATGGAAGAGGAGAAGTAGTAGTTGTAGTAATAGTAGTAGAAGCAGCAGCAGTAGTATATTAGGAGTAGCAGTAGTAGTTGTTGTAACAATAATAATATTAACAATAATAATGTATGCTCAAGCGAATATAGTCCTTTTGTGCTTGCGCGCTCGTGTGTGTGTCTGTGTGTGCACGTGCGAGTGCGTGCGTGTGTGTTTTTTTTTTCTTTTTTAGTTTTTTTTTCTCTCCAAAGATTGCCTGTTTTCGCCAATGCCTTCATGAATGTGTCCTTCGGATCACTCTTTTCATCATTCTTGTAAACGTTTCCACAGCTCTCGTTCTCCGGAAATAGGCACAAGTGTTAAAGTACTACACACACATGTGTTTCCCATTTCAGTGCTTGTTGGTGACTCACCGTCTTCGCGAGACGTTTTCACTAATATATCGCCCTCTTCTTAATCTTATGCCTGTTGATATCAATCGTAGGTGTCAAAACCGGAGGACCGAGCTTCATTGAGCATGGAAAAGACTGTTAAGTATCTGCTCTTTTCAGTACCTCAGTGTTTGTGATTTTATCCTGCTACTGAATGCCAAGTATTCTTCCTGGGCATAGCATGTGAAAGCAATTAAGCCGTCTCTCCTGGTTGACCAAATTTCACTGCCATAAAGCAGAGTGCTGAGAACACAGGCCTGATAGACAAGGGTTTTTGTTTTCGAAGCTTGGGGTTATGTTTTTTTTTATTGCCTGGTGCATTAGTTTTACAGCCTGCAGTTCGGATTTTGTCCTAGCTCCAAGCACCCATTGAAGAATACAAGCTGTGGCGGATCAACACCTTATTGGCTGAGGGCTGCCGAGCTTGAGGCAGGGTGGTAGTTGATCAGTGACATTCGAAGATGTCTCCCACAGTCAGAGGCAACCCGTGGCGCCTCTGTCTACGCCAACTGACAAGGACTTAAAACCCATAACTGCTGCCTCTCGATTTGTTTCTGAGACCGATTAAGGCCAGGGAAGACGTCCCTCCTCTCCATAGCACAAAGCCTGGGCAGTATTGTAGAGACCATATGTTGCCCATGCATAATGATCCCTCCCTCGACCTGCCTTGTTTACTCCAAAGGAAAGGTAAAACGAGGCAGGTTGCAGAAGCTGCCGGATCAGAAGAGCAGTGCTCTATCTGTCAGCCTGTCGGAGCTTCTCTCCTAGACCAGCTGACAGCCAAGGCGAAAGGCCTGGTCTGCCCTGCCATAACACAACGTTTCCAGGTTGCATTTCCTCTTCCTAGGATAAGGCTAGTATCCTTCCCAATGCGATTCTCCGGCCGAAGCCTGGCTGCCTCTAGATACCAAGATAGGGGATATTTGTATATTTTTTAAGTAATGTCTAATCTTCTACTTGAAGAGCCTCCCGTCATCCTGGTGAACTGAATTTTACTTCCTCTTCCTTTTGACTTATCCATGGTTGGTTGATTTTTGTGGCCACTGTTTTACAGGATGAGGTAGCCAATCTCAAGCTCTACCCTACCCTTAGTCGCCTCTTACGACTTGGCGTGAATTGGTTGAGAGCCTATGCTCTACCGGGGGCTAGAACGGCAGAAAAAAGAAGAAGAATTGTCTAATCTATGTGTGTGCTGAAGAAGGTTCCATAGCCGCAACGTTCACGTTTTGTTTGTTAATGTTATATTATATTATTATATTCGGTTTTATATCTTTCCCTCATTCTATAGATGCCGTATCGGGAAATGTTATTGACTGGGTCCAGGCAAAAAAGCCAGATGTGTACGCTGTAATGTTAAAACTCCGACCCTCAATCTCTGCAATGAATGGATTCCTACTGCCGTCTTCTGAGATCATCCCTACGGGCGAGGAGCTCTACGACAGTCTCGCAGTGCTTGCCAGAGAAATCCCCAGTTAATCAATAATAAATATGTTTGAAGACACTATAAGCGTTTTATTGTTGACTTTTGTTTTGTCATTTTAATAATTCAAAACAGTGTTAACCCGTTGTCAATTTCAATAATGCGGACACAAACAGACACAATTTATTGCCTGGCATATTTCATCGTATCTCATCTGCAGTAGTACCGATTGACACCACCAACATATAAAGAAGCACACAGCTGAATCCTTTTTGCTGAAATACATAAATCACATAGTCGAGTTACATCGCACAACTTTCTACCGAACATTCAAGATCAGCCATAATTACCATGGTAAAATCGCAAAAAATGATGTGATCTTTTTGTTTACATAAAGTATGAGTGTTCAGTTTATTTAATTTTTTTATATATTTCTAAATACAGTTTCGGTTATCTTTACTATACGTTTATTTAGTGTATAGTAAACAATTCAGAAGACACAATCCTTATCCAGAGTCAACAAATGACTTTCGAAGAATTCTTCGTTCTTGGCTTATCCTGATATAGATTCTCCACTCAGATGTGTGTACAGCCTTGTATGGATACGTTCTACCATTCTGCTTTCAAGCTAACCCTTGATCGACATTTGTAAGTCTTCTGGCACCTGCATGTACTCTGGTTTACGCAGATTCCAATTCCAATAACTGACCCCCTTCCCCCATATCTACAGAAAATGATGCAGCGGAGAGTGTCTGTGGGCGCTGGACGACACTCAAGACTCGAGGAGAAGGCAAGACGAAAGGTTACCCAGATGGCAATGGGAGACATTATTATGGAGACTCTTTGCTGGCTGCTGAGAAAGGGGACGGGGCTAATATGGTCTTGTCTCGAATGCTGTGACGTCCAATCTCTACCCGTATGACCCAGCCTTCCTTCAACTGTTCCGTTGTCACGACATACTCTAGTTTTTCAATGTCAGGATCTGACCAGAGACGGTACACGTGAGGAACAATTCGTGAATTACAATTCTGACCAGACGAGTGAGTGCCGTTGACCCCCTCCTGACCTGGCTGCTATCTGAACGTTTGACCCCTGAGATGACCAACTCTCAGTTCGGATGAGAGACTAACACGGCAATTTATAGATACCCCGTTCAACCTCAAACGACCGAGCGCTGTCTCACGGCTTCAACTTGCTGGACGGCTGGACAGACATAGACATTTTTCTTGCAGGACCTCAGGTAAGAGATTTTGTAATGTTGTCTGCAGTTGTAAGACTGTCTATTAATGGTATATGCTGATGAGGTCCTACTAGCCACAATGCAACGTTCTCTTGTTGCTTGTGATTGCAATAATATGAAGTTGACTAGTTCTACTTTCTGTCTGGGTTGGTATTTATTCAAGATAACCTCAAAACAAGTTACAAGTAAGGCACTAATAACGGCAACAGCTAATCGTGTAGACTGCAGTACTTACATGGTAAGGATGCTGGTTTTAAAAGACATCTTTACCTCGCTATTTCATTTGTCCAAGATGTTCTCATCATTCCTCTATAAAACCACACTTTTGTAGTTTCCACATAATTTTCCCATGTTCTTGTGTGAGAATGGAAGTGGGGGCATTCACTGCAACCCTGACACAAAGTGCCACTATGCGGATGAGGATCACTCGTGGAAAGGTCCCAGAAACCCCTTTCAGTCGTTAGGCCATATCTATGGCTAGGCCATATCTATGCCCCGGCTATATTCAGGGGCCCCGGCAGAAGCCAGGGTGGTGTTTCAAAGTACAAAACATTTCATCCCACATGTAAGCTGTGGTAATGGGGGATTTGAAAACAAACAAACAAATTGTCTCCGACATTGGGAAGCAACATAAGCTGTGAATTAGAAAGATGGTTCTCCACTTGAACGCCACGTCATCAAGTTGGTTTGGTCACATCAGCTAAATTCATCCACATGAAAAACTGTACAGGACATTTCAATGCACAGATCGTGTCATCAATAAAACGATTTTACAAAAATGGACGATTTATGAAGGTAATGTTGTGCAGCCATAAAACTGAAAAACCATTGTAGACTTGGTGAGACTTTGGTGTATGAATTATTTCCCTTGTAAGGGTAAACTAAACGACGATGACAATGGATTCTGAGCTAAACACAAACATTACCTAATGAATCCACGCTAACAATAGGTGGTAATGGAAATGTCAGTCAGGTTCGGCCACGTTTCTCTCATGTTATAGGTTCATGATTTCTTGTCCCTCGCGCAGCAGAAGAAGTGCCACAGAACGTTTGTAGAAGCGCTTTGAGGTTCGTAGGGAAAAGGTCCAAAGTTTTATTTGGAAAGACAGAGAGGGTTTGTAAGTTCTGCATACTTTAGCTAAACTTGTAAGTAAAAAGTAAAGGTTTCTTTTCCACGCCTTTAGGCGTATAGGGCATATAGGGCTAGACCTATATTTTTATAAACCAATCAGCACAAGATGGGTGATGCGGTCAGCACGACGCCGTCCGCCTTTACTTCCCGTGAATGCACCCGGTACCCACTCAACGCCGGGTCGACCTGGGAGTCAAGGTGATTTCTGAAAACAGTACGGCTCAGCTAAACTTGTGCATGTTTTTATCTTGTGATATCATTTTAGTTGTATTTGTCTGTCGTCTCAGCTTTTTATTCGCTGGGGAGATTCCGTGGTCCAGTTGCTAGTTGCTCCGACAACCGGTCCGAAGATTGTGGGTTCCAATCGAATTTTGTTTTCAATAATGAGCTTGACTCTCAGATCAACAAAGCCTCAAATGCGTACCAGGTAAGGTCTCGGGAAGCAAAGGGGGTCAGCGGGCTGCTGACTACATTACCCATCCAGGATTAGTCTATTAACAAATGAGTTAAGTATCATTTACCCAATATACCCCGGTTTGAAAGGGATTCTGTCCTCTCTCTCTCTCTCTCTCTCTCTCTCTCTCTCTCTCTCTCTCTCTCTCTCTCTCTCTCTCTCTCTCTCTCTCTCTCTCTCTCTCTCTCTCTCTCTCTCTCTCTCTCTCTGCCGATCTCCGTCAGCCCTTTTTTCCTCCATATTTCTAGGTATCACAACATAGATAAGTTTTCTGTTCCCAAACAATTAGTTGTCCGTTCTTTACAGGACGTTGCAGAACCAACCCCGGCATTTTGTGGTTTTTCTAGGCAAATTTACTTTCAGTAGCTTGCCACTATGTCGGTCCTGCGGCTAAGTCGATGTGAACGCTTCGTAATGCCGGGATGCCGGATTCGATCCCAGCTGCGGGCCATGCGCCTTGCGTTGGTTTCGACAGTGGTATCAAGAAGCCTACCGTCCAGCAAGCAATGGCAAACTACTGGACGTAAATTTGCCTAGAAAAACCACACAACAGCTGTTGAGGTTGGTTCTGCAACGTCCTGTAAAGGATACGCAACTAACCTAGCTTGCCACTACTTGTTGAACGGTCGGCTCTGGATTCTACTGTCGAAACCAATGCTGTTAATTAGCCTGCAGCTGGGATCAAACCCAACACCCCGGCATTCCGCAGTGGGCGTTAGTTTGGTTTAGTTTAGTCGACGAATCAACATCATGGCACACGTGTGTAATCCATAAGTGCTTCGTGATATTTTTAACTCACGACAGAGTTAGAAAATCTCACCGCAATGCACGAACTCCGTTGCACCGGCGAGGATCCTGAAATAAAATACTTGTTCATGCATTTCGTATTATTTCTAATCAGTTATCATCATCACACCGCACATATGGTATAATAAAATCAGTAACTTGCAGTTTTATCATCATCATTATCATCATCATAATCGTCATCATCATCATCGTCATCATCATCATCATCGTCATCATCATCGTCGTCATCATCATCATTATCATCATCATCATTATCATCATTATCGTCCTTTTCATCCTCATCATCATCATCGTCATCATCGTCATCATCATCGTCATCATCATCATCATCGTCATCATCATCGTCATCGACATCATCATCATCACCATCATTATCATCATTATCGTCCTTTTCATCCTTATCATCATCATCATCATCATCTTGCCGTGCCCATTTATGATATTATTTCAGATAAAATTATTTGCTAGATCCCCGCCTGTGTGTTGCTGACCCCATCCCACCCCCAGTCATCAAGAGTGGATTGGTCTATAAAAGTACGATTCTATCTAGTCTACTGTTTCCTAGATATGACTGGCATGTAAGGGGATCTTCACGTTCTTCTTCTTCTTCTTCTTCTTCTTCTTCTTCTTCTTCTTCTTCTTCTTCTTCTTCTTCTTCTTCAGCATTCCGAGCCCTTGAGGATCATTGCTGCAGATATCACCCGCCTTCACTCAACTCTCTGGTTGGCCTTCTCTTTCCAGTAGGTAACACCAAGTGTTTGCAGGTCTGTCTGGATATATATCCATCTTCTTGTTGGTCTGCCTCGTGGTCTACGACCATTCATCTGCCTGGTGTATACAGTTTTTACTTCTCTGTCATCTGACATTCTTTCAATATGCCCCAACCATTTTCAGTCTATTAGCTCTCATGATGCCAGTGATCAGTGGTGATCTAAACAGATTATGAATTTCGTCATTGCGTCTCACTCTCCATTCCCCGCTGTTTGCATCTTTGATGGGTCCAAAGATTCCTCGTAAGACTGTTTTCGAAAACCTGTAATAAGGCTTCATCTCTTCTAGTTGTGCTCCAAGTTCAGAGCCATCTAAAACAAATATTCGGTTCTTAATTTATAACGTACCCCAAACACGAAATCCCCGTGGGAAATCCACAGCTGACCTGACAGTCCATTATTTCAAGGGGTGCGAGTGTGCTGTTGTTTGGTGTTTTTTTTTTGAGTGTTCATCTAGTGTCTTCTAATCCTAACCCTAACCCTAACCCTAACCCTAACCCTAAACTTGGCTGTAGATAAATCGCGAGAAACTAGTACCTGAAAACAATAGAATTTATTGGGATTGTCTCCCGTGATGTAGTCGTGACGTCAGGGGTAAGTTATAAATTAAGTACCGAATATTCTTATCAACGTTTGATATATCTTCCCTTTTCTTTTATAATTATTTGCTATTCATTATTTATTTATTTATAACTCAAAGATAATACAATTTGAGACGATGCATTTTTTCCGTAGCAACCTACGGATGTGAGTCGTGGACTTTCTCCCAGTCCTTAAGAAAGAAAATGGGAGCTTTTGAGCTGAAATGATAAAGAGAGATTCTCAAAATATCACCAACACAGAAGAAAAGAAATACTGACACTAAAACAGTGGTTCTCAACCTTCCTAACGCTTGAATACAGTTCCTCGTGTTGTGGCGATCGGCAACCATACAATTATTTTCGTTGCTACTTCATCACTTCAATGAATATTTGTTTTCCGACGGTCTTAGGCGATACATGTGAAAGGGTCGTTCGACCCACAAAGGGGTCGAGACCCATAGGTTGAGAAACGCTGCTCTAAAAGATCTGAACATTGAGGAAGACTGGCTCATAAACAGCATCTTGTCTGGGAAGCTGAAATATTTTGGTCACACCAGGCGTCATGGCAGATTGGAAAAAAAATAACAGCAGAAGGCATGGTACCAGGAAGGAGGAGGAGCCGACCAACACGAAGATGGGCACATGATATAACTGACTCCTTGAATATGAAAGTACATGAGGCGGGAGAGCTGACGAAAGACAGTTTCTTTTAGGCAGACCGTGATGAGAGCGACGTTCTGCAAATGATCTGCTACATGATTATTATTATTATTGATTCTAAGTCTTTGTAAAACTTCTCACAGTTTTGTTGATATTTTTGTTTGTGTAGGTAACAAATTCTCTCCCGTTTCATTGAATTTATGGTGAATTATTGTTCAGTGTGATCATGGACAGAGTGACCTTGACCGTGGCCTTGTGTCTGCTAGCGCATGTTGAACTCATGTCGGCATCTTTTGACTATACAGGGCAAGAACGTTTTTTTTTTCCAAGTCTTTATTTTCCCTCCAGAGTTTTTATTCTTACTTTTCCTTTGCTTACTCTTCGTATCTTACTATCCTACTCCTTACTCTTCTCTCCTTACTCTTCTTCTCCTTACTCTTTTCCTCCTAATTGTTTTTTTTTCTCCTTACTCCTTTTCCTCCTTACTCTTTTCCTCCTTACTCTTTTTTCTTCTTCTTAATCTTTTTTCCTTACTCTTATTTTCCCTACTCTTCTTCTCGTTACTCTTTTTTCCCTTACTCCTTTTTTCTGCTTGCTCTTTTTCTCACCACTCTTCCTCTCTTTACTCTTCTTCTCCTTATTCGTTGTTTCTCCTTACTCTTTTTTACTCCTTACTCTTTTTCTTCTTACTCTTTTTCTGCCTACTCTTTTTACTCCTTACTCTTTTTCTTGTTACTCTTTTTCTGCCTACTCGTTTTCTCCTTACTCTTTTTCTGCCTACTCGTTTTCTCCTTACTCTTTTTCTGCCTACTCGTTTTCTCCTTACTCTTTTTCTGCCTACTCGTTTTCTCCTTACTCTTTTTCTGCCTACTCGTTTTCTCCTTACTCTTTTTCTGCCTACTCTTTCTCTTCTTACTCTTTTCCTGCTTACTCCTTTTCTCCTTATTCTTTATTTTTCTTCTTACTCCTTTTCTCCCTACTCTTTTTCTTCTTACTTGTTTTCTCCTTTCTCTTCTTTTCCTTACCCTTTTTTATCTTGTCTATTCCCCTCTTCTCTTCTTCTCACTTTCTGCTAAATACTCTTGTATTAAGCATTGTACGGGGTAAAGACCAGGCTGACAGACTGGCTGATGTCGCTCCTCTGGGTAGTGAGCTAATTTATAATAAAGCCGACACTGTGAAGGCTCTCGGGTATCAACTGCACAGTGCAACAAAACACACAGGATATCCGGAGAGTGAAAAACTATTTTACCGGGGATGTGGCGTGGGAAGATCTAATTAACACTAAGGAAGGGGGGAGGGCGGGGTGTTGGCTCAGGAGGGGGGTGTTGGCCCGGGAGGAATGTTGGCCCGGGAGGGGGGTGTTGGCCCGGGGGGGGGGGGGGCAGCACATTCGGACTTTCAGTATTGTTGTACCTGCTACTGTTGGCATATCTATTCTTTGGCTACTGAAGAAAAGGACGGAGCCCGTGTGGGAATGTCTCCAGTGCCATGTGATGTCAATTCCTGATTTATTGATTCGTCCATTATCTATTTCAAGTTGACATGTTTATCTAAAGATAACCACAGGTCACGAATGAAGACAGACAAGTTAACATACTGATATGATATAGATTCTTCTTGCGTAATCTCAATATTTCTCATATCATATAAAGATATAAAACAGAACGAAAAGTATATCAACAAGCCTCACAATATAACAAAAACAAACAAAACTTGAACGTTGCGGCTATAGAGCTTTCATCAGCTCATACAAAATTCAAATAAAACCACACGAATTAAAAAAAAGTCACTTAACTGACGTATCCCAAAGCAACCACACTGATGTCTGGCAATTTCAATGAAGACTGACTGACTTTCTAGCCCACCAGGACACCACACAAGCGATAAACACCCGATGACACAAAGTGCCACCATGTGGATGAGGATCGCCGTGGAGAGGTCCCAGAAACCGCGTTCAGACAATTGGCCACACCTATGGCCTGCCCATATTGCGGCCCCTGACAAAGCCATGGTGGGGCTCCAAATAACAAAAAATTTCATCCTTAAAAGGACGGAAATTGAATAATTCAATGAAGAGATACGTGTGGACTAAAATAGCCAGGGTATACTAAGGGCCGTAACTCGAGAATTTCAGATAAAACCGAAAACAATCAAATTGTTCTCCAGTGGATCCCGGCTCACTGCAGCATACCAGGAAATAAGTTAGCATACAGACTTGCAAACAATGGAACAAAGGAGAAACAGCACGACCTATTCTTTGTCATTACCAGAAATCAGAAGACTTTTGAAAGGAAAATACAAGAGATTGTGGAGAGAACAAACTAACAGTAAACATCCACAAGACCCCATCAGCAGACTCAACAGAAAGCAACATGCAAAAATGTTTCGTCTACGAACAGGAGACTGCAGGCTCAACTACCACATGCAAAAAATAAAGATTGTACAGACCCCACAGTGTGCCTGTCAAACAGGACCCACAAACGCCTCAGCACATTCTGCAGACCTGCCCACTCTACCTGCAACTTCGAAAAGACACCTGGCCTCAAGAGCAAAGTGTACAAAGCAAGCTCTGGGAAACCATGCAGGACCTGCAGCTGACATGTGAGTTTACAGAGGCAACCCACCTGATGGTCTGATCTGAGCATAGGAAACCGAACGCAAAGAAGAAAAAGAAGAAAATAAAACTGTATTGACAGTTCCGACGCATATATGTTTAGGTTCCCAGGTAAAAAAAAAAAAAAAAACGATTTTCAAGAAAGTTGCGGACTCTGACACTGGAATGGTTGGATTTAAGGGTTGTCACTTCCATATCGTGGGCACCTTGGGCATCGTGAGAATTAAAGAGCAATGGTACTGGTCTCAGGGTACCGTTCTGAATATCCAAAAGATGTTGCCTGAACCTGTGAGCGTCATCCAGCAGTCTTCGACACGGCGAAGGTTAGGGCGATAGAGTCATGCCATTCCATTAAAAGGGTCCGTAAGTCTCATGAGAACCATCGTATCTTCCCAACGGGCTCTCTCTCACCTAAGAGCCTTGACGTTCAAGACAGTTTTCTCCAAACATCTTTTAGTTACGATCCAAAAATTTTGGCAAGAGGGTTCAATTCCTCTTCCCGCCCTTTTTTTTTAAATTCATATTTGTGATTTGTATCATTGTCCGTTTGTGTCATATGATAATGAAGGTCTTCTAAACCAATGTTCATTTTGTCGTTCATGATTGTGATAATGCGGGGTTGATTACTCCTACTTCTGTTCATTCTGATTTTATAATGTACAGTAACGATCTCTTTTCACGACTTGAAGCACATCGGGTATATGGGAAGAGCGCCAATATTTTTACAGACCAATCGGCACTAGGTGGGTAATGTGGTCAGTATTACGTCCGACCGTCTTTACTTCCTCAGGACAGCCATCCTAGGTACCCATTTTAGGCTGGGTCGACCTTCGACGCCCCACACCATGATACAAATCCACGCAGCCAGCAGTGGGCTTTGATCGTGGTACGTTGGAATTACGAGTCGGACTCGCAACGCCTAAGCCACGGATGCCACATTTGGATATATATATATATATATATATATATATATATATATATATATATATATATATATATATATATATATATATATATATATATGGGTTATACATATCTTTTCTTTATTTTATCTTTATATATAATGTATTTATTTATTTATTTATTTATGTGTCTGCAGATACCAGCTTCTGTCGGTGTATGTCAGAAACGCAGAGGATGAAATAATTCTCGTTCACTTGCAAGATACATATCCTGAGGTAAGCTCGGGCTGTCAGGTGTAACATTCAACCAGTCACTGGAGATGGACGGTGGATTCTTGTTGATTATAAAACCCACAAACTTCAAAAGATGGACGGTGGATTCTTGTTGATAAAAAAAACCCACAAACCTCGAAAGATGGACGGTGGATTCTTGTTGATTAAAAAAAAACCACAAACCTCGAGAGATGGACGGTGGATTCTTGTTGATAAAAAAACCCACAAACCTCGAGAGATGGACGGTGGATTCTTGTTGATAAAAAAAACCACAAACCTCGAGAGATGGGCGGTGGATTCTTGTTGAAAAAAACCACCACAAACCTCGAGAGATGGACGGTGGATTCTTGTTGATAAAAAAAAAACCTCAAACCTCGAGAGATGGACGGTGGATTCTTGTTGATAAAAAAAAAACCACAAACCTCGAGAGATGAACGGTGGATTCTTGTTGATAAAAAAAAACACAAACCTCGAGAGATGGACGTTGGATTCTTGTTGATAATAAAACCCAAAAACGTCGAGAGATGGACGGTGGATTCTTGTTGATTGAAAAACCCACAAACCTCGAAAGATGGACGGTAGATTCTTGTTAATAATGAAACCCACAAATCTCGAGAGATGGACGGTGGATTCTTGTTGATAATAAAACCCACAAACCTCCAGAAATGGACGGTGGATTCTTGTTGATAATAAAACCCACAAACCTCGAGAGATGAACGGTGGATTCTTGTTGATAATAAAACCCACAAACCTCAAGAGATGGACGGTGGATTCTTGTTGATAATAAAACCCACAAACCTCGAGAGATGGACGGTGGATTCTTGTTGATAATAAAACCCACAAATCACGAGACGAACACCGATAAGAGAGGCCGTCCATGCTGGACTCGATTCCATCAATGATCAGTTGCATCAGGCTAGAACATAAGTTAGGACCAAACTGTGAGCATTGTGTGGCACGACATGGGCTAAACTGAGGATGATAATGATGATGGTGAAGGTGGTGGTGGTTTTGGTGGTAGTGGTGGTGGTAAGGATGAGCTATAAGAACTGACAACCGAGTAAGAAATTTTCAAACCATTAAACAAGTTTTTTAACAGAGATGTGCACTACACCCGATATATTCAGTGTGTACAGTCTGTGGCTTTGGCGCTGCGAACACGCTTTGTAATGCTGGGGTGCCGGGTTCGATCCCAGCTGCGGACGGTTTGTCTTGCGATGGTTTCGACCGTGGTACCGAGACTATACAGTCCAGAAGGCAATGGCAAACTACTAGACGTAAATTTATCTAGTAAAACAACAACAGCCAGAAAGTGCTGGGGTTGGTTCTGCAACTTCCTGTAAAGGATGCGCAACTAAAAAAACAACAACCCTAAAACAATTTGAAGAGCCATCCAAGGAATGCCATGAATATCTGTTGGTGGGCGCTGTGTGCGTGTGTGTGTGTGTGTATATATATATATATATATATATATATATATATATATAATTTATAAACCGCAAACCGTTTATTTGTGTGTTATAATCAATGAAGTGTTTGTAAGTTCTCGTAAACCGTTACTAATAGAGAGGTAAACGTTTTATTATCTATTAGCTATTATGACAACAATGTTTAATCTAATAGTCACATTGACGGCCTACGTTATTGTGAATTTCTTTATTTATTGCTACAATCAGCAAAAGTAAACGTTCGCTGGAGTTATACCCCTCTGAAGACGGTATATTAAACGTATGGTTTTAGATGGAACTCTGTTTCCTCTAGGCCTACAAACAGGCAGCTGTGGTGACTAAGATGAGGTAGCTGACGGGAGAACAGGAGGTTCTTTTACTATTCCGGGGGCAGCCGGGCAATCAAATCGCATGTGTTGTGTATGTGTGAGTGTGTGTGTTTAAATCACCACTTATCACTGGCATCGTGAGGGCTAATAGACTAAAATGGCTCGGACATACAAAGATACTGTCAGATAACAGAGAGGCAAAAATTCAATACACAAAGGGCCTAAGTGGTCGAAGACCACGAGACAGACCAAGAAGACGATGGAGAGATAATATCCAGACAGACCTACAAACTCTTGAAGTCTTCAACTGAAAAGAGAAGACAAGTCACAGAGATGAATGGAGGCGGTTAATATCTGCAGCAATGAACTTCAGGGGCTCGGATAGCTGGGGTGGGGGGGGGGGAGAGGGGGGAGAGAGAGAGAAATCTTTATCTAGTTTAAAATATTAAAAAATAAATTTTCTATCAAAAAATATGTTTAGTTTGGCTCCTTCTTTCCTAATTTTTATTTGTTTCGTGTCGCAATATCACTTCCTGTCCATATTTTCAATTTATTTCCGGTTACATGTTGACCTGGTCGGTTGTTTGCAACTGTTTTGTCTATTAACAAAAACTTTTGTCGAGCCATTCTGGGGTATGTGCTTGTGTCTTTTGCCTTCCCCCTGTTGCTGCTTCTGGACAATTTGCACCTCTCCCGCTTTGTTGGGGTTTCCGCGCCAAGTGGTCAAGCCTTTTACCTCATACAATGAAGGTCGTGGGTTCGTTTCACGGTCGCGACGTTCAATTCCGAATGCAATTTTTAAAGTAATCCACAATGATCGTCGCTGGGGCTAGGGAGTTCGTTTTGTGTGCGACGTTCTCGGCACTCTGCGGAAGATCCCGAACCATACGGCATAAAACCTGTTGCAATGAAGTCGATCCTTTCAACTATAACGTACAAGGACATTTCCACCCCTTCAGATGTAGTGGGCATTTAGGGCTAAACCTATATTTTACAGACCAATGGGCGCTCAGTAGATAATGTAGTCAACATCACGCCAGCCACCTTCACTTCCTTGTATAGGTTTAAGTCTGGGAATCAAGGTCATTTGGGGGGGGGGGGGATGGGGGCGGGTAAAAAGTACGGCTCCGTTAGAACCTAGACCCAAGATATTTCGGAGCAATTTTACTGATACTTTCTTGTGACGTCATTGTCAGGTTGACTTCGGGATCCCGCCGGTTCACGGGAAGCACATCGCAGTCCTAGTGCCGCCGCACCTCCTCCATGTGTTCAAATCTATCGCTGTGGAACAGGGAATACCACTGACTGTTCTGGCGAATGATGTGCAAAGGTTGGTGCCAGGAATTTCTCCTGCGAGTGGGTTATCGTGGCTATGTGATGTCTCACCTCAGTATTGTTTGTGGAGTGGAATGTTCTTTTTTGTTTCCTGTACGATTTTATTATAAATAATTATAACGTCTTTAATAAGTGGGGTAGTGGTGGTGGTGTCAGCTCTGTGGCTAAGTCGATGCGAACGCTTCGTAATGCCGGGGTCCCAGGTTAGATCCCAGCTGCGGCCCATGTGCTTTGCGTTGGTTTCGACAGTGGTACCAGCCGACCGTCCAAGCAGTAATGGCAAACTACTGGACGTAAATTTGCGTAGAGAAACCACAGCCAGGGGCTGTTGGGGTTGGTTCTGCAACGTCCTGTAAAGGATACGCAACTAACCTAAGTGGTGGTGGTAGTAGTAAGCAAAGTAAGTATAGATCCATTTTCACGGCTTAGGCGCATCGGGCATAAGTGAATAGCATCCATATTTTTACAGACCAATCGGCACTAGGTGGGTAATGTGGTTAGCATTACGCCGGCCGTCTTTACTTCCCCAGGACAGTCATTCTGGTACCCATTTAAGACTGGGTCAACCTGCGACGTCCCATTTAGGCGTTGTAAATCAGACTCGTAATTCAAAGGTACCGCGATCGAATCCCACTGCTGGCTGCGTGGATTTTTATCATGGAATGGGGCGTCGCAGGTCGACCTAGCCTAAAATGGGTACCAGAATGACTGTCCTGGGGAAGTAAAGACATCACCCACCTAGTGCCGATTGGTCTGTAACAATATGGGTGCTCTTCCCATATGCCCGATGAGCCTAGAGGCGTGAAAATGGATCATAACTGTTATAGAGTAGTAGCAGCAACAGCAGCAGCAGTAGTAGCACTAGCAGCAGCAGTGGTAGTAGTGACAGCAGTAGCAGCAGCAGTAGTAATAGTAGTAGGAAAACAGAAGTAGTAGTTACCACTGCTGCTCCATCAGCAGCAATCATTAGTGTAGTGTTGCTGGTGGGGATGACGATAAAGGCAATGTCGACGACGAAGATGTGGATGAATACACAACAAAGGACAGAAGATAGAAATATGTAACTAGACAACAGTAACATCTCCAAACACATCGATGGTCATTCTATAACTGTTGTCCTACCCGGGTGCTAATATCAAAGATGACAGCTAACCCCCCCCCCCCCCCCCTTTCCCTCCCCCTTTCCTTTCCCTCTTTCTATTCCAGCATTGTGGATGCCGGAAGAAAGCATAAACCGAAGGTAGTTGTGATGGCAAAACATCGAGCTTCAAGTTACGTCATCGATCACAGTGATTATCATAATTACACAGAAGTATGTCCACTTGTCTGTGTTGTCATGTCTCTGTCAGTCCAATTGTCTATGTTGTCGTGTCTCTGTCTGTCCACTTGTCTGTGTTGTCATGTCTCTGTCCACTTGTCTGTGTTGTCATGTCTCAGTCTGTCCACTAGTCTGTGTTGTCATGTCTGTCTGTCCACTTGTCTGTTTTGTCATGTCTCTGTCCACGTCTGTGTTGTCGTGTCTCTGTCTGTCCACTTGTCTGTGTTGTCATGACTCTTTCTGTCCACTTGTCTGTGTTGTCATGTCTGTCTGTACACTTGTCTGTGTTGTCCTGTCTCTGTCCACTAGTCTGTGTTGTCCTGTCTCTGTCTGTCCACTAGTCTGTGTTGTCCTGTCTTTGTCTGTCCACTAGTCTGTGTTTCATGTCTCTGTCTGTCCACTTGTCTGTGTTGTCATATCTGTCTGTCCACTTGTCTGTGTTGTCATGTCTCTGTCTGTCCACTTGTCTGTGTTGTCATGACTCTTTCTGTCCACTTGTCTGTGTTGTCATGTCTGTCTGTACACTTGTCTGTGTTGTCCTGTCTCTGTCCACTAGTCTGTGTTGTCCTGTCTCTGTCTGTCCACTAGTCTGTGTTGTCCTGTCTTTGTCTGTCCACTAGTCTGTGTTTCATGTCTCTGTCTGTCCACTTGTCTGTGTTGTCATATCTGTCTGTCCACTTGTCTGTGTTGTCATGTCTCTGTCTGTCCACTTGTCTGTGTTGTCATGTCTCTGTCTGTCCACTTGTCTGTGTTGTCATGACTCTTTCTGTCCACTTGTCTGTGTTGTCATGTCTCTGTCCACTTGTCTGTGTTGTCATTACTCTTTCTGTCCACTTGTCTGTGTTGTCATGTCTGTCTGTACACTTGTCTGTGTTGTCCTGTCTCTGTCTGTCCACTTGTCTGTGTTGTCATTCTCAGTCTGTACATTTGTCTGTGTTGTCATGTCACTGTCTGTCCAGTATTCTGTGTTGTGATGTCGCTGTCTGTCCAATGCAGATCAAACTGCAAGTGAGACTTTTTACAGCCGAACATTTTGGAGGAAGGCAAGAGGAAGACCAAGAAGGAGATGGATAAATGGTGTAGCTGAAACCTGCAAAAGGATAAATAAATCCACTACCCAAACCACCATAGACACGCAAGAGAAACACAGAAATCTGACGTCACCTGGTATCAGTGAGACGTCAAAATGAGAAGCAGGATTACAAACAAGTATACCTGTAATGTTGAATCAGTTTCCATTGTCGTATCCGAGTAACCCCTTGAAATGTTAGATAATTTTTCATGTTTCTACCCACATTACCAGTGTAATGTTGTTTAAGTTTCCATTTTCTACCTATATGACCCATAAAATAGATACGTTTTCATGTTCGTACATATATGACCCATAAAATGTTAGATAAGTCCCCAAGTTTCTACTTATATAACCTAAAAAATGTTGGATAACTTCCCATGTTTCTACCTAAATGACCCATAAAATGTTGGAAAAGTTTGTATGTTTCTACCGATATGACCCATAAAATGTTGGATAAGTTTCCATGTACCTATATGACCCTTACAATGTTGGATAAGTTCCCATGTACCTATATGACCCATACAATGTTATATAAGTTCCCATGTACTTATATGACCCATACAATTTTGGATAAGTTCCCATGTACCTATATGACCCTTACGATGTTGGATAAGTCCCCATGTACCTATATGACCCATACAATGTTGGATAAGTTGCCATGTACTTATATGACCCTTACGATGTTGGATAAGTCCCCATGTACCTATATGACCCTCACAATGTTGGATAAGTTCCCATGTACCTATATGACCCATACAATGTTATATAAGTTCCCATGTACTTATGTGACCCATACAATTTTGGATAAGTTCCCATATACCTATATGACCCTTACGATGTTGGATAAGTATCCATGTACCTATATGACCCATACAATGTTGGATAAGTTGCCATGTACTTATATGACCCTTACGATGTTGGATAAGTCCCCCATGTACCTATATGACCCATACAATGTTGGATAAGTTCCCATGTACCTATATGACCCTTACGATGTTGGATAAGTCCCCATGTACCTATATGACCCATACAATGTTGGATAAGTTGCCATGTACTTATATGACCCATACGATGTTGGATTATGTATCCAGGCTTCTATAAATGTCAATAACGTGATGCTGACCATCCCACAGATCCGGGACTATATTTCTAGACTGGCAGACAAGTACCCCAGCTACGTGGAAGTGTCCACACTAAAGTACCTCACACATGAGAACAGAACTGTCGCCCTTGTCAAGGTAAACATGTCAGTGTGGCTGTTAACAAGCACAAGCTCCATAGCTCCTGCGACGATCCCTGATAACTTTCAAAAAGTGAAAGGCATGTGAACTAAACAATTAGTGAAACATTATTTGGAAGTTGAGTAGATGAGGTTTCATTGGTGAATGAGGAGAATCCCATAAAGAGATAAAAAGAGCAATGAAGATGTTTTTAAAAAAAAAATACTGGCTTATGAAAAAAGAAATGCCTACATCAGAGGGAGACAATCTACTACTTTGGTCCTGTCATGAGAAGGGTGAAACTGGAGTTAGAGGGGAGGAGAGGCAGAGGAAGACTGAGATAGAGAAGACGCTGGACAGCTTGACATCATGACATGGAAGATTATCTATGTACACGAGACATAACTGCCAACTTCATCGGTATGGACTATTAAAAGAAGAATTAAACAATTCAGCTCAAACATATTTGACAGAAATCAAAAGGAGGATAGCTATAGCAATGCAAAGATTAAACAGCATTATTATTTAAGCTCCAGCAAGGAATTCAAAATTAAAATTTTGAGAGCATGCATCTTCCCTGTAGCAACATACGCATGTGAGACGTAGACTATCTCCCAGTCCTTAAAAAAAGTATGTGCTTTTGAGCTGAAATGATATAGAAAGATTCTCAGAATACTACTGACAAAGAAGAGAAGAAAACTTAAAATTTTAACAGCTCTGAACATCAAGAAATATTGGCTAATAAACAGCATCTTGTCTCGGAAGCTGAAATATTTGGGTCATATCAAGCGTAATGGCGGATTGGATAAAATAATAGTAGGTCATGGTATCAGAAAGGAGGCGCAGAGGCCGACCAACACGAAGATGGGCACAGGATATAAGTGACTCTTGAATATGAAAGTACACAAGGCGGGAGAGCTGGCGAGAGACCGAGTATCTTTTAGGCAAACCGTGATAAGAAGGAATGTTCTGCAAAGGACCTGCTACATGATGATGATGATGATAATGTGCCCAAACGTGAAGCCTTTGATGTTCTTCAGGTTGGTGTTTGTTACTTATGTGTTATGAATGCGCTTTGGAATAACAACATGGCTACTAACTGACAGAGGAAGAGTACACTCTACGAACCACAACGGTTGCTTTCTGTGAATGGATGAGTCCTTTAATCCTTGCCGTCGTACACAAACAACTGGATCAGACGGAATATAGCCACAGGAATTACAAAACAATAACAAAACCACACCAAAAAAAAAACAGTAACAAGGGTAATAATATCGATACTTTAAACCACCATCATTACTACTACCACAACCACCAACCCTACTTCTTCCACTGCTACTACTACCACAGCTTCTACTACCAATGCCACTACTACAACTGATACTACTACCACTACTGCCAATGCCACTATTACTACTACCACAGCAACTACCACTGCTGCTACTATACTACCAACCACCACAACAACCAACCCTACTTCTTCCACTGCTACTGCTACAACAACAATAACTGCCACCACCACCACCACCACCACTACTACTACTACTACTACTACTACTACTACTACTACTACTACTACAATTACTGTTGCTGCTGTTGCTGCTAGCTGCTACTACTACTATTACTACTATTACTACTATTACTACTATTACTGATACTACTACTACCTCCAGTAATATCATCGCCGTTGCTACTGCTTTTACTAGTACTACTCCTATTTTACCACTATCATCACTATTAGTACAGCTACAATCATTACCACTACTATTACTACTGTAACTACAACTATTGCTACTACTACAACCACAATACTACCGTCGCTACTAGTACTACTACTACTTCTACCACTACCACCTCCATCACTGCATCATTATTCACCTTGCCTTGTGTTAACTTATCTTCCCTGGGTCAAGCTGTCATTGTCTCCCGTTTCGACCAAGCCCGTCATTATCCTGGAGGCCGGGATCCACGCCAGAGAGTGGATCACCCCCGCTGTAATGTTGTGGTTCATGGAGAAGGTGGGTCTGCATGTCTATGAGTGTGGCATACCAGCATTAGGCTGTGGGAAGTGGTGAAGAGAGAGAGGAAGACATGGGGGGGGGGAGAGAAGAAGGAGAGGAAGACTGTGGGAGAGAGAGGAAGACGGTGGGAGGAGAGGAAGACGGGAGCAGAGAGAGGAAGACGGGGAAGAGAGAGGAAGAAGAGAGGAAGACGGGGGGAGAGAGAGGAAGACGGGGGAGAGAGAGTGAGAGAAGGAGGGAAAGAGAGAGAGGGACAGAAGGAGGAAAAGAGAGAGAGCGAGGGAAGCAAAAAGAGGAAGGGGAAAAGGGGAAGAGGGATATTAGTAGAGGGTGAAAGAGGGAATGAGGCAGAGAGGGAAAAGTGAGGGAGAGGTTTAGACGATGAGAGAGGGAAAGAGAAATATGAAGGGAGGGAGACATAGGGTGTGGTGAAAGGTAGAGAGATAGAAAAAGGTAGAGAGATGGAAAGAGGTAGAGAGATGGAAAGAGGTAGAGAGATGGAAAGAGGTAGAGAGATAGAAAAAGGTAGAGAGATGGAAAGAGGTAGAGAGAATGTAGACGAAAGGGGTATATTTACAAAAAGACTATAAATGTACATATATACACAATTGAGCCAAACAACCAAACAGAGAGAGTAAATAAAATCTGCGTATTTTCAAAGTATTGTTCTCACTGGGTCCCATTTCGCGCGAGTGGGGGGAGGTTGGAAAAGGGGGGGGGGGAGGGAGAGAGAGAGCGCGAGAGAGAGAGAAAATGGCCTACTGTACTACTAATAAAAAAAAAGTTAGCTGAGTATCCTTTGCAGGACGTTGCAGAACCAACCCCAGCATTGTTTTTTGGGAAGTGGGGGGGGGGGGGCAGCTGTTGTGTTTCTAGGTAGATTTTACGTTTAACTGTTTGCCGTTGCTTACTGAACGGTCAGCTCTGGGTACCTCTGTTGAAACCAACGCAAGGCAAATCGTCCGCAGCTGGGATCGAACCTGGCAGTGCGACATTACTAACCGTGTTGACAACGCCCAAGCCATAGACGCCGATCCTATTAGCAAGCTTGTCGTAAAAGGCCACTAATTAGGGGGTTTGCTGAAATCGGATGTGTGGGGCCAAAATTTGCAGATATCGCAGCCTAGCTTACAACATATCACATTGTGAAAACCACTGTTTTAATGGGGAACATCTAGGCCGAAGAAGTGTTAATTGCCTTATGTGGAACTATTATTAGTTTACTGTGCATTATTACTGTTAGAGGTAATCAGAGGTAATCACAGGTAATCAGGGGTAATCACAGGTAATCACAGGTAATCACAGGTAATCACAGGTAATCAGAGGTAATCAGAGGTAATCACAGGTAATCACAGATAATCATAGGTAATCACAGGTTATCACAGGTAATCAGAGGTAATCAGAGGTAATCACAGGTAATCACAGGTAATTACAGGTAATCTCTCTAAATGTCATCATTTCTTTCTTTTTTTTCAGGTTTTTGCTCATTATGTTTTTAGTTATACCCATACCATTATTATTACTATTACTTTTGCTAACAATTATTCAATAGTACTGCTGCCACTGTTACTACTCCTACTACTATTCCTGCTGCTGCTCCTACTATTAATACTACCGATGCTGCTGCTACTGCTTCTGCTGCTGCTTCTGCTGCTGCTTCTGCTGCTGCTGCTACTACTACTACTACTACTGCTACCACTTCTACTACTGCTACTACTGCTACTACTGCTACTACTACTACTGCTACTACTGCTACTACCGCTACTACTACTGCTACCACTTCTACTACTGCTACCACTTCTACAACTGCTACTACTGCTACTACTGCTACTACTACTACTACTACTACTACTACTACTACTGCTACTACGGCTACCACTTCTACTACTGCTACTACTGCTAATACTGCTACTGCTGCTACTACTGCTACTGCTGCTGCTACTACTGCTACTGCTGCTGCTGCTACTACTACTGCTACTACTACTACTGCTGCTGCTGCTACTACTGCTGCTACTACTACTACTAATACTGCTGCTGCTGCTACTACTGCTGCTACTACTACTACTACTAATACTGCTGCTGCTGCTACTGCTACAATACATATATGACGTAATGATAATATTTCTATTGGTCGTGATATGGGGCTTTTTCTTTAAAAAAAAGGTGGGGTGGGGAGGGGGATTTTTCAAGGGGAAAAAAAACTGTTGCTGGTACCTACCTTAAAGTGTCTTTTTACAATGTGTAACTAGTCACACGTCGTAAAAAAAGGGTGGTGGTGGGGGGAAAGGGGGGGGGGGGTGAGTGTTCTGGTAATCACATGTCGCCATTTTATGGTGTGTGTGTGTTGGGGGGAGGGGAGTGGAAATAAAAACACATTACAAGCATGTCGTAAAAGTCGAGCAATCAGGGTTGGTTTTTTCAAAGTCGGTGTACTACTGCCTGAGAGGAGAGGAACTAACAGTTTGCATTGAAATATGCCCTATCTGTACAAGAGATGTGCACGCAAAACACAAGTTCTGGAACAAAGTCACAATGCAGAAGTGAATGAACAACCAAAGCTTTCTGTAGCAGTTTACAGCCGGTGAACGCCAAAAGGAAAGACATTTGTGTACATATTATTATCTAAAGTTACTGTGTGCTAGTCTAATGATATTTCTATGCCCGTTGTTTCACCACATAATCCTCCTGCGCCTTGTTGTTATATTATGTCCGGTTGTTGATTGCTGATAAACATATCCGGGAATCAAACAATGATAAATCTCCAATCTTGTCCTCCCAGTTGTTGAGGGATTACGCGGCCAACAAAAGGGGAGCCGTGCGGATGTTAAACAAGTTTGACTGGTACCTGGTACCTGTTCTAAACCCGGACGGGTACGAGTACACACACTCAACGGTATTTTGTCCGTCCGTCTGTCCGTCTGTTTGTCTGTCTGTCTGTCCGTCCGACTATCCGTCCGTCCGTCCGTCTGTCTGTCCGTCTGTCTGTCCGTCTGTCTGTCCGTCTGTCTGTCCCTCTTTCTTTCTTTCTTTATTTTTCCTTTCTTTCTTTTTTTTCTTCCTTCCTTTCTTTCTTTTTTTCTTCCTTCCTTTCTTTCTTTTTTTCTTCCTTTCTTTCTTTCTTTTTTTTCTTCCTTTCTTTCTTTCTTTCTTTTTTTCTTTCTGTCTTTCTTTCTTTTTTTCTTTCTTTCTGTCTTTCTTTCTTTTCTTTCTTTCTTTTTTCTTCCCTTTCTTCTCTTTCTTTCTTTTTTCTCTCTTTCTTTTTTCTTCCTTTCTTTTTTCTCCCTTTCTTTTTTCTCCCTTTCTTTTTTCTCCCTTTCTTTCTTTCTTTCTTTCTTTCTTTCTTTTTTCTCCCTTTCTCCCTTTCTCTCTCTCTCTCTTTCTTTCTTTTTCTTTCTTTCTTTCTTTCTTTCTTTTTCTTTTCTTTCTTTTTCTTCTTTCTTTCCTTTCTTTCTTTCTTTTTCTTTTCTTTCTTTCTTCTTTCTTTCTTTTTCTTATCTTTCTTTCTTTCTTCTCTTTCTTTCTTTCTTTTCCTCTTTCTTTCTTTCTTTTCTTCTTTCTTCTTTCTTTCTTTCTTTCTTTCTCTTTATTCTTTCTTTCTTTCTTTCTTTCTTTCTTTCTTTCTTTCTTTCTTCTGCCTGAATGCCTGCCTGCCTGCCTGCCTGCCTGTCTGTCTGTCTGTCTGTCTGTCTCTGTCTGTCTCTGTTGTCTGTCTGTCTGTCTGTCTGTCTGTCTTTCTTTTTCTTGTCTTTTGTTTCTTTTCTTTCTTTCTTTCTTGTCTTCCGTCTTTCTTTCTTTCTTTCTTCCTTCTTTCTCCCTCCGTCTTTCTTTCTTGTTTCATCTTTCTTTCTTTCTTTCTTTCTTTCTTTCTTTTTCTTTCTTTCTTCTTTTCTTTCTTTCATGCCTTTCTTTTTTCTTTCTTTTTTCTTTCTTTCTTTTCTTTCTTTCTTGACTTTTCTTTCTTCTTCTTTCTTTTTCTTTCTTTATCTTTCTTTTTTCTTCTTTTCTTTCTTTCTTTCTTTCTTTCTTTCTTTCTTCTTAGTTCTTTCTTTCTTTCTTCTTTCTTTCTTTCTTTCTTTCTTTCTTTCTTTCTTTCTTTCTTTCTTTCTTTCTTTCTTTCTTTCTTTCTTTCTTTCTTTCTTTCTTTCTTTTTCTTTCTTTCTTTCTTTCTTTCTTTCTTTCTTTCTTTCTTTCTTTCTTCTTCTTCTTTCTTTCTTTCTTTCTTTCTTCTTCTTCTTCTTTCTTTCTTTCTTTCTTTCTTCTTCTTCTTTCTTTCTTTCTTTTCTTTCTTTCTTTCTTTCTTTCTTTCTTCTTTCTTTCTTTCTTCTTTCTTCTTTTCTTTCTTTTTCTTTCTTTCTTTCTTTCTTCTTTCTTTCTTTCTTCTTTCTTTCTTTCTTTCTTTCTTTCTTTCTTTCTTTTCTTTCTTTCTTTTCTTTCTTTTTGCTTTCTTCTTCTTTCTTTCTTTCTTTCTTTTTTTCTTTCTTTTCTTTCTTCTTTCTTTCTTTCTTTCTTTCTTTCTTTCTTTCTTTTTTTTCTTTCTTTCTTTCTTTCTTTCTTTCTTTTCTTTCTTTCTTTCTTTCTTCTTTCTTTCTTTCTTTCTTTCTTTCTTTCTTCTTTCTTTCTTTTTTCTTTCTTTCTTTTTTTCTTTCTTTCTTTTCTCTTTTCGTTTTCTTTCTTTCTAGGTAAATAGTCTGGGACCCACTTTTAATAGCCTGGGTCAAGCCCAGAAGAGTCGTAAATTAAAAGTAAAGGACCCTTTTTAGGCGCATTGGGCACATTCGGCTAGACATATATTTTATAGTATAGACTGCACGGTACTCGGTGGATGATCTGGTCAACATTACGCCGGCCACCTTTATTATCCAGGACTTTATATCTGGTACCCGAACTTCCGGTCAAAATGGACGCTAGTCACGGTCACTTTTTGCTTATGCCAGACGGTGGCCGTTGCATTTTTCATCCATTTGTAGACCGAAAGAAAGGATATAGTCGCGTGTGCAAACTGCAGATCTGTTGGTAACTTCTGCTACCGTCGATGATGAACTGCTTTTCTTATGTCGGACTGTTTGTGTTAGAAATTCTGATGGTTACAGTATGCTTTCAATGCGTGTGTATGCTTATGCTGAGACAGCAGTCTGTCCATCTTTTCACTGGGGACGGGGATAAATATTCTGTGTGTTTTTTCGTTGGCACCGGAGCGGAGCAACTATAGGGTGACCCGTTTGCTATGAAGCTGAAACTAAGATTACCAAGATCTGGTACCCGTGGAAAGTTGGGTCGACCTAGGAGGAAGGGTCATGTAGAAACAGTCCGGTTCCGCCAGCATCTGAACACAGGAGCCTTAGATCCACAGAAAATTTCGTCTAGCCACTACATCATGGCGGCCCCCGCATGTCCTAAAACGCGACTAATTAATTACCTGCTGAAATTAGATGTGTTGACAAGAGCAGATATCACAGCTTAGCTGTAAACTTCAACACAAAGTGCCAACCGCCTTTCTAACGACGAACGAAGGAGAACACCGGCTACTGCTTCGGCAGGTCAGAAAACTACCGACTATGCCACACTATTCTATATTTTTATAATAAACATAGGACTGCATGTTAACATAATGTCCCCAGTACCAGTTAACATAAGACTGTATATTAACATAATGTCCCCAGTACCAGTTAACATAAGAGTCCATGTTAACATAATGTCCCCAGAACCAGTTAACATAAGAGTCCATGTTAACATAATGTCCCCAGTACCAGTTAACATAAGAGTCCATGTTAACATAATGTCCCCAGTACCAGTTAACATAAGAGTCCATGTTAACATACTGTCCGCAGTACCAGTTAACATAAGAGTCCATGTTAACATAATGTCCCCAGTACCAGTTAACATAGGAGTCCATGTTAACATAATGTCCCCAGTACCAGTTAACATAAGAGTCCATGTTAACAAAATGTTCCCAGTACCAGTTAACATAGGAGTCCATGTTAACATAATGCTCCCAGTACAAGTTAACATAAGAGTCCATGTTAACATAATGTCCCTAGTACCAGTTAACATAAGAGTCCATGTTAACATAATGTCCCCAGTACCGATTCTGGAGAAAGAACCGGCGCCAAGTTAGAAGTGATTGCTACGGCGTCGACTTGAACAGGAACTTTGACTCGGCTTTCGCAAGTATGTCCGTCTATGTGTGTGTGTGTGTGTGTGTGTTTGTGTGTAAGTAGGAAGATGAGTGTTGGTAGGTGACTGTGCTTGGGTGGATGTGTAAATGTGTGGATGAGGGTGTCTTGAGTTTGTGGGTGAGCGTGTGGTCGAATGTGTGCTGGTGAGTGTGTGGGGGTGGTTGTGTGTGTGTGTGTCTGTGCCTGTGTGTGTCTGTGCCTGTGTGTGTGTGGGGGGGGGAGGAAGGTGGGTGTGGATAGGTGACTGTGCTTGGGTGGGTGGGTGTGTAAATGTGTGGATGAGTGTGTGTTGGTAAGTGTGTGTTTGTGGGTCAGTATGTGGTCGAATGTTTGATGATGAGTGTGTGGGTGTGGTTGTGTGTGTGTTTTTGTGCGCGCGCGTGTGTATAAGTGTAAGGAGGTGGGGGTTGAGTGTATCTGTGAATACGTGGATGACTGTTGGTGAGTGTTTCTATTCGTAGATGAGTGTATGAGTGAATGTGTGGTGGTGAGTTTGGGGGTGTGAGTGTGTGTGCCAATATGTGCGTGTGCATTGGTGAGTGTGTTTGTGGGTGAGTATGTTGGTGAATGTGCAGTGTTGAGTGTGTGGATGAGTGTGTGGGTGAATGTGCAGTGGTGAGTGTGTGGGTGGGTGTGTGGGTGAATGTTCAGCAGTGAGTGTGTGGGTGAATGTACAGTGGTGAGTGTGTGGGTGGGTGTGTGGGTGAATGTTCAGCAGTGAGTATGTTGGTGAATGTGCAGTTGTGAGTGTGTGGATGAGTGTGTGGGTGAATGTTCAGCAGTGAGTGTGTGGGTGGGTGTGTGGGTGAATGTTCAGCAGTGAGTGTGTGGATGAGTGTGTGGGTGAATGTGCAGTGGTGAGTGTGTGGGTGGGTGTGTGGGTGAATGTGTGGGTCATTGTGTTGGAGGGTTGAGTGGTTATCTGCCCCTGTGCGTGTGTTTGTGATTGTGTGTGCTTCAGAGGTGTGGAAAACGTCTGAACGATTCTTGCTACAGAGACTACCCTCATATCACCGTCTTGTGCCCAATATCAAAGAACAGGACCACTGCATGCTCTTAGCATGTCGTAAGAGGCGACTAAGAGGGGTTGGGCGTCGGACCAGCGATCCCACACTGTCAAAGAAAAGACAACCACTACAGAAACAGAGACAAACATAAATATAAATAGAGAGAAAGAAAAACGAATTGAGTGGTGACAGTTTGTCTATGCCTTATGTGCCTCTGGTGGAATGGGGACTGATGGATTGGCTGTTGCTGTGGCGTCGTTGTTATTATTGTTACTGTAGCGGCTGTTGTTATTATTGTTGCTGCTACTGATGTTGTCGCTGCTGTTATTGTTTTTGTTATGTCACTCGTATTGTTGATAATAATATTATTGCTGCGAATGTTCACGCTGTTTCTGTGCCTGTTGTTAATGTTGTTTCTGTTTTTATAGTTGCTAACGTCGTCGTTTTGTTGTCGTTCTTCCTGTTGTTGTCGTTGTTGCTGCTGTTATTTCGTCGTCGATGTTGCTATTCGTTCTGTCGCTATTATTGCTGTCAATGTTGTCGTTGTTACTGTTGGTAAAGCTTTTTTTTCCCTGGAAATGTTATTGCGTCTAGTTTTATCCTAGTACCTAATGATTACTGCGCTAATTGACTGATTGATTGGTCCAGTAATGACGATCCGTCTACAACTGCTTTTGTTCAATTTTCATTACAATAAACATGTTAAACTACTAATCCATTATAAAACATTTTAAACTTGTACTCACTATAAACCATATGAAACGATAAACTCACTATAAAACATGTTGAAATAGAAACCCACTATAAAACATGTTGAACTAGGAACCCACTAAAAAACATGTCGAACTAGAAACCCACTATAAAACATGTTGAACTAGGAACCCACTAAAAAACATGTCGAACTAGAAACCCACTATAAAACATGTCGAACTAGGAACCAACTATATAACATGTTGAACTAGGAACCCACTATAAAACATGTCGAACTAGGAACCCACTATAAAACATGTCGAACTAGGAACCCACTATAAAACATGTCGAACTAGGAACCCACTATAAAACATGTCGAACTAGGAACCCACTATAAAACATGTCGAACTAGGAACCCACTATAAAACATGTCGAACTAGGAACCCACTATAAAACATGTTGAACTAGGAACCCACTATAAAACATGTCGAACTAGGAACCCACTATAAAACATGTAGAACTAGGAACCCACTATAAAACATGTCGAACTAGGAACCCACTATAAAACATGTAGAACTAGGAACCCACTATAAAACATGTCGAACTAGGAACCCACTACAAAACATGTCGAACTAGGAACTCACTATAAAACATGTTGAACTAGGAACCCACTATAAAACATGTCGAACTAGGAACCCACTATAAAACATGTAGAACTAGGAACCCACTATAAAACATGTAGAACTAGGAACCCACTATAAAACATGTAGAACTAGGAACCCACTATAAAACATGTAGAACTAGAAACCCACTATAAAACATGTCGAACTACGAACCCACTATAAAACATGTCGAACTAGGAACCCACTACAAAACATGTCGAACTAGGAACTCACTATAAAACATGTTGAACTAGGAACCCACTATAAAACATGTTGAACTAGGAACCCACTATAAAACATGTCGGACTAGGAACCCACTATAAAACATGTTGAACTAGGAACCCACTATAAAACATGTTGAACTAGGAACCCACTATAAAACATGTCGAACTAGGAACCCACTATATAACATGTTGAACTAGAAACCCACTATAAAACATGTAGAACTAGAAACCCACTATATAACATGTCGAACTAGAAACCCACTGTAAAACATGTCGAACTAGGAACCCACTATAAAACATGTCGAACTAGGAACCCACTATAAAACATGTTGAACTAGAAACCCACTATATAACATGTCGAACTAGAAACCCACTGTAAAACATGTCGAACTAGAAACCCACTATAAAACATGTCGAACTAGGAACCCACTATAAAACATGTCGGACTACGAACCAACTATAAAACATGTCGGACTACGAACCAACTATAAAACATGTCGGACTACGAACCAACTATAAAACATGTCGGACTACGGACCAACTATAAAACATGTCGGACTACGAACCAACTATAAATCATATGAAACAATGAGCTCACTATAAACATGTTAAAATGGAAGCTCAGTATGAAACATGTTAAAATGGAAGCTCAGTATGAAACATGTTAAAATGGAAGCTCAGTATGAAACATGTTAAAATGGAAGCTCAGTATGAAACATGTTAAAATGGAAGCTCAGTATGAAACATGTTAAAATGGAAGCTCAGTATGAAACATGTTAAAATGGAAGCTCAGTATGAAACATGTTAAAATGGAAGCTCAGTATGAAACATGTTAAAATGGAAGCTCAGTATGAAACATGTTAAAATAGAAACTCACTATAAAACATCTAAAACTAAGAACATACTATAAAAATATGAAATAATGAAAAGACAATAAAACATTTTATAACAGGAGCACAGTATAAAACATGTTTAAAAAGGAACCCACTATAAAACATGTTGGTACTATATTTTTTGCGTACCCCTGACGTCACAATGACGTCACAGGAGACATTCCCAATAAATTCTAGGGTGTTCAGGTTGTGGTTTCTCGAGGTTTCTCTACATCCAAGTTGTTCACATCGCAAAAGCGCGCTCTTGCAAAGCGCGCCTTTACTATGACGTTCAGTGTTGCCACTTCGGATATTTTACATCCACATTTAGATGTTTTTCCTTTTAATTTAAATGTCTTTTTGACGTTTAAATGGTAGATGCTTTTCTAGATTCTTTTCATATGTTTTTCCTTCTATTTAAATGTCTTTTTGACGTTTAAATGGTAGATGCTTTTCTAGATTCTTTTCATGTTTTTCCTTCCATTTATATGTCTTTTTGACGTTTAAATGGTAGATGCATTTCTAGATGCTTTTCATATGTTTTTCCTTCCATTTAAATGTCTTTTTGACGTTTAAATTGTAGATGCTTTTCTAGATTCTTTTCATATGTTTTTCTTTCCATTTAGATGTCTTTTTGACGTTTAAATGGTAGATGCTTTTCTAAATGCTTTTCATATGTTTTTCCTTTTTTTCCTTTTATTTAGATGTCTTTTTGACGTTTAAATTGTAGATGCTTTTCTAGATGCTTTTCATATGTTTTTCCTTTTATTTAGATGTCTTTTTGACGTTTAAATGGTAGATGCTTTTCTAGATGCTTTTCATTTGGAGTCAAATATTTTTTTTCCTATGGTAGATGTTTTTCTAGATGCTTTTGATTTGAGTTGAATATTTTTTTTCCAGTTATTATTGTTTTTTCTTTCAGTTACTCAAACTTTGAACTCTCACTGGGGTCAAAGCTCAAATATCTGGCAGCCCCGGTACTGATTACTTAAAAGGGTGCGCAAATCACACTTACTTTGTTTCAACCGTAACCTCACTGTGCTAACTTTGTGTTTTCTTTTTCATGTGATTTAAAAATAATAATTGCTCACCTTCCTATGTGGCTTTCACTTTGAATAAACATTTCAATATGCTAAAAGTAAAGTATGAACAAAAAAAATATTGGCAGTTTCCGGGGATATCACCAAGGCTCGTTGTAAGTACTTTCATAAATCGCACAAACCATGAACGACGTAGCGCCAGCAACGGTCAAATCATTATTTGTTTCGTTGCCGGCCTGGAATTGCTTAACATAAACAATCCATACAGACGTTTTATCTCACATTGCAGATCTAAGCCATGTTTTACACGACGACGTAATGTGCTGAACGATCGCTCCACAGTACATGTTGTTGCTGGTAATGTTAGCAAAAATAGTAACACATACCTGACACTCAGATAAAACTTTGTAAAAGGTACAAGTCGATAAAATCTTGTCTACTTCTGCATTCTCGCATTTTCCCTCCCCCGTGTGGGTTCCGGGGCCCTATTGTGGGGAAAACAAGAATAGACCCACTGCCTCCCCAAAAGCATGTCGTAAGAGTCGACTAACTGGGGAACTTCCTTTGAAGTCGGAGTGCATCTGCCTGAGAGGCGAGGAACCAACAGTCTGCATTCAAATGAGTCAGATCTGTAAAATGGATGCACACGCAACACTCATGTTCTGGAGCATGGCTGCAGTCCAGAAGTGGATGAGCAACCAGAACTTTACGCCAGAGTGTTCAGCTGGTGAACACGAAGAAGAAGAAGAAGAAGAAGAAGAGAAGTTTCAAAATTATCAATGTAGTATATCTGAATAATAGTAGACATTATATCGTTAAACTTTTTACGATTCAGTTTGCACAATTTCGAAGGATGTAGCAACGCTAAGTTAAATTGTGCACTGTTGGCTTCACAGAATCGACTCTTAGTTGAGTTAATTAGAGAATCTAAGTATGGAATGTAAACAGTTTGAAGTACTCTTCAACACTTATGGTTCCCTGATTACTTCGATACTTTTGTCTTCCACTCTGTCTTGGGATAATCAGCTCAACATCCACTTTCTGTGCGAGTTGTAGTGTTTTCACAAAAATATCACTGAAATAGTTATCGGAATCACCTCGGTGAAGTTTTACTACACTGAGCAGGTTTTGAACTTGCAGTTGGACTTCTGGAAGATCAACTTGAACAGCTAGAAGAGCCTGAGTAACTGGTTCCAAGTCTTGAGAAATAATATTGAGACAAAATAAAAACGTGCTGGACTTTGATGAACAATGTAACTGATGTGCAGCCTGTCGTGTATTTCCACTTGCATGCAATGAAAATGTTTCCAGTTGGCAAATTTACTAGAAAAAATCTGAATACTTTTATACTTGCTTGTCCATCTTGTCTCACACAGAATAGGAATATTTGGGACAGAGGACCTCCTTTTTGGGCTTTCACGAAAAAAATGTAATAATTGCTTTGATAGTACTAATAGTATTTCGTATCAATGCAACATTATTAAGATCATTTTCAACGAGATTAAGTATATGCGAGGCACCGCGAACAAAGGCAGCCTTGTTGTAAATTCTTCGAATTTTTCGCCTGAACACCATTTTCTTTTCCGGCCATTGTCGAGCACCCATCATAACCTTGACCCAGCAGATTATTAAGGAGAAGACTAAATGTTTTGCAATGTTGAATAATACAATCAGATATCGTGGCGGCGTCCATACCTTTCAGCGGAGAAAATCCAAGGAATTCCTCACGAATCATAGCCTTCTCACTAGACGTATCTACAAACCGGACTCCCAGTGATAACTGTTCTGCTCCTAAGATATCTGCTGTTCCATCGGCTATGATCAAGAATCCAACAGCATTGTTAACAGCTTTTACAATGTCTTCTCGCAAAGCTTGTTCAGACAAATTAATCAAACCATTCTGCGTTCGGTGTGATGTGTAACGTGCATTTCCAGCAGCTGTATCAAAATGTTTTTTTTTTTTTAAATACTGTCTCCTCCCTCAATTCGATACGTATAAAGTTGTTCGACATTTCCTTTGGTGCTATCTTTCCCACGAATTGCCAAATCATTTGTTCCGCAAAATAAGATTGTTGAAATAAAAGGATACAGCTTCTTTCTGTTTTCTTCAATAGTTCGTTTTACGGAATTATCTATCTGACAAATAATATCCTTTTTTTGGATCTCTAATGGTTGACGCCAAGTGTTCAGCATCTTGTTAAGACCCACGATGCCATGCTGAGCTGGTATGGTTTCTGGCACTTTCATTAAAATCTTTGTAGAAGGAGTAGTAATGAAGGCACCTTGAATTCCTTTTTGAACTGGTTGCGGAAATAAAACACAGAAAATGCAAAAAGCACTTTTTAACCTAGGTGAATATGATAACCATAGAGAATACTGGGTTAGCCAAGATTTCCTGAAACAACGTTTTCCACTTCCTGACATGTCGCCTTCAAAATCATATGACGGGTGAGGCTTGTATGGATCAGTTAGCAAACGATACTTGAGCTTAAGATCGAATCTTCGTAGTAGATTTTACACAGAGTTCAATGTCCTAGGTTAACATAGTATCTCCACTTTCAAGTTTGTCCGGGTCTGGTTCTGGTGATAGCGTTGCTGCTGCAGATGAACAAGCAACAGCATTCGGTTTTTTTTCCAATCAATCCAGGGCAAATGCCCCCCCCCCCCCCTTTTCCAATTGCGTTCGCCCATGGTTAAGTGATGGAGTTTTATGTCGGGGGCACACTAACAACGACCTGTACAGACAGTAGTGACCGTTTTGTGTTGTTGTTGTGACGGTGGTGGTGGTAGTGGTAGCAGCAGTAGTACTGGCACTCTAAGGGTGATGTGGTAGCTGTTACACTAGCCGCATTTACTTTTCGGTACAGATTAATGCTACACATTTTAGTCATATTAATAGCTATGTAATTTGTGACTCTTCCCGTTTGGATTTTTTTTCTATATGTTTTCCACGCAAATTTGGATATTTTAAGATCTTTTTTGACTCCATTTTGGATGTTTTTGTCAAAGAAAAGTGTCAACATTGATGACGTATGTTTACCGCTCTTTTCCGGCGTCAGTCAGTTGCCATTGTTTCCAGCAGCAGTCACGATGAATTTTCTACAGCTAGTTGCATCTGTACAAGACAAAGAAAGCAGTATTGCCTTCCTGCAACAGCATGGCATTCTGCACAGAACCAGAAGTTGCAGAAACAATCACTCCATTAATTTTGTCGACCCCACCACAGGTGCTCATACGCAATGCATCGAACGTTTGTGGAGGTCGGCAAAGGAGAGAAACAAGCGCCAGAATGGCACCCACAGACATTTATTAGAATCTTACATGTGTGAGTTTCTGTGGCGCAGGCGCGCTCAACGTGCGGGTGGCGACATGTTTGAAACCATACTAGCAGACATTGCTAGATTCTGGCCCCCGAGAGACTACTAGTCCGTCGTCTCTTCTGCCACCGCAGTTTGACCTCAGTTCAGATCTACTAACGTGTACAATCTCTGTGATTGTCAATTAGTGCGTGAACCCAGCAGTATTCATGTAGAATGATTCGTACTTTTTAGGGCCCCCCACAGTACCCCAATTGGCATTTCCTGCGATTGCACATAGAGTTCACATAGCCAAAGTGCACATTTTACATGTAGTGAAAAAAAAACCGTTGTGACAACGAACACACATACACACAATTTACATTTTATTTTTACAAAAAACGTTGTGACAACAACAACAAAAACACACACACACACGCACGCACGCACACGCGCACGCACGCGCGCACGCACGCGCGCACGCACACACACACAATTTACATTTCATTTAAAACACACAATTTACATTTTATTTACCACAAAACACGCACGCACGCGCGCCTCACGCACGTCACGCGCGCACGCAACACACACGCGGCGGCGCACACACATTTTTTAAAAAAACATTGTGACAACAAAAACACACACAATTTACATTTCATTTGAAAAAAAAAAAAGGAAATTCACAATGGATCACGTCGGTATTGAACACGGCATCTTTCATTTACAAGGCAGATGTGATACCAACTACGCTATGCACTCACATGTTTACATGTTATGAAAACATGACTAATATTGCAGACCGGCCAATTGCGCATCATCAAGCAGCCAAATGCGCATCAACAAACCGAAATATGTCGCACCATAAGACACTAGATGAACACTCAAAAACAGCAGCAGACAGCAGCACACTTGCACCCCTTGAAATAATGGACTGTCAAGTCAGCTGTGGAATTCCCACGGGAATTTCGTGTTTGGGGGAGGCAAAAAATATTGTACCAACATGTTTAACTATAACCTCACTACAAAACATGTTAAACTGTAAAACATGCAAAACGACGAACCCACTATAAAACTTGCAAAACGACGAACCCACTATAAAACATGGGAAACGATTACCCCACTATAAAACATCTAAAAACTACAAACCCTCTGTAAAACAAATGAAACAATGAATCTAACATAAATCATGTTAAAACAGAAACCCATAATAAAACATGTTATAAAAGGAAACCACTATAAAACACGTTAAACTATACACCTACTAAAAAAATATATCAAACAATGAACCCTCTGTAAAAACATGTTAAAATAGGAACCAAATACAAAATAATAGGAAACCACTATAAAACATGTTACCTATAAACCTACTATTAAACATATAGAACAATAAACCCTCTTTAAAACATGTTAAAATAGGAACTCAGCTTGAAACATATTAAACATTGAACCCAGTATGAAACATATGAAAGAATAAACCCACTTTAGAACATCTATAAAGACCAATCCACTAAAGAACATATGAAACAATGAACTGACTATAAAACATATGAAACAATGAACCCACTATGAAACATTAAAAACTACGAACCCACTATAAAATATCTAAAACGACGAACACACTATAAACGGTGTGAAACAATAAAACCACTGTAAAACAAATGAAGCAATGAACCCACTATAAAACATGCGAAATCAGGAATCAAAGATTGACTTTTCTAATTTCCCACAGCCACATCAGTCAGCTCCAACTGCAACAGCGAAATATACCCGGGCATCGCAGCCTTCTCTGAGCCAGAGACGGCCAACGTGCGGGAGCTCTTCAACAGTCTATACAATCGTCTGGCCGGCTACGTTTCCGTACACTCCTACTCACAGGTAAGCTAGACGTGATGCGTTTACGAGGAACACAAAGGCAGACATCGGAACACACTGGAACACTTCCCATCCAGGACATAACAATGAATACCCTATCAGCCTCCAATCCCTAAAGAAACAGGCTACAGTGGAACTCTAAAACATGCTAAACTACGAACTCACTAGAAAACATGTAAAAATTCGGACTCGTTATAAAACATGCTAAACCAGGAACCCTCTATAAAACGTGCTAAACCAGGAACACTCTATAAAACATGCTAAACCAGGAACCCTCTATAAAAAAACATGCTAAAAAACAGTGCAGGAAACCCTCTATAAAACATGCTAAACCAGGAACCCTCTATAAAACATGCTAAACCAGGAACCCTCTATAAAACATGCTAAAACCAGGAACCCTCTATAAAACATGCTAAACCAGGAACTCTATAAAACAGGAAACCAGGAACCCTCTATAAAACATGCTAAACCAGGAACCCTCTATAAAACATGCTAAAACCAGGAACCCTCTATAAAACATGCTAAACCAGGGAACCCTCTATAAAACATGCTAAACCAGGAACCCTCTATAAAACATGCTAAACCAGGAACCCTCTATAAAACATGCTAAAGGACCAGGAACCCTCTCTATAAAACATGCTAAACCAGGAAACCCTCTATAAAACATGCTAAACCAGGAACCCTCTATAAAACATGCTAAACCAGGAACCCTCTATAAAACATGCTAAACCAGGAACCCTCTATAAAACAAAACAGGAACCAAACATAAAACATGCTAAACCAGGAACCCTCTATAAAAACATGCTAAACCAGGAACCCTCTATAAAACATGAAACCAGGAACCCTCTATAAAAACATGCTAAACCAAAAAAAAAACATGCTACTAAAACATGCTAAACCAGGAACCCTCTATAAAACATGCTAAACCAGAAACCCTCTATAAAACATGCTAAACCAGGAACCCTCTATAAAACATGCTAAACCAGGAACCCTCTATAAAACATGCTAAACCAGGAAACCCTCTATAAAACATGCTAAACCAGGAAACTCTCTATAAAACATGCTAAACCAGGAACCCTCTATAAAACATGCTAAACCAGGAACCCTCTATAAAACATGCTAAACCAGGAACCCTCTATAAAACATGCTAAACCCTCTATAAAATAAAACATGCTAAAAACAGCGTAAACCCTCTATAAAACATGCTAAACCAGGAAACCCTCTATAAAACATGCTAAACCAGGAACCCTCTATAAAAACATGCTAAACCAGGAACCCTCTATAAAACATGCTAAACCAGGAACCCTCTATATAAACATGCTAAACCAGGAACCCTCTATAAAACATGCTAAACCAGGAACCAGGAAAACCCTCTATAAAACATGCTAAACCAGAAACCCTCTATAAAACAGGAAAACTATGCATGCTAAACCAGGAACCCTCTATAAAACATGCTAAACCAGGAACCCTCTATAAAACATGTTAAACCAGGAACCCTCTATAAAACATGCTAAACAGGAAACCCTCTATAAAACATGCTAAACCAGGAACCCTCTATAAAACATGCTAAACCAGGAACCCTCTATAAAATGCTAAACCAGGCCCTCTATAAAACATGCTAAACAGGAACCCTCTATAAAACATGCTAAACCAGGAACCCTCTATAAAACATGCTAAACCAGGAACCCTCTATAAAACATGCTAAACCAGGAACCCTCTATAAAACATGCTAAACCAGGAACCCTCTAGGAAACCCTCTATAAAACATGCTAAACCAGGAACCCTCTATAAAACATGCTAAACCAGGAACCCTCTATAAAACATGCTAAACCAGGAACCCTCTATAAAACATGCTAAACCAGGAACCCTCTATAAAACATGCTAAAACAGGAACCCGCTAAACCAGGAACCCTCTATAAAACATGCTAAACCAGGAACCCTCTATAAAACATGCTAAACCAGGAACCCTCTATAAAACATGCTAAACCAGGAACCCTCTATAAAACATGCTAAACCAGGAACCCTCTATAAAACATGCTAAACCAGGAACCCTCTATAAAACATGCTAAACCAGGAACCCTCTATAAAACATGCTAAACCAGGAACCAGAAACTCTATAAAACATGCTAAACCAGGAACCCTCTATAAAACATGCTAAACCAGGAAACCTCTATAAAACATGCTAAACCAGGAACCCTCTATAAAACCTGCTAAACCAGGAACTCTCTATAAAACATGCTAAACCAGGAACCCTCTATAAAACATGCTAAACCAGGAACCCTCTATAAAACATGCTAAACCAGAAACTTCTATAAAACATGCTAAACCAGGAACCCTCTATAAAACATGCTAAACCAGAAACCCTCTATAAAACATGCTAAACCAGGAAACCCTCTATAAAAACATGCTAAACCAGGAACTCTCTATAAAACATGCTAAACCAGGAACCCTCTATAAAACATGCTAAACCAGGAAACTCTCTATAAAACATGCTAAACCAGGAACCCTCTATAAAAACATGCTAAACCAGGAACCCTCTATAAAACATGCTAAACCAGGAACTCCTCTATAAAAACATGCTAAACCAGGAACCCTCTATAAAACATGCTAAACCAGGAACCCTCTATAAAACATGCTAAACCAGGAACCCTCTATAAAACATGCTAAAACCAGGAAATCCTAAAAACATGAAACCAGGAACCCTCTATAAAACATGCTAAACCAGGAACCCTCTATAAAACATGCTAAACCAGGAACCCTCTATAAAACATGCTAAAACCAGGAACCCTCTATAAAAAAACATGCTAAACCAGGAACCCTCTATAAAACATGCTAAAAATTGCTTAAACAGGAACCCTCTATAAAACATGCTAAAACTAGAAACCCTCTATAAAACATGCTAAACCAGGAACCCTCTATAAAACATGCTAAACCAGGAACCCTCTTTAAAACATGCTAAACCAGGAACCCTCTATAAAACATGCTAAAGCAGGAACCCTCTATAAAACATGCTAAACAGGGAACCCTCTATAAAACATGCTAAACCAGGAACCCTCTATAAAACATGCTACTAAAAACCTCTTTAAAACAGGAAACCTCTATAAAACATGCCAAACTAGAAACCCTCTATAAATCATGCTAAACCAGGAACACTATATAAAACATGCTAAACCAGAAATCTTCTATAAAACATGATAAACCAGGAACCCTCTATGAAACATGTTAAACCAGAAACTCTCTATAAAACATGCTAAACCAGGAACCCTCTATAAAACATGCTAAACCAGGAACTCTCTATAAAACATGCTAAACCAGGAACCCTCTATAAAACATGCTAAACCAGGAACCCTCTATAAAACATGCTAAACAAGGAACCCTCTATAAAACATGCTAAACCAGGAACCCTCTATAAAACATGTTAAACCAGGAACCCTCTATAAAACATGCTAAACCAGGAACCCTCTATAAAACATGCCAAACTAGAAACCCTCTATAAATCATGCTAAACCAGAAATCTTCTATAAAACATGCTAAACCAGGAACCCTCTATAAAACATGTTAAACCAGTAACCCTCTATAAAACATGCCAAACTAGAAACCCTCTATAAAACATGCTAAACCAGGAACCCTCTATAAAACATGCTAAACCAGGAACCCTCTATAAAACATGCTAAACCAGGAACCCTCTTTAAAACATGCTAAACCAGGAACCCTCTATAAAACATGCTAAACCAGGAACCCTCTATAAAACATGCTAAACCAGGAACCCTCTATAAAACATGCTAAACCAGGAACCCTCTTTAAAACCTACTAAACCAGGAACCCTCTATAAAACATGCCAAACTAGAAACCCTCTATAAATCATGCTAAACCAGGAACACTATATAAAACATGCTAAACCAGAAATCTTCTATAAAACATGATAAACCAGGAACCCTCTATAAAACATGTTAAACCAGAAACTCTCTATAAAACATGCTAAACCAGGAACCCTCTATAAAACATGCTAAACCAGGAACTCTCTATAAAACATGCTAAACCAGGAACCCTCTATAAAACATGTTAAACCAGAAACTCTCTATAAAACATGCTAAACCAGGAACCCTCTATAAAACATGCTAAACCAGGAACTCTCTATAAAACATGTTAAACCAGGAACTCTCTATAAAACATGCTAAACCAGGAACCCTCTATAAAACATGCTAAACCAGGAACCCTCTATAAAACATGCTAAACAAGGAACCCTCTATAAAACATGCTAAACCAGGAACCCTCTATAAAACATGTTAAACCAGGAACCCTCTATAAAACATGCTAAACCAGGAACCCTCTATAAAACATGCTAAACCAGGAACCCTCTATAAAACATGCTAAACCAGGAACCCTCTATAAAACATGCTAAACCAGGAACCCTCTTTAAAACATGCTAAACCAGGAACCCTCTATAAAACATGCTAAACCAGGAACCCTCTATAAAACATGCTAAACCAGGAACCCTCTATAAAACATGCTAAACCAGGAACCCTCTTTAAAACCTACTAAACCAGGAACCCTCTATAAAACATGCCAAACTAGAAACCCTCTATAAATCATGCTAAACCAGGAACACTATATAAAACATGCTAAACCAGAAATCTTCTATAAAACATGATAAACCAGGAACCCTCTATAAAACATGTTAAACCAGAAACTCTCTATAAAACATGCTAAACCAGGAACCCTCTATAAAACATGCTAAACCAGGAACTCTCTATAAAACATGCTAAACCAGGAACCCTCTATAAAACATGCTAAACCAGGAACCCTCTATAAAACATGCTAAACAAGGAACCCTCTATAAAACATGCTAAACCAGGAACCCTCTATAAAACATGTTAAACCAGGAACCCTCTATAAAACATGCTAAACCAGGAACCCTCTATAAAACATGCCAAACCAGGAACCCTCTATAAAACATGCTAAACCAGGAATGCTAAAAAACATGCTAAACCAGGAACCTATATAAAA